CACAGGCGGTAGCGAAAGCTCATCGCGCGTGCTCTCTGTTGAGGATGGTGGCGGATGGCTTATAAAGGGCGATGACATTGTCCTATGTGCTCGCGCGAGGGTGATAGAGGACATTGGCTCAGTATCGTAAGCAGTATCGTCGAATCCTTGTGTAGACTTTGACCGTCCTGTCGGTTGTTTTCTAGAGCGAGCATCTGACCCGGGTGTGAGCGGAGGCTCCCATACAGTTTCAGCTGCAGAGGGATGATCGCTCGGAGTATTCGGGGCTTCACTAGCCAAATCTTCTCCGAAAGTACCATCTCCACCGTCTTTTTCAGGGGATAGAGACGCGTCCGTATCAATCATACGATCAGTCGATAATTCCTCCCTAACACCACAGCCATCCTCATCTTGCTCCGGCGAACCAGCAGCAAAACCAACACGTTTGCCGACAGCATCTTGAAATGCTCCAGACGCATCCATCGTCCGCCTCCTCTTAACATTCCTTTCCCCTCCACTCACATTTTCCACCTCATTTTTCCTAACATCTATCGTCCTCCCCCTTTTCAAAATACTTCTTCTAGGGGCCTGCATCAAGCTGGAATATGCACCATCCCCATCTTCTTCCCCAAGCCACGCCCTCTCCCTCTGTTGCTGGGACAGTGAAACGGACCCTGTCTCCGCCTGATCCTGCGATTGTGACGCGAGGAATTGATCGAAATTGACGCTGAGGTTGGGATCGAAGCTTGGGGGGCCATGATTATTCGAGTTACTCTCAGCGCCATTCCCGTTTCCAATGGTGGTTTCTCCCACCACCTGATTATTATAATTGCTATTATTATTACTGGCATGTTGTTCGTACTGATCGATGGGCGGAAAACCCCGTAATGTAATGGCAGGATTGGCCGTGGTAGTGTTGTTTTGAAGTGGGTCGATGGAGGTAGCGATGTCGCTGAGTTCAGCGTCCGAGTCGTCTGAGTCTTGGATTACGAGGCTGAATGGCATCTTGCTGGACCGCGTCAATTGGATGGCCACGGTGCATGTGTATTAAGATCCGCCGGGGGCAGGTTATGTGACTCTCAGTGGGCCTGGAATGCTAATGGTGGATAATGACGTTGGTGTTTGCCGTTTTCTGATGGTTCGTTGCTGATATACACTCCAGACGCGACGGAGACGCCAAAGTCACGTGTTGATAAGAGTAACCCGACTTACGTAGCCGCGACGAACGGATGCATGGACATCAAAGAGTATGGACGCTTCTTAAAACGCATATAAGAGGTCATTTCACATATCGAGTTAAATATATGGCTATACATAGACATGGTATCCCACAATCAAAAAATGTGCAGAAAACAACAGACATCAATACATGCTACTCCGCATTATTCCCCCTCATTACACCTCTCCCAAAAAACTCACTGACAGTCCCAAACCGGTCCCGACTCCGCTGCAACTCACTCTTAAACAGATCATGCTGGTCAGCAGACTTAATCTGCCTTTCACGGATGGCTCGAATAGTCGCATTCTGCGGCGCACACACGGGACACTCGGCGTCCTCGTCAACCCTGTTAAGACATCGTTGGTGGAACGAGTGTTTGCAGAGGAAATGCAGGGTGGGGAGGTCTAGTCTATCGTGACATGAAGCGCAGCTGCGCGCTTGGAAGACGAAGGGTTTGGTGCCTAGTTCGTCGATTTCTTTTTGCTTTGCTTCGGTGTCGGCGGCGTAGCTGGATATTAGGTGGCGGTTCTGTACGTTGCGTGGGCTTGCTGTTAGTTGCGGAAAACCAAGGGGGGAAAAGTGGAAGATACGATACGCACATTTGCAATCTCCTTCCGCTCCCTCTCGATATTATCGCTGAGATACTTCTTTATCATCCCCATTGTCACCACCGCATTGTTGCTCAATGCCTGAATCACCTGCAGCGGCGCCATGAGCCCGTCTTTATCGATCTTTCTAAGAACCTCATACAGTTCGTCACCGGCTTCTTCGAGTATCTTCGGACTAGACGAGAAGTACGTGAGTGCGTCGATGTATAATTGTGGTTCTTGCGGGCCATATTTCCTTAGCGCCTTGATGACGCCAGCGGTGTCTTTGGCAGAGGTATAGGAGCGGAATATATCCGAGCATAAGCCTTGTTGTTCTTGGACTAATGTTGTCCCCTCCCGGAAATTCGAGAGGTCGGAGAGTAATAAGACATTCGAAGTCGATACGGGAATCTGTGTTAGTGCCATATGTCATTAGCTACAAAAAGTCCAAAATAACACAAACCAGACATTCCAAATGATGTATACATACATCCTTCCCCTTAATGAGCTTCTTCGCCTTCCCTTCCCACTCCACCCTCTCACCATCCCCCTTCGCACGCTTCGCCGTATCCAGATACATCTCAAACAATGTCGTATACAGATCCACCCGATCCTCCTCCCTCAGATCATCCTGCTTGATCAACGCTTCGAGAAATTCTATGAACTTCTGCGGCTGATCGACGAATGCTGAAAACGCACTGCGCGGTTTCGGTATGTCATATTCAGTCGGTGATTCGAGCTCTGGGGCTAATTGAGGCTCGGCAGCCGGCGCTTTTGGCCCCTGGGCCCCTGGTAATGGAATGAAGGAGGTAAGGTTCTGGATGGCGCCTCCTGCCTGTGGTTGGGGTTTTTGTGCAGGTCGCTCGTCCGTTTCGCGCCGGGGTCGGAAGTGGCCCGTATAATACTCGATAAAAAGCTTTGTGGTCTCCTGCGGGCAATGGCCTAGAAGGACACGGGCGTATTTCATGAGGTTTGGATATGCCTATTTTAAAGGCCGCTTATTAGCATGTAGATCGACATTGGAGTGCATGTAAACTTACCGTATCGGGCTCCAGACTCCATATGTACTTCAGTGCCTCTTCATATTTCCGAGAGTCTTCAATCAAAATATCGATCACCATGTCATTCTCGTTATGTTTTGTTGCTAAGTATGCAGCTTGTTCGTAATAGCCGCCCTGTCGGCACATCGCGATCGCAGTCTCGAGGTCAAATTTCAGTTCACCGGGAGCTTTGATGAACGAATCGAGCTTGGTAGTGTCCTTCAATTTCGCATAACAGTTTAAGAGCAATGTTGTATGATCGGCTGTCGCCTTTTCATGGTCATGGAGTTCTTCGAGATATTCTATGAGGTTGTGAATTCGTTGGGTATCTAGGAACTATATGGTGCACGTGTTGTTTTAGTAAATTAAATATGGTACGATCAGCAGCGAAAGCAAAAGCCCATACCTTTCGAATAACCTGGGACGGCTCTGTGTTGTCAATTGCACGCAGATATTGTTGCATTGCAGTATCATAATCCCCTTTCTGATATAGGTAGTCGCCGTATTTGCGGAAGATGATATTTTGCTGCAGTGTATCAATCCCAGCTTTCTGAGCAAGATTGATAGCTAGGATGTAAAGGTTTCGCTGGTACAATAACTCCAGCTTCTGTTGGAGGGTCTTTTCACGGTATCGGTAAACCTATATTCAATGGTGTTTCTTTCAGCTTTGGAGTCCTCTCCCATACAAAACTCATAGGAAGGATTATTTATACATACGGTCCCATCCACAGTAACAATAAACAAATCACCCCATTCCACAAATACATATTTCACCCTCGACGCCAACGACTCAGAGTGAGCAACAAATTTCAAATCTGGCTCCAATATCGTAAACGTCGACGTCGTCAAGATATCCTCGCTCTGGTCACCTGCTCCAAACCGTCGGAAAGTATCAGAAGACTTCGGCAGCGCAGGCCTAGGCAGACAAACGAGCGCTATATAATCCCTGAACGCATTTACGGACGTCTTCGGACTCTCAAAGGCAAGACTAGGCCCTCGACCACCGGACGGGCCGTACGTGTAAATCGCATCTTCGCGTGCGATGATAATATCGCCAGTGCCGTGATCAATGGTCATACAACCCACGCCACAACCTATGTCCTCGAGCGTGCGGGCGGGCTGGCCCTGCCCCTTACCCGCGACGACGAGGGTGAGTATCCGGCCCGTCGTGGCGATGTATAGGGTCGTGGCGGGCCCGTGCTGGATTTCCAGGCCGGTGATTGGTTCTTCGGATTCAAAGACGGTGCGTTGTTTTGCGCCTCGGTCGTGGATTAGGTCGCCACGGATCACGGTGACGGAGCCATTGGCGAAGCCGACGGCGAGCTGGGATAAATCTGGTAGGACGACAAAGGCGGATACCTGGGAAGAGTAAATAGCGTTAAGCATGAAATGATGTGAAACGAAGAGAATTAAGTCAACCATACAGGAAACTGCCTCCGGCCATTCTGCACTTGGACCGTCGACAAACATCTAGGCGATCCCGTTTTCTTGTCTTCCTTATCCAACGCCCACACCTTTAGGACGGGGTCGTTTAGCAGGTCCTCTGAGATGGTGACGATCAGCGATGTTGCGTCGACCTGTCTCATGTGCATAATGGAGCCTGTGTCGTGTGCTTTGAAGGTGCGCAGGACCTTGAAGGTCTGCGACAGGATATGGACGGTGCCATCGGATGTGCCGAGGAAGAGGTTCTCGGAGCCAGTGCAGATGCTGCTTATATCACTCTGTAGCGGTCAAATCAGATTGTTTGTTAGTACATCAGATATATGTATATGTAATGTGTATGTGGGACACGGGCGCATCACGTACATTGAAGATGGAGCTATCGCCATCCGGCAATGAGACAGGGGAGACGTCGAAGAAGTTGAATGTTTTCCACTTTTGAGTGCTTCGAGTTAGCTAGAATAGCCAAGGAGAAAATGGACCGCTTACCGAAGTCAAAGCCATTTCCTAGCACCAGCGCCATGGGGCGGAGGAGGTTTTCGATGGAAGACAGATGTTGAGATGGCGAATGACGCGGATGCAGCAGCTGGCGATGTGGTCCCGCGCTGGTCCAGGCCAGGCAGCTTAAATAATCTAACCACAGCGGGCCAAGGTGTGGCTAGTGGCTCAACCACTGTTTGTGACAATATCAAAAAGGACATTAATCACTTCAAAGGCATTGAAAGAACTCTATGTTGGGATGATGTTGAAGAAGCAATTGTTTAAATATATGTAACTAAGGATGAAAAAAGTAAAAAAAAGATCTGATAAATCCGTGCAAGGAGACCAACGCTCCCCAAATCTTTCTTCCCTGGAACTCTTCAATATTGACTTATTAATTGGTATATGCTACGCTATGCAATCTTATGCGTTAATATGTAGACTCTATACAGCACGTGTGCTCAACGCTCTATCGCCAATAAAACAAACTCAACTCAACAGAAAACTTGGAAATAGATATAGAGCTCCTCCAACGACTAAATGTTAAGCAAAAGAGTAAAGGAAACGGGGAAATTCCCACCCTTGTCACAGTCGAGGCATATTCGACCTCAGCATCGACTGCGATTTTGGGCCTAGCGAAGGAGACCGCAGCGGTATCCCACTCCTAGCCATTCCTAGCACCGGCGCCATGGCTATTTTCATTGGTGTTACGGCTATTCCTATTCCCCATGTTGGTGATGCTGTTAAGGCGTTTCACGCTATTACTGTGGTTAATCCTCTCAAGATCCACCTTCTCAAAATCCCAGCTCCCCAAAAACGTTCCTGCGTCCGCAATCGCCTGGCTGAGGTCGAAATTATCCCAGCCCGGTGCGTGGCCCTGGCCCTCTTGGTACTGCCGTGTGTCGTTTGTGGAAGCGGTTAGGTTGAAGGGGAGGATCGTGGAATCCGCGTCATGGCTCTGTGCTTCGCCAGGTGGCGCGACCGGGATGTTGGTGCTGGATGTGTTGGAAGGGCGGTTTGGAAGGGAGGGTGGAGGTAAAGCGGTACATTTGTGAGCATTGGTAGAGGTAGACCCGTTGGCGAAGCTATTTTCGCGATGACGTCGACTAGATGTAGATTTTTGCGAGAGTGAGAATGATGGTGCCTGGTTTCGAGGGCGCGAGGAGAATAATGAAGAATCATTCTGGATGTCTGAATTTCTAGCTCGGATTCGTCCTTCCTTTTGTTCGTCCTTTCCTTTACCAGGCGGAACTATTGCTTCCGCTTCTGCTTCAGATCTTCTCCCGGGCTTTATCCTTTTAACCATGCTAAAATCGAATGGCGTGATGGCATCTTGGCTGTGGTTGTTCGCCTGCCGACTCGAAATGCTGGTGTCGGATAGATGTGAGGGCTTGGCTGGTTCGCCAGTTACAACTACCTTCGAGGAGTTATTAGTTTGTGCCTTTTTCGTAACCTGTATTGCCAGAGTCGATACCTGCTCCTCATATCCGCCGTTCTGACTACGTCTAGCACTACTAGGGTAGCCTGCCGAAAAATACGTGGAATGGAGAGACATAGTCGGGATTGGGAACTTGAAATAGTCTGGGACTATTTGAGCGGAGGGTAGGCCTTCTGACGCTGTCATGTTGCTCAGAGTTTGCAGGTTGTCTTGCAAGCCATGCGTTCCATTAGGGGTTGGATCTAGCGGCAAAGTGTGGGAGCTATTATTATTGTTGTTTGGATTCTCATCTTTGCTTTCCGGTTGAGCTTTATCTCGAGATACCTGAGATCGATGACGTTTGGAATGTTCGACATTGCCATTGGAGTTTGAAATTGTATCCACGCTAGATGCCGGTTTGCCAGGGTGCGGATATTCGGACTCTAGGAAATGGTCTGTAGTAGAAGGTACAACTTGAAGGGATCCTGAGGGTTGCATAATCGTAGATGACTTATAGCTCCTCTTCACATGAACCACTTCCTTTTCATTACGGTTGGGAATTCCTGTGAACGCAGAAGCTGGTTTCCCGGGTTTCGAGAAGCGCGAGCGGCCACCCGGCGACTTTGAGCTCTTCCTAGATTGGTGAGGGTCTTCACGGCGAGGTTCTCTAATAGTTTTATGTGACGAGGGGGCCAACGCTCCATGTCCGTTGATAGGCGTAAACGAAATGCGAGGAGGTGTGTAGTTCTTGTTGTTATCACCAATAAAATCATCCACCCTCGGCCTTTTGCTATTGTGTTGCAATCCTCCATCCTGCTGAAGTTTCGCAGGAGAGCGCAAGCGATAGCCAGGGGTTGGACTGGAGCCGGTTGGACGTTCATAAGCTTGTGGGTGTAGTCTCTTCTCGTCCGTCTTCAACCAACTATTATTGCTGTCAACTGAAAAACGATGTGATGTGGACGCGGATACAGACCGAGGAGCTTGTTCGGCTGTTGTTGAATTAACTCGGGCGGATACTGCTCGTGGTTTTGAGAATATACTATTTGAAGGGGTTTTTCGTGCGCTAAAGATATCCGTTTCGAGTTGTCCTCTGCCCCTACTACCCGACTTCCTTTGCCGCTGATCGGATCGCTGTGCTTGCACAGGCTCTAGGTCGAGAGAAGATTCAAAGCCGCTCCCCTGACGAAGAACTTGGGGAGAAGGCTTCATGCGGCGTTCGAGGGGTTTTGACGTAGCCTCGGATGAGACCATTCCAGAATTCGATATGCCATTTCTGAAGTCCTTTTGCCTACCTTGCTTCCATAACGATGCTCCTCGTTGTGGTTTCTTGTCCTTTCCCCTATTCCTCTTCCAAGGGTTCATCCATCCGTTATCCAAGGGGCCTTTTAAACCAGCGGATAAGATAAACAAAGGCTTTCCCTCCAGGTAGTCCTGGCCAAGCCTTTCAATTTTCCTTCGTTTTGCAGCTCGAGCAGCATCATCCAACCCATCATCGCTATCAGAAAACTCACTCAGCAGCTCTGAGGGTAGCGCAGGCAGGGTTTCGAAGTGCAGGGGAGTGGTATGGCGCTTGAAAACCATGGCCTCCAGGAAGGGGACGAGCCACGGGAGAGGAGAGAGACACAACGACAGGACGTCGAGGACGGCATTTGGAGTTACCTAGATAGCTTTATAGTTTTGCTTGCTTGTGCTGGTGTGTTGAAGCCTGCTCTTCAGGGGAGCTGTGGCCTTGGTGGTGGCTGAGCGGAACAGTGAAACTATTGATTCACTGACAAGTGACAAGCAAGCGACGGCCAGAGCTCCAAGTCACAAGATCTCGTGTCCCACTTAACGCGTTAAGCGTGGAAGCAGGAGAGCGGCGGCTGGTTGCCAGGCCAATGAACCAGTCACGTGTGTCTGCCTGTTCCAAGGTACGGCGCCAGGATAAGAGCGCTTATCCGGGCCGATCGGGATGCAGACTGAAGCAGAACTTAACGTTTCCGGTACATGCAAACGATGTGATTGTAATCCTATAATTGTGGTGTAATATTTTCGTATGAAGTAGCATTTAGTTAACAGGGCTTGTTTGATATACACGATAATACTCTCAGCTAAACAACTCTCATTACCGTACCTTATCTCACTTATCTTGATCTCTCGCGACAATACTTCGTAACGGCCAGCAGTGTCATCAATCGGGGATCTTTTTCTTTACATAGTACGTTACTCCGTATAGCCGCCGACAGATACCACACCCACCCCTTCCACAGGGCTGAAAGGGGCCCGGCACATCTGTTGTTCCGGGCCGCTGATTGCCGCATTAGGCAGGATGTTGTTGTTTTCTTGGCGCCGCTAGCCCCTAACCAACCCACACCAAAGCATCATCGATATCAAACTCTCCGCACACACACTTCGACGCTCCAACAACTTCAACAACATCTCTTATCCTCAATTTCGCCTTATTGACTGAATGGTGCATTCTTAGTACATAGATCTTCGCCCCCCAAACGTATATTTATTAACAAACCATTATGTTAATATATCCTTCCCCCACAATCCCTACCCTTCCCAGATCGCATACTTCTCTACCACCTTCACAATAGAGCGCTTCTTGTCAACAATCTACCTCCAACTAAACACGCCGGATCCGGATCAAGCTCAATATGAGTAAACAACAGCCTTGGTTAGATGGACTGTCCGAGGACTGGGTTTCCCAAACCTCCTCCCTGCGCGACCGCATCTCCAACTCCTTCAAACGCTCGTCGCGCGGCCTGTCTGCCTCTCCACCCACCAGTGTTTCGTCGTCACATAACAAACCTTCCTTCTTCTTCAGACATTTGCGCAAGACGTCGGAGCCTTCCCGACTATCAGACCTCGAAGGCAATAGCAATGTCTCGTCTAATCACACGTTTTCCATGATCAATGTTTTCACCTCGAGCGTTGGTCCCAAAGGCAAGCTGACTCGTACCACAGGAAACCAAGTTTTGACTTAGGCATGTAACTAACGATGTTTTTTTTTTGGAACATTACTACAGTGTCCGTACAAGTGCAATCAGAAAATACACCCGTCGAAAGTTCTACCATGCATATAAGACCGCAGAGTAAACATGCCAAAGAAGACAACACTCCGGAATGGAAAAAACGTCTTGCTCGCGGTGAAGCTCCGATGGGAGAAGGGGGCGATTTGTTCGGCCCCATGGAACTGGAGAATGTGTTTAGACCGCCACCCACCAATACCGAATCGAACGCACGGTCAAATCTTTTTACCTCCGTGCACACACAAGCTAATCGACCATGGTCTCTGCCACGTTCTAGCTCGTCCAGAGGCGAGCAGCCAGATATCTTACCGAATGACTTGGATGACGCCCGAGCTAGAATCGAAAATTCTGCCAGTGATAGCCAGGATAGCATAGAGAAATATAGCACATCGTTGGACGACGCCAAATGCTGGCTGGGCGGCGATGCTCCCGCGAATGGCACCGTTAGCTTTGACCCCAGATCACGGACTGTGAGCGGTAGGGAAGAACTGCGCAATGAGGAAATTACTCCGATCCTCTTCTCCAGGGACGATAACGACACCGCTGGCGAATACACGAATCGAGAAATTTTTGAATCGCTCCTCGAAGAAGTAAGAAATTCTAACTTGAAAGAAACATTCTCAGATTCTCGCAGACGAAATTCAGTTGCCGGTGATGATTGCAGTTACCTCAGTCGTCGAGATAATCACACGATCACGGGAGGAGCGGATGACACTATCGAAATGACTAGCCAATCGTTACCTGAAGACTTATCTGTCGGAACAATGGATTTCGGCTCCACTGGTGGTGGCTTCGTGAGCACACGTCGTGGTGGCTATTCCAACGATGGGTCCTTTCGCCGTCGCCAGCTATCACCAACATCTCTCCTCCTTTCACCTCTCCACTCTTCCTCTTTCCTATCTAATTCAAAAATCAGAAGCTCTCCACCGATTGATAGGCGAAGAGGAATGTTCAGTTCACATCAGCAGCAGGAACCCCCCCCTCAACAATTCCTTACTCCACATCGGGCACGTCGTGAAACGAACGACTCAAGGCCAAGGTCATCTGGAAGCCCGCTGAAGTTATTTGGGGAGTACGACACATTCACCAGCAACAAGCTACTACGGAGAATGAGCCAATTCGAAGAGACGTTTAATAATGGTCCAGGTGAAGCAACCCCATCACCCACAGAAACCCGTCAAAAGGGACGAAGCCGAAGCCGAAGCCGACCGACCTCACGCCGTAATCCCAACCAAGCAGGAACCACATTATCCTCTCAAAGTGGCCGCGACACTCCCACAAGGTCGTCCCGCGCAAAGAATCGGAATCCGACCAATCCAAAGGACCACCTGGCCCCAAACATTCCCGGTTCATCAGAGCAACGAGTCGAGGGTCTCAGTCTGCTCCCTGCCCCTTCTCTGGTAATTACGAACGAGGATGGGAAAAGCCCATCAGGTCGTCCATCTCGAAGAAGGGAGGCTGGAAAGCAAAGCCCAATTCAATCAGCGAGATGGGAAAATGATCCATTCGCCTCCTCTCCGGCTAATGCGTTTCCAGCTGCAGCAGTTAGGACGAAGTTGAGAACCAATGCCGACGATGCAGCAGTTGTAAACGAAAATTGTGAATCAAATCCGTTTAGGCAGAGCGAGACGAAGAGGGTTTTTAACAGTCCGACGAAAGATCCTTGTCGAAAAAGAAGGAGGACACTACAGAATATCGATCCTAATAATCAGATTCTGGCGTCATCTCTTCTTGAATCTACTCAATTTTCTGCCAGCTATAACATTCAAAACTATCAAAATGAAGGTCAGCTGCGAGCAGGCGACAATGGTGACTCAGAACTCCCACCACGTCCCCGGACACCAACTCCCTCGCAGATAAGGTCTCAGCTTGGAAACAAAGAAAAAATTCAAACCAAACATGCTAGCAAACCATCAGCTTCCCTCAATGCCGTCCAATACGAACAGAATGAACCCGAACAGAAGCTCTCCTTTATCGCAACACCGAGCCATGTCTTCGACGATAGTAGGAAAGGATCAATTACCACACAAGATTTTTTGAACGAAGCCACTAAGATAATGGACATAATACGTGCCAGAGGAGGCGGCAAGCATAATCATGGTTTATCGAGCGTTGAAGAGACTAACCATTTGAGTGATGCTGCAAGTGATGTAGACTACTCCTATGATGATGCTGAAGAGGAGGAAGAGGAGTCGACACAGGAAGCATTTTCAAGACCACCAAGCCGCGAGGGGACCGTTGATCTTCGCAGATTACACGAACCACGCACGCAACATCCGCGTATAGTGAGCCATTTAAAGAAGTTTGAGGACAAAGACGACTTTGAGCTTTATATGGGGGGATCGGTGATGTCTTTGCGCCTTGATCGGGAACAGAATGTGGCTACTTATGCCATTCATCGGCAGGAGGGTGAGAGCGATGGTGTGGAAAGCAGCCCAAAGAACATACGTATTCGTGGGCGGTCAACCTCAGGGAAGAGGGCAACCAGCTCATCATCGAATTTATCCAACGGTTCTAATGGTCATAGCGGCCCCTCCTCCCAACGGGAAATATCGTCACTCAGGTCGACTAGAAGCTCATTACCCACAGGATCTTCCCGGGGCTCCTCGAGCGGCTCCGGGGCTAAGGGTATTATATCCTCGGATATGATAGCTCACTTGATCCCCGAGCAGGTTGGTGCGATGACTTATGACCGCTCAGCGCATGCATGGGTGAAGGGTAGAGACGGGATGATGCATGCCGAGGAAAGACCTCCAGCGTCGAAGGCGGTGGAAGAAGACGTCATTATGAGCGAAGAAGACCCCTTCAAGGATATTCCCGACCTTAGTGTTGACGAGTTGCAAGAGCTCATGGCTGCGCAGACATTTTCATCGCCGGCGACGGCGAAGGGGAAATTTTCTTCGATGACTGGTGGTTTCGGTGAAGGCCGGCACGATGGTCAAAAAGAGTGTAACCAGCGGCCGCCACGGCAACAGGATGAGGAGACCGACGCGGGAAATCGCCAGCATATTACTGATTTCCGACCAAATACCCGAGACGGCGGACGTTTTGAAACGAGTTCCGTGCAATCGAAATCTACGCGGTTTACGTCGAGTTGTCCCAATCCAGAAACCAGGGCTACGTCTTGGGGTAGTGAGGAGTTAGTAGGTATTCCTCAGCCTGCTGAGACTAATGATTTGGGAAATTGTCAGAAGGGTGGTAATGGACAGCCTCCCCCCGGCGAAAGACGTGGTAGGGTAGCTACCATTTCGTTCTCATCCCCTTTGGTATCTCATGTGGCGTACCGGGAGGACTCGCTGAGTCCAGTCGACCCGGAACACGCGTTACCATCTACTGTGCAGCATGACCGCTACGGATCTAGTCACTTCAGGGATTCCCAGAACCATCCGGGTGTATTACCGCGCCCTTACAACCAAAGCTCGCCGTTCCGGAACTCTTCGCGCCAGAATAGTTCATTCGGTAGTCGGACTTTCAGGGGAAGGCGTATCTCCCGGATCGATGAGCAAACTGAAGTTTCGGCCAACGATGACCCTCACACCCAACATCATGGCCTTTCTGTTATCGAGGCTCTAGGACATGAGGACCGCTCAATGATTTTACAAGGGAGCCCAAACATGGATGCCAGTTACAGCTTCCAGCTTGCGTCGCTGTCGGATTTTACGCTTCATCAAATCGATGAGTCTATGCGGCTTGATGTTAGTTACGTTGCTGAAAGGACTCATCCGACCTCTCTCAGGCAGGTCCACGGGACATATACTCTGGCGACCCAAGATTTGATTAAGCACATCACTGACACAGAGCCGTACGAACCATATTGGGAACATCTCCGTCAGCTGAACCTTCGCGGGAAAGGTCTGATAACGCTACACAGACTGAACGAATTCTGCTCGCGACTCGAGGAGCTTGATGCATCTGACAACAATGTTGGCCAGGTTAGCGGCGTCCCCTCAAGTATTCGCACGTTGAGGGTCCCGCGCAACTACTTGTCCAACTTAACGGCGTGGGGCCATCTGTCTAATCTTCAGTACTTGGATGTGTCAGGAAATAAGTTGGAGGATCTTGATGCGTTTTCGGGCCTTGTTCATCTGAGGAGTTTGAAGGCCGATGGGAATCGCATTCGGAATATTCGTGGCATTATGGGGTTAAATGGCTTGTTGACGTTGAAAGTGAGGGGGAATTTGATTGGTGAGATTGACTTTGGCGAAGCGGAGTTGTAAGTTTATTTTTTATTTCCCAGTCTAAATATTGCAGAAATGATGTGGATTGTTAATGGAAATTTAAAATTAAGGACGCGGTTGATAAAGCTGGACTTGCGTGACAATCTCCTCACGAGTGTACGCAACATTGGATTCATCAAAACTATCGAAAAGTTAGACCTTCGAGGCAATCGTATTCGGCATTTCGAATCGTTGGAAGTCCTTCATTGCCTACATTCGCTCACCCTATCGAACAATAACATAGAGAAGCTAAATATCGGGAAATTTCCTAACCTCCACCTCCTCTATGCAGACAGGAATCACCTCTCCACGATCAGCGGTCTCGATCAATGCCATTATCTGGATTGTTTATCCCTTCGTGAACAAACACTGCCATCTTCTCCTCAGCAATCTGAGAACGACCAACTTCCCCTTATCTACCTCCAACTCAGTGCAGCCGCGTCCCTCCGGAAACTATACCTATCGTCCAACCACCTCTCGTCAGCCCTCCTCGCCCCATCTGCTAGCGTCCCCAGCCTACAGTACCTCGACATTGCCTCATGTGCCCTAGAAAGCCTACCCAGTACCTTTGGCACAAGTTTCCCAAACCTTCGCGTCTTGAATCTTAACTTTAATGCGCTTTCCGATATATCTGAGTTGCACGGGCTGACGCGGCTTGGTCGCGTATTGTTAGTCGGGAATCGCATCGCGCGACTTCGGAAGCTCTGTCAGGTTCTGAGATCCGTTGGTGGCCGCTGCGGCGCGCTGGGTGATGTAGATTTACGAGGGAATCCGATTACGGTGGGGTTCTATCCGGCGCCTGTTACGGGGAGTGGGAGGGTGTGGAGGGATGAGAAAGGGGCGCTTGTTGGGGATGGGGACGTGGGGAGACGGAGGTTTAAAAATCGTCAGGGGCTTGGGCACGGTAGAGACGAGAGGCAGTTGCAGGTCCGTGAAAGGGATGATAGGGATGAAGATGATACGGGCTTCCCAACTTTAGGTAGTTGTACGAATATCGCGCGGAAGGGGTTCGGCGATGAGGTTCATAATCAGGATGAAGCTGAAGCTGGGGCTGGGGTTGAGATTGAGATCGACGACCACTACACCGTGCCTCCGGCAAATGTCATTGCGGATCGCAAGTATGTCGTGCACCTAGATGAGGCGACAAGGTTGCGGAGAAGAGTTGTGGAACTTATGGTCCTGGCGGCGGCGGCGGGGAGATTGAGGGTGTTGAATGGGCTTCCTATTGTGAATGGCTGTGCAGGGGGGAGCGTGGCTGATGTTGGGGATGAGGGTGCTGGTGGTAGCAGTAGTGACGGTCGTGAGAAGTGGAGAAGTGGGTATGTGAGGAAGGATGAGGTGTGGAGGCGGTTGGAGGAGTTGGGGGTTTTGAAGAAGAAGAAAAAGAAGCAGAAGAGCGGGGTGGCGGAGCAGATTGATAGGTGATGTTCTTGTCTTGTTCTTGTTATTCTGCTCTGGCTTCAATTGGAGTTACCAGGTGAGATTTGCTTTCATTCATATCATTCCATTCCTATCAGGTCTCTCAGCTACGGACTGCGGCGGCACGGTAGGGTTTTTGAGATTTGTTTCCCTGTTTATCTCTATGGTGTTTGGGCCTTTCTTTCTCCCTTTTTATTTCTGGTGTTTGTTTGGCTTTCTTCTGGGGGGGGTTCTTTTTTTTCCTCTTCTCTAAATACCCTGTTCTAAATTGCATATAGCGTGTGTGGGTTTGGACCGTTCAATGGGTTTTTATTCTTCTTCTTTTTTTTTTTTTTCACTTCCGCTTATTTCTGTCGAATTGAATTTCTGGGCACGATGAGGCTGTCCCCGTCTTAATTTTGAAATTTGTGTTTTGCTGGCTAGTTGGTTGTTGATAATGAACTTTGACCTTGATTGAAACTTACACTACGATATTTATGTATATTTGCCTAGCAGTGTGCATTTCTAACTTGGCTACAGCCGAACCGGGACGGTATCAAGACAATAGCCCTTCCAACTAGGCAAGTAACTTAGGTTATCTTAAAAAACGGAATTCGAAGCCAATACAATTTTTTTTTAAAAAAAAATCAGGTTGATCAATAATCAACATGCGTAAAAAAAAGTGGGTTCACAACTCGATTTGGAATAAAGTTCATTTTCTTACGACACTTACTAAGAAACAGCTGGTCCTGTGGTCTAGTGGTATGATTCTCGCTTTGGGTTCACAACATCCTGATCTGCGAGAGGCCCCGTGTTCGAATCACGGCAGGACCCCTCTTTTTTTTAAGTTTTTATTTAATCTTATTTAAATCGCATTTTTTTTTCCCTCAACTCTCTGTGTTTCTTCCCACACAATTTTTCTTTTCTTTCTTTTCTTTTTTCTTTTTTTCACCTGTTTATTATTATTTCATCCTATGTGGAAAAGAGAGTTATCACAAGTAGACATTTTATTGAATTGGAGAGCCCCCATCCATCCCATCACCCCGATGCGGAGATGGGGAAATAGAGACATCTATCTATCCTATCCGGCCCAATTTATCTCTTATCAAACAATAACTACTGTACCATTGAAACCATCATAATTGCATATTTAACTACGTAGTCACCCTCGCCCGGCAAGTTTTCGGGCCAAAGGCGTGATGATGACTCTGTCGGAACCCCCAGTCGCATCTCTAACAGGTTGTTTCCATTATCAATGAACCCGTTTGCCTACGCAGGCCTAGCTGTAACCAAGACAACGTGCGAGGGATTGATTAATGGCGAGACACCTTCGGGATAGGGGGTATCTCGCCAGCTACTCGGGTAATGAAGTTGCCTTCCCCCCCCCGGGACGTCCCTGACGAGGTCATATTGGTTATTGCCCTGCTGGAAAGTATCCCCAAGAGTTGAAAGAGCGCTGGCTGCTCTCAGACAGACAGCTAATCTGTGGCTCCACGATGCTCGCAGCCCGGGTAGAGGTGTGAGATGGGGGCGACTTGGCTCCTCCCGTTCCCACACATGGTATGGTGAGAGTTACCTAGCACGTACGCTCTGGTTGGAGCTGTAGAAGAGTCTAGGAGTTAAAATATCTCACAGTAACTAACAGAGCGTTAAACGTAGACTGACTGAAGTGCTGTACGTGAGCCTGACTGCTAGGAAAGAAGGAGAGACGGAGAGAAATCAGATATCAGATCTTGGCTGGTTCTTTGTCCATCCACCAAGTAGCGTATATATGTGGAGCTGGCGAGCTCGTGGGAGCAGGGCGGGGCTTGATTGGGCGGGGCGGGGCGGGGAGGGAATCTCTTCCCTTGTATCCATCCATGTTGGGGTTGTTACCGGTCGCTGCTCCTGTGTGTGTACCTAAGTATAATCAATTGATTGCGTGACAATAAGTGTCTGGAGCCGTTGCGGGGTTGGTGCTGGAGTGGTATTTTTCTGATAGTTGATATGTACGGAGTAGTTAGTTGTTGTTATGTTGTGAGAAGAAAGATTAAAAAAAGCGTGGCTGGGGGAAATGGTCTAGCCCCGGCGGTGTGTGCCTGGGGCCTGGATGAAACGATGTATCTTGCGCGGGAAATAGTGTGGAGAGTGACCTTGCATCAGAGCCTCAACCAACCGGAATCATATTCTTCATATACACGTACTCCGTATCTGTCTAAGGAACAAGCTGTTTTATGCTAATGTTCTCTGTTCATTGTACCCCATACCCGGGTAGCAGTGGGTGGTTAGCAGTAACCTGGACATACGAACATATGTAGTTACAGTAGTTACAGCAGTTCTCCCCGTACTGTACTACTTTCCTTGTGGCTCAGGTGAAGGAAGCTCCCCAGCATATCTGCGATGGACAGGAAGCTAGCAGGCTGATGCAGGCTGATGCTGGCTGATGCAGGCTGATTTTGGTGGCGGACGATTGGCTGTAGCTGGAGCAGCAGCCGTCGTACAAGCTTTTTGGGGGGGTTTTGTGGTTTTTCTCTCTTGGGTTGTTAGTAAAACAGTAGATTGCTGTTGAATTTCACCAGCATGCTTCCTTATCAACTACCATGGTACAGATAGAGAATGAAGGGAAATATCGAATTAAAATAGCTATTATATAGTTATATATAATATTCCTGTCGTACCTGACCATCTTCCCCTCTCGTCTCTAAATCTTGTTGAATTTTTTCCCATGTCTATATAGTTATTTTTGAGTTCTGTCACCAGCCACCGCCATCACCCGCTCGTCTCGTCCCAGTCCCGGTCAAGTCTGCGAAACTCACAGCTTCATTTCTTCCCAAATCAGCCATCCTCCTCTCTCTCTCTCTGTCTCACACACACACACACACACATACATATACACAACTCCTCAACCCTATCTTCACCTGCTATTCCTCCTACTTGCTTTTACCTTCTTCTTCTTCTTCTTCCTAATTGATTCTTCATCCTTTTCCCTCTTCGCCTCCCTAATCCCAGTTCTCCCCCGATAATCCCACTGGCGTGACCAATGTTTTCCCCATGTCAACACCTTCTTCCGCTCCCGTTGATCCCTCGCCCACAACCCTTGTGACACCTGCGCCCAATGCTCCTCCTGATTCAAGCTGTCTGCAATCGCCGCCAACCTCTGAAGCCGTAGCCAAAGCCAAATCCCCTGGTCGCTGCTCGCTCAGCCAACAGCCTACCCACGTTGCTGGCCCTGCTGCATCAACACCTCTCCGCACTAATGCTGCCACTACACCCCCTACGCCTGCGGGCCGGTTAAGACCCCCCAACCCCTCATTCCCTCTGAAGCGGACAAACACGGCTCCCTCCTCCTCCTTCTCCTCTTCTTCCCGTCCTCATGCCCCTTCTGTAACCTCCCCTATCACCTCTACTACCTCCTCCTCCTCCTCCTCCTCCTCCTCCTCCTCTGCCTTTCGACCCCGGAGCCCTCAGTTGTCCGAGAGGGAGAGTATCTTTGCCACGCATTATCTGCCCTCAGACAACGATGTGAATAATACTCCGGCCAAAAGGGACACGGGAAGTGGTTTTTACACTCTCCGCCAGCAATTGCTACAATCTGCTACAGGGGGCCATCAGACAGGAGAAGGAGAAGGAGAAGAAGAGCAACCGCTTTTGCAGACGACTGCGGAAAGCAGAAGACTTCCCGCGCAGAATATTAATATCAATAATAACAGCAGCAACAACGACGACGATGGCGACATCAGCGGAAATAATCCTAATAATAATAATAATAAGAGCCCTTCGCGGCTTCCTGACCGTCGGCAAGATGCCAATGCTCCTTCTCTGTCCACTGACCCCGTGCGGAAGGACAGCTTCAAGTCGATTTCTTCCTCAGCCTCTTCGTTTCGCTCCCGCTCTCCTCCCTTGCCTCCCTCGCATCCTCGACTCCCCCCCCCGCCTCTCTCTTCGATGATTTCCACTCAGCATCCGCAGCGAGCCTGCGCTGTCGTTGGAGGCAGTGGTGCTGCTGGTACTGGTGCTGGGGCTATTGCCTCAGATCGCCCTCACGGAATTGATGTTTTCTTCCAACCTCCTTCACGTACCCCTAATCCCCCATCTGCAGAACTCCCGCCACCATACATACGGCTTTCCAGAGCAAGAACCTGGGACTCTATTGAAACCCTTACTCCGTCCGTCCCTGATTCACACATCGCTGAAGCTAAAGCTACTCCTTCCCTAGTCACCCCAGCTACGGCTGCGACGAATTCTAACATGTCGACTTCGATGGCTACTAAACCATCGGCCAAAGAAAATAAGAGCAGGGGCCAGTCGTCTTTGACGAACTCCATCCAGCAACCTGATCAGTCTGGGGCCCGGGCCCGGGCCCGGGGCGACTCCTCTGATTCCCGTCGAGATCGTCCAGCCACACGCAGCTCCAGCAAGAGCCACCGCTCACGGCAAGAGACTTCGATCGAAGCTGACTTGGCCAATGCTGAACCAGCCTCTCACGTACGGAGTCGCAAATCAAGCCATTATCTGGGCCTGTTCAAAGAGAATACAAAATCTCCAGAGCGCAAAAAGCGCGATGAGCGTCTTGCGGAAAGGGATCAGGAGCGTCAACGGGGAGGCGGCGAGGGTCACTATTCTGGTGAACGGGGAAGAGCTGAAGGTACTTCCTCGTCGTTGCGCTCTCAGGTTATACTCCTCCCCCCCGACGTGTCAGAGCCCCACCAGTTGCAACGAGAGGACGATGAGAATTCTCATGATGAGGATGGAAGAAGTGATGTACTTGATTCTACCAGCACTACTCCTACAAAACACACTACTAGAAATCCGCTTCATATTGATACTACCGAAGAAAAACCCCGCACGGATAGGTGGAGGAAGGTTCCTGTTGACCTCCTGGATGAAATCAAGAGCTACCGTGGCTTCGTTTCTCCGTCAACAGGCACCCTGCCCACCCCGATCTTGGATCGTGGATCAGCTCTAGGTTTTGGGTCAGATTCCACCTTCGACAGCAATTCTGCAGGGTCTGACACTACACAGCGTCTCACACGGGCAGGCTCAGACAGTTACGAGGACGAAGAACGGATTTCGTCCGCTCTCTACTTCCCACATCAACGCCAAGAATCAGATGATGTCGAGGTCGAGGTTGAGCAGCTCAACACCCCAGAGGAAGAGGAACCTCCGGAAGAGGAGCTCAAGCGTTTATCCCTAGAGATGAATGATGAGGGGACACTAAACGAACCCTCCAAGCATGTGGACATATCTTTGCGTTCGGATGGCGACGCTCAGCTCCTCCATGGAGACATGCCGAAGACTTCTGAGGATCGAGTCGGCGAGAAGAACGACCGTCCGCTGACCACGATTTCAGAGTTGGGCCCTGAATCAACGTCTGAGTCTGAATTTGCCTCAGCGGATGAAAGTGGGCTTTCTGCACGTGAGGAAGAGTCTAGTTTAACGGACGATGCAGGCGCTATTCCAGCTAGTGCTGCAACGCACTACAATCACCACTCTGCACGCTCTAGGCGTAAACATGCGCACGCGCCTACCGCGCCTCTTGGAGCTGTGGAGCTAAAGCCGTATCGACATCAAGTCGGGGGCCATACTACAGTATTTAGATTTTCCAGACGAGCTGTCTGTAAGCAATTGAATAATCGGGAGAATGAGTTTTATGAGAGAATTGAGCGTAGACATCCCGAAATGTTGATGTTTCTGGCAAGGTTCGATTCATTCATTTTTTTTCTTTTTTTCCCGTCCCTAGCCTCTCTCCTTGGAGATCCATCCCGGAAAACACCAAATCTTTCACTCGTGGGCCGTGTGTAATGATTAACAAGAATGCTAATGACGCGTTATTCCCCTACCATGCAGATATATTGGCGTTCTGAACGTAACGTTCTCCAAAGGCCCAAAGCGACCAAAGAATAAACCCGATGAGACCGCCGTTGAAAGCGGAACTGGCCCCTCCACCTCCACACAAAACGATGCTGAGAAAACCCCGCAGGTTTCGAAAGAGACCAAAGACGTAGAAAGTCCGCGGATTTTTAGCCAATCGCAAGTTACAGGGGTCATTCCGAAGGTGATTCTGGAGAATAACCGACATATAATTCCGTTAGATCTGTTTACTTCTACCGAGTCCCCAGATAGTAGAGATACTTCTGGGACTGGAAAAACTGCGGCTAAGTCGGCATCAGCATCGACCACCGGTGCGCCTCCTCTAAAGAGGCATGGAGCCAGCTGGGGCGCGACAACTGTGAATACAAAACTACAGGAACAGGTTCTCCGGGAAGTTTTTGCGCCGCCGCCAATCCACCATCATCGGCGCCACGCTCGTGGACATAATTCCCTATCCAGGTTGCGGGCTGAGACCTCGCGAAGACGAAAAAATGCTTCCATGGCTCGTCAGTCTTCACAGAGCGACAGTTCTGTTCGCACTGTGCGCGAAGGATCGATGCCCCCTCTTCGAATGAATCGGGACGAAGACAAGAAGGAGACCAATTTATTGTCGTCTGTCTCCACAGTTGTGAATGGGGATACCCATGCGCTGGAGAAAATCTATACCGAAGAAGCACCCTATCGTCCCAAAGTCTTGGCGCCCACCACCTCACGAACGAGGCGCCGTCACTCTGGTAGCGGACTTGAAAGACAACGAAGCATGAGCAATGGTAAAGCTGGAGACCTGGTTTATTTTGATGACGATGGATATGGTGGGGATAAGGAAGATGAAATCTTCAGAATGGAGCCGGAAGCGCTAACCCGCCCTGCTTCCTCGCAACCCGTCACGAACCCTGCCCTTGTTTTCGACGATGCTCCTTCTGGTGCTCATGAAAGCGAGACAACGTTAGAGTTAGCGACTCCACTCCAGAACAAGAAATATCCTGTCACTCTGGAGACTTCGGCTGGGGGCCCTGTGCGTCTCCCTGTCAACCCCAAAGAAGCACAGACGACGCGGGATGAACGGGTTAAGTTCTTCCTACTTCTTGAAGACCTTACTGCTGGAATGAATAGGCCGTGTGTACTCGATCTAAAAATGGGTACCCGCCAGTATGGAATCGAGGCCGATGAGAAAAAGAAGAAATCTCAGAGGCGCAAGTGCCAAACTACTACATCGCAGCAGTTAGGAGTACGGCTTTGTGGGATGCAAGTCTGGAATATCAAGAAGGAAGAGTATCTGTTCGAGGATAAGTATTTCGGCCGTGACCTCAAGGCTGGACGACAGTTCCAGGACGCTCTCACAAGATTCTTGTATGATGGGGTTAGTTACTCGAGCGTCACCAAGAAGATTCCTATTATCCTTGATAAACTTGCTCGACTAGAGAGTATGGTGCGGCGACTCCCCGGTTACAGGCTTTACGCCAGTAGTCTCTTGATCCTCTACGATGGAGAAAAACCTGTGGAACAAGAGAAGCCTGACGCCACGACGACGACAGTTGATCGTGACTCTGCAACAAAACAACAAAATAAGAAGAAAGGAACATCCCTAGTAGATGACAAGGACGGACAGAACAGTTTCGGCCTCCGCGTGAAAATCGTCGATTTCGCCAACTGCATCACAGGCGAAGATGGCATACCGCCCAATGCGCCCTGTCCACCCCGTAACCCGCATGACATTGACCGCGGATACCTGCGCGGCCTGCGGTCGCTCCGCATGTATTTCCAACGTATCCTAAGGGAGATTAATGATGAGGACTATGTGGAGAGGGGGGAAGGGGAGGGAATGGCGTTTTCGCGGCGTGGTGGGGCTGGGATGGGGGTTGGAAGGGAGAATGGTGGTGATGGGTATGATGGTGGGTTTTGGGAGGAGGGTGTTATGGATAGTGATCCCGGGGAGGTTAGTGTTTAGGTTTTGGTTGTTGAGTGTCTCGCTTCTCCCCGCCCTTTCCCTTCTTCGTCCACGTTCGCCCTGGATCGTGGGTTTTATTTCGTTGTGGGTATTCCTCGTTGGCAACATTTTTTTTTTTACTTCTCTTTGTTAGTATGACGGGGTTTGCTCCGATTTCTCTGTTTTCTTATCCTTCATGACCGTTGTTTTCTTACGGGGCTTTTTCTTCCCTTTGCCGTTTTTGTTCTTCCTGTTTTTTTTAAAACCTACCTTCTGCCGCTTCTTATTCATACTTTTCTTATCTTTTCCCACCTTTTTTCCCCATTCTCCCGGTTTTTATTTATTTATTATGGGCTGATGGGACATGGGAAATGGACCGCATGGGACACGGAAACTGGAAACAGGATTTGGGACCTGGGATTCGGATTGGGTTACTGGGACGGAGTTTTTATTTTTATTAAATTTTTTTCGGAAATTCGGAAATTCGAAAAGAAAGCGTAACGTCAACAATAACATTAATAGCTCCTAGAATTGATGAAATGAAATGAAATGACACGGAAATTACACTATAGCATTGTTGTGTAGTACATGTAGTCCGTATATATACCCGACAAGACATAACGCAGCGTGCGATATCGATCTGGCTCGGAGTTCGGAATAACCATGGCCGAACCCAAATAGGGAAAGCGTAGAATGGGTCGCGCTCTTCTGACGTCGGCTGCAACATTCCACCATCAAACAACCTCAACATCAGACCACCACCGTCGACGGGATAGGAGCGGACAGGATAAGACGGGATAGCAGAGACTGAGAGACAACAACGACGACTCTGTTGAGAGAGGATTTGAGCATCCTTGCAAGCTACCGCGTTACCCATACCCTGCTACAGACAGGCACGTTTAAAACCACAGCTCCAGCCTACATTTCTGTCTATCTTATCTATCCCGAATTGAAAGATGGAGCTACTTGTCTAATTTATTATTGGGTAGCTTTGCAGCTATGCATGCTGTGACTCTCCTGATATAATTATACTATTATATGGATCCTTGAAAACCCTCGAAGAGAGAGGAATGAGCCTCCCGCAGTGCAGTTGCTAAATAGTACAGTACATAAAGGCCAAAGCGAGGGATGTTGCCGGTGCATATTTAATCTAGATTCGGATCACAATATTGTCTTGTGTGTTTGGCCAACGCTACCACTGGACAAGAACAATATCTATATCTTACGCCCAATGATCTTGGGTGTCGTTCTGCGTTGAAGGTCAGACTGGACGTCATCCGTGGTGCTTTGTTTGGGGGGATTGTTGATTTCCCAGAAAAATACAATCCATACAACGAAGTGAGCGTAAACGTAACCTAGGCGTATCGACGGGGACGAAGGACATCGCATACGCTCTCTTCAGTTATAACCTCGCGAAGATCCGGGTTTCTTTCCCCATCCTATAACATGCCACCCTCCAATGATTCCCGGCATGCTAGAATCGTCGATAAGCGAGATTTCGACATCAGTCGACCCTTGCTCCTTCGCGACACTGAGGACGAAGATGACGGTGATGATGCTTGTAATGTCGGCCATGGGACAAATAGAAGTGGGCAGTGTGGCTATGGTCGCAGCAGCAATGGCCATCCCGGTGACGACGACGATGAAGCTGGCTCTGACAATATAGAGCGGGATAGGAAGGCGTTGAATCGGCAGGTGGTTAGGATCCTGAGCTTTATATGGGGTGTTGGGAGTGCGTACGTTGGATATTCCTTTTCTTTTTTTCTACTTCTCTCCAAACCCTGTTTTCCCCTGGATTTTTCAATTGCAATTACGGGACTTGGGGTGGTTTTTGTTGTCGTTGGGATATATTCATAGGTTATTTGCTTCTATACATCAAATTCTAATTAATTGGCTGTTCCTTTGGCGGTATACGATGAAGCCTCTGCGCCGGAAGCATAACCGCATTCTCCCTCTACGCACCCCTCCTCCAAACCCGCCTCCATTACTCCCAGTTCCGCATCAACGCTGTGGCAGCCGCCGCGGCAGTTTCCATGTACCTCCCTGTGGCATTTTTCGGCTATCTCTGCGATAGATACAGCCCCGGCCCTATATCATTCATCTCCGCTTGTCTTTTCGGCCCTGGTTACCTCTTCGCGGCATTCACGTACAAATCCGGACCACCTGTTGACGCTGGCGGCACGGGCTGGCCGTTCGCGGTTATGCTTATGTCATTCGTTGGCGTGGGTGCTGGCACATGCTGCATGTATCTCGCTGCCGTCACGACGTGTGCGAAGAACTTCGGGCGTGGGAAACGTAAAGGCATTATGCTTGCCCTGCCCATTGCAGCTTTTGGACTTAGCGGTATGTGGCAGAGTCAGGTGGGGAGTCGTTTGCTGTATGAGCGTGGGCCGGACGGACAGAAAGGGGATGTTGATGTTTTCAGATACTTCCTTTTCCTGGGGATATTGTTGAGTGTCGTCGGGGTTGGCGGGACCTTTGCGTTGCGCATCGTGGGTGAGGAAGAGATGATCGATGAGGCGGTAGAGGAGTTAGAGAGGAGCGGGATAATTGGTGAAAGTGACTTTTTCCGCTCGAGGGAGGAGGTTCGGGCTGCAATATCTTCATCGTCAATGTCGTATGGGACTATGGACGGCACTACGGCTGAGACTGGGGTTGATACGCCACTCGAGGATGATTCTCAATCCCTCACTCTTTCGCGGGAGGAATGGCAGGATCACCAGAAGGAGGAGCGGAGGAAGAAGAACTGGCTCCTTAACCAGGAGACGAGGTTGTTCTTGAAAGATAGAACGATGTGGTGGCTTGCGGTGGGGTTCCTTCTGATCACTGGCCCTGGAGAGGCATATATAAATAATGTATGTTTTGGCCAGCATCCTATTTTACATCCTTGCTTTTCCCTCTGCATCATCTCACTAACTTCCCCAAAATGAAAAGGTCGGCACCATAATCCCAACCCTCACCCCTCCCTCATTCCCTCCCCACCTCTCACCTCCCGCTGGCGGGGCAGCTACCCACGTCACATCCATCGCCCTAACCTCCACCCTCGCCCGACTCCTAGCCGGCTACTTATCCGACATCTTCGCTCCATCCCCCGCACGACCCCACCTCCAACCTAGCTCACGCTCCATTAGCTTCAATGATCAACACGTCCCAAACCCCTTCGCCCGCCGAAACTTCTCCCGCCTAACCTTCCTCCTCCCCTCCGCCCTCCTCCTCTCGCTCGGCTTCCTCTGCCTCGCCACGCCTCTCTCCTTCTCTACCCCGCAAACCCTCCACCTAACCACCGCCCTCGTCGGCCTCGGCTACGGCGCCTCCTTCGCGCTTGTCCCCATCATCATCTCCGTCGTATGGGGCGTGGAGAACTTCGGCACTAATTGGGGCGTTGTTGCTATGTTTCCGGCGGCGGGGGCGGCGGCTTGGGGCGCGATTTATTCTGCGGGATATGAGGCGGCAAGGAGGGCGGGGAATAGCGATGGGTTTCAGCAGTGTGCTGGCTGGCGTTGTTATGGGTTCTGGGCGCTCGGGTGCACTGCTAGTGTTTGGGTGGCGATTGGGTTGTGGACGGTTGCGTGGAGGGGGTGGAGGCGGAGGGGGGTTGTGGTTTGATTGGGAGTGGGCAGGGTTTGGAAGTAAGAGTAAGTAGGGAGTAGCTATGACCGTGCTCTTGGATATTTCTCTTTTCCTCTGTAGCATCTCCCCATTTTGTTGTATAGAGGGGTTAGATATTTTTTACTTATTTTGGTTGGTGGATAATAGATAGATTTGGCTTGGTGGCTGGCTAGAGGAATTCAGGTCATTGTGCTCTGCTCTGCTCTCTGTAGATGAGATTGATAGATGGCTTAACATTTTCAGGAATAGGCAATTAATTACTTTGGTATCTCTGCATGTTACCTGTCTAGTCACAAGTGTCAATCTCACGATGCTTACACACCTGTGCACGCTGCGTTTGAATCGGGATAAAACGTACTCTACGGAGTACACTTGGTATATATAGCTAGAGGTATCCAGTACTTAAACCCGTCAGAACCAGGTTCGCTGTTATCGATGCTAAAGCAATGCATCTAACCTTTCATATTGAGATATGTCATAGGCGTTTGAGAAAGAAAGAAGATACCATTTCCCCAAGAAATGAGTAGAATACAAAAAGGGTATATATATAGTTGTTCCAACCCTACTACTGCGACTCGAAATAATTCCAGTCCAAAAAAAAAAAAAAAAAAAAAAACAAAACGGAGCATGAGTTACATGAAAGGGAAAGAAAACGTCCGATGATGCGCCAACCACATTTCCTCATAAATTCTCTACTACTTCCGCAGCCCGAAGTCGGATGTAGATGTAGAAGTAGTAACAGTACGAGAGGGATCCGTGGTAGATAAAATTCGGAACGGACTTAGATATCGGTCGACGCTGGGTTCAAGCCGGTAAACACTTTATGTAAACGCTTGCTTATAGCAGGGCCGACGCGAGCATCTGTGAAGGCACCATTTCTATTTGCACATTTCTACATCGGTTTAGTTCATCAGTTTGGCTGCCTGGCATTGGGGTCATGGAATGTATGGATTGAGGCCTCGAAGGAAGGAAATAAATGCTTCGCGGTGGAAGAAATGGGAAATACGGAAATGACAGGGGTGCATGATATATACCTTTACGTCCTCCAGGAGAAGTGGCCCCTGCTCCTTCAATTGTCTCACTAGTTCCGCCACAGTGGGATATTGAGATGTTATCCCATACGATATCGGGGCTGTTACGCGCTGAACCTCCTGTAACATTTTGACATACGTATCTCTATTATCTTCACCCGACTTTACCTGGCCAACATCCATACAGAACGACGCGTCATGTAAGTTTATGAGCTCCTGCCGATAAGGTATCGTGGATACATGTTCAGTGAAATTCTTGATCCACTCTGCGGATTCACTTGGTGCTGTGGTGTGGTGAATCAGACATCCATGTTGCACTTGGAGCTGGAGCAAAGCGTCTTCGATGGCGTCGTCATCGACAGGTGGAGGTGGGGGTACCGTCTGTTTGGGCTTCTTTTGGCGTTTAGGTAGCTGTTGCTGTTGCTGAGGTTGGGAACTGCTTCCCAATTCTCGAAGAACTGATGCCTGGTAGGCTCGGTTCCTCGAATTGTTGTTCTTTCTCATCCATACGGATAAGCCCTCGATGAGATAGATTGGTTTGCACCCGGGATAAGTGCGTTTCATCATGAGGACATGGGAATCGAGGGTATTATCGCCATTTGCGGTGGCTATTGACATGTCGACAAATTCCTGTGCTAATAGCAGACATAGAACGTGGTCTTCCGTTTTAATGGTTGGGGGACAGGGTTCCCAGTGCGCTTCCTTGTCATTGTACTGAGTAGTGACTTTCCTTCTCCATGTAACGATATTTGGCATGCGAGTAGAAATGAAATTCTTTTCCACTCCAAGATGTCGCATATACTCCGTTACTTGGTTGCCGACACTGGACTCCTCAAAGGTAGAGGACATGTCTATAATCATTTCTGGCGTGGAAATTTTCTTATCAAATTTCCGCTTGTTGGCTTCCGCAAGGTCAGCAGCTAGTTGTTTCTCTCTAGCCTTTTGCTCCTTTAATTTTTGCTTTCGTTTTCTCTCTTCTTCTTTCTCCTTTTCACGGCGTTCCTTTGTAGCTTGTTTTTCTGCTTCCCGCATTTCCCTATCAGCGGTAGACGCCTTTGGCGCTCTTCTTGGTCTCGACGTTGGAAGCACCGACGGAAGGGAGTCATCATCTAAATCTATCCTCTGGCTTGGGTCTGGCACCCGGGTTCTAGAACTGGAGGATATCGATTTGGCGGCAGATGTGCTAGCACCCCTCTGCTTGGATTTGGTGGGTTCGACTGAGGAGCGATTTTGGATCCGCGCGAGTAGGCTCGCTGTTCTATCAGACAAATTGGCTTTCAAGCTGGCTGGTGGTGGGACATTCAGTGGACCTCCAGGGGAAGATAGCTCATCGGATTCTATGATACTGTCGTCTATTGTTATGACAGCAGGTGTTATTCTTGTATTATTGTCTCGAATGTGCGCAGTTGTCGGATCAACGGTAGATGATGTAAATTCTATAGGGTCTGATATGTCGCCATTCCATGTACTATTCTTTGTCGTCGAATGATAATTATTATTAAAGCGAGGTATGGGCGAGGTTGTTATACTCCCATCCAAGTCAGAAAACAGCAGTAAAGGGTTTGTCTTCGGAGGAGGGCTCAGTTGCCTAGGTGGGCTCAGATAGCGCTGGTGGCTCAATCTGCGCTTCTTGGAAGGGTTTGAATCTTCCCAGTCGAAATTCGAATCATCAGAGAGGATGGTTATGCGCGCTGGGCGATCTGGCAGCTTCGATGAGACGTTTGGAGCTGGACTTGAACGCGCCCTCAAAGGTGACGACGACGATAACAGGCTGATGACTTCCGGCATTATAGAGTCCTAGTCCGCAACCCTCAAACTGCGGTCAGTTGCGCCGTTGAAATTATACTAATTTAGATGAATTTCGCGCGTTCGCCATCGAAAGAGACGCCCAAGGTCATAACCTAAAATGCGGGCAACTGGAAGCAGCAGAACCTGTATATCCAAAACGAAGGCTATTAGTGAGTGGAAGGGAACGAAGAGAAACAAAATCCACGCCCCCCGGTAATCGCAGCACCCTTCTTTGTGTGCGTTTCTTCGTGCCCTGGACTTGAACCCGGACAAACCAGTGGTTGTGTGTTGGATGTTGCAAAGGTTGGGAAGTTGAAATCGCGATAAATATTTAAGAACGCGTCGTCATGTGACTATTTTTCCCAAAAAGGAAACACACTCTGATTCACATGGAGGTAGGATTGATATACTCTGCTTTTACATTCTATGCCTCAAAATAATTACAAGCCGAGACGTGTTATACTACTGTGAGGTGTCAGCCATAACTATAAAATTCCTGACGCCGCAGGATGGGATTGGTGCGGTTCCCTTGTAGCGCAACTTCAGCCAATCATTACTCATTCACATTCAACTTCACCATTCACAATAAATAAGATACACCGTTGAAAAGCAAAGCCCTAGAGCGTTGGCGCTAGATGGAAATACATTCTCGTGAAGCGGTTCTGAACTAGGAAATTGGTATAGTACCGCTCGTCGGGGCCGCCAGGGGTTTTCGAACAACCAACCTAGAAACCTCTGCTGGATCCAATACATTGGCTAGGAGCACCTGGCATGCTCCGTTATTATACATGCCAGCAAATAACAGATAAAGGGAGCAGGGTCCAAGATGATCCTTCTGCCATCTATCTTAGACACATAAGGCTTACATCAACACCACTTCCACTGTTTGTTGCTCGTTATCTGCAATATAGACACGCGCACGTTAAACGCGCACGTTAAAGCATGCGTGGAAACGCCAGGAAAAATCGCACAAGATGCGACTGCAATAGACTTCGGAACGTACGAAGTTGGAAACCTCACAACAACGCGATCGTACAATGCAGCGTTGAAGGTGCCTATGTAGATGCCGTAGAATGCGCCTCTTATAATAGACGTCGCCTTTTGACTGGAGGTTGAGGGCGTTACGGAGCGTATAAATAACTTCCACGACCCCACTTGCCCTTGGTCAGCTAGATGGAGAGTTGGCGTTTTCAGCGCAAGTTCACCCTCGTTTCATTCGCAGCCTTATGAACGCTGCTATGAGCACCGCAATCGTCAACCCAAGCATCGCAGCCCCGAATAATAATGCGTGCCACAATCCATGGAACGGACGAGGCTCGTTATCAAACATATCTTGAATTTCTGCTTCCAGTCGGTCTCCCATGGCCTGCAGTGAGAACTCCTTTTCCACTCTTTCTTTGGCATTTGCTCGCATCACCGCAGCTTCTTGCGCATTCATTTCCCACAATGCTTTGTGCATGACCGCTGTCCACTCTTCAATGGCGTTCGCAGCTCTCAGCCAGCCGGTTTTCCCCTCCACGATTGTTTCTAATGGGCCCCCGTTGTTTACGGCTAGAACTGGGAGGCCTGCGTGCATCGCCTCGACCGGCACTATGCCGAAATGCTCATATGATGGGGTGTAGACGAGAAGAGTGGCTGCTGAAAGAAGGGTTTGCTTAAATGCGGACGGCACTGAGAGCAGGAAGAGGACCTCTATTGAATCGGGTATAGAAAGTGCAGATATAACTGTTTTCGACGTGGCGGTTCGTAGGCCTAGGCCTGTAGCCAGATCGTCGAGATCTGTATGATATTGGACGTTTTCGTGCACGCGGTTATCGTATCCACCTATATGTAAAAAAATCAAAATAAAACAAAATAAAGAAATTAGCAACTTCATTCGAGATTATCAATGAATAAACTCTTAAAAAGTAACTTACCAGCAATGATCAACCGCGTCCCCTGCCTCCCCTCCTCCCCAAGCCCATGATATGCCCGAATCGCAAGCCCAACATCCTTCTTCCTCTCAAACCGATTAATACTCAGTAGAATCTTTTTCCCACCCCAAAGCTTTCCCCCCTCAACCAGTTTCCCTACATTCTTAGCCCCAGTATCAACACACGGATAAACAACCCTCACATCCCCAAGCCCATCCCCGAAAACTTGCCTGACAACGCCGCACGTAAATTTCGAATTAGCAACAACCTTATCCGCTGCGCCGATCGCCCACCCTTCGAACCAATCGAAGGGGTATCGGTAGCACGCTTTAACCAGCTGCCGTATAGCCCCACCCTCGTTGCGCTTCGCGAGCAATTGATCTGGGAAATGGCAGTAGAAGAGGATGCGCTGTTTGCGTCTCGTTTTGGACTTTGCATTATTCCGCGATGACGACGACAACGACGACAAGAACGGCCCAAATGTTTTTAGAATAGGTACACACGCCGGCACCTGGTCAACGATATATACCTCCTCCTCCCCTTCCTCAGTTTCCCCATCCCCTCCACCCTTTCCCCCCTCCTCCCCCTTAGACGCCGCCAACAATCCCGCCACCAAATGCATCTGCCTCAACACAGCAAACAACACCCGAAACCGCCCCGCAATCTGGTCCGGAAACATCGTGTTCCCACGCACAGCCACGTCCAGCGTGCCGTCGCGAGCCTCTTCGAAGCAGTGGTTCGGGTCCCGGTGCGACGTGTAGATTTTCACCCTGTGCCCGCGCGCCTGGAGAGATAGGGCGACGTCTAGGACAAGGCGCTCAGCGCCGCCGATGCCTAGGTCTGGGTGGAGGAGGGTTACTGTTCGGCGCTTTTGGGGGGGGGGTGCGGAGGGGTTTGACATTTGCTTCGGTTGGTTTGGTTGGATTGCAATTGGGATTGGCTAATTTTGAGATAGGTCAGTTTTTATTTTTGTGGGTTATTTGAGGGAATGATATGTGATATTGGAATTGGAGTCCTGGAGGATAGAGGACAGCTATTATTTTGATAAACTAAACAAACCGAGTCGATGATGATGTTGATCTGGTGGTCATAGCACCTTATTTTTTTGTCATGTGATTTTAGTGTCTGCAGACTACAAAATAAATTTTAAGGAGGTATCAACAAATCAAATTAACTATAGGGAAATAGAATGTTATATAAGACGTGCATAATAGGTTAACTAACAGAAGCGAAGAGAAGTAAACTACACAGGCACATAATAGAAATAGGAAAAGCCGATGTGTACAGGTTAGAAGCCGGGGGTATGATAAGAAAATTGAGTTTTTAAACAAGGATGACAGCAGAGTACCCACTCAATTAATTATATGAGTGGCATGCTTGCTGGTGGAAGAGTGAAAGAACAAGTCTGAAGTTCGAATGAAGAATGCATCAGGCAAAAAGTTGATGGTAAATAATGTATCTATCCCATCTTTAGGTTTCGAGTGGGGTGGAGTGATATCAAGAAGTAGGAAGGGAGGAAGGTAAAAAGGGTGAAGAAAAAGGGTTAGGGATAGTATAACAAAAACATAAAAAAATACCAAAAGGAAATGGATAAAGAATACAAAGAGGAAAACAAAAGCAAAAAGGCAGCAACATGTACGGGGAGGGGATATATAATCAACATTCAACAGCTCAATAATGAAAGAAGAGCGTTGGAAGGGGAGCGAACGAGAACGAGAGAAGAAAAAAGAATATATCTGGGTCATAAATGACATCGTCAAGAAGGGAAATAAGGGAATAAAGAAAGGACGAAAAAAAAAAGAAAGAAGAAGAAAAGAAACGGAAAAGAAACCTAGTAGTTAGAATATTAGGTATGGGTATGAGGGGCGTTGGGGGGTGTTAGGGGGAATAATAAGGAGCATATCGTCAATTTAGTTTTTAACAGAAAACACAAAAACACAAGCACGCGCATGGAAATAGTATATATCCAAGGGAAATGAAAAGGAAACCAAAGGCGGAAAGAAAACACGAAAAACAACCAAACACACAAAAAGGGGAGACACATCCTGCCTAAAAACAATTGAGCGTACTCTTCTTCTTCTTCTTACTAATAGCATTCATCTTCTCCTCCAAATGCGCCCGCGCAGCCTCCGCCTCCCGCCGCGCATTCCGCTCCTCCTCCACAGCCTGGATCGACAGTCTCGTCGAATTCCGCTCAGACCGCAGCTGCGTTAGCTCGTCCTCATACTGCCACGCCTTCTTCTTCCACGCCTCCATTTCCGTCTTCACTTTGTTGCTCTGCGCCTCGAGATCGCCCAGGGCTTCCTCGAGAGTGGCTGTTAGTTGTTTCTCAGCGTGTAGGTGTTTCTCGATCGTGCGGATGCGTGCTTCCTGGTCCTCGACAAGTTGGGCGTTGACGAGCTCTTTACTGGTATGTCGTGAGCTGGGTGGGGATATACTTCCGGTCTGTGCGGCGATGTTGGGAAGAGGAGGGAGGGGGATGGCGGGTGGAGGCGACGGCAGCGATGCTGCCGAGGCGCTCTTTCTGAGATTGGATGTCATAGAGCTGCTGCGATCGATCGATGTCGGTACATCACCATTCCGCATTTGTCCCTGTTTCATCTCTATTAGCACGGAGCTAGAAAACCAGTGGGAAAAAAAAGAAAAGAAAAAAAAAAAAAAAAAAAAAAAAAAAAAAAACTCACCTCCAATTGCTCAATACGAGCTCGATAGCTCTCAATCTCTTTCTCCAAATTCCCAATCTTGAGGTTCGCCTCATCAAGCGCCTGGTGCCTCTCCTGCTGAATCACGGAGAGTCGGTTATGATGTTGGTCGAAGGTATTGGTAATCTGCTCCTCCAGCTCCTCCACGAGACGGACGCTCTTCTGCTTCTCAATGGTGATCTCATTGATGATTGCATCCTTCTTCTTGATGAGATCCTCTTTCTCTTTGAGGGCGTCCTCATGGCTAGCGACTAGATGAGCAAGTTCTGTCATCTTGGCTTCATGTCGACTAGACTTCTCTGTTAGGTCGGCGAATTGCCTCTCGAGCTTGGCATGGCTGCTATTCTTCGCATCTAGTTCCTTCACGAGTTCTTCATTGGTATCGAACAGTGCAGAGTACTTATCAGCGAACTGCTGTTTCTGAGAAAGAATGTCGTCAATCTGCTCCTGGAGACTGTTGGCGGTAACAGGAGTATTCAAAGCTGCAGTGACACCAGACAACAATTTCGTCAATTCGTTCTTGGAGGCGGATATTTCCGCTCGCAAGGCGTTAATGGCCTGCTCGTTGCGAGCGCTCTCCTCCGCCATTTGTGATTCATATTGCGCCTCGGCAGCAGCCTTGACCTTGACCTCCAACTCTTCTAGTTCTTGCTTGTGCAATTCCTGCAGGGACGCAAGCTCCGCCTTCTGCGCCTCAACGGCAGATTTGTGGGACTCTATCTCTTGCTCTAGGGCTGTAGCGCGAGCACGGTAAGACTCTAGTTCCTCATTACTATAACGGCTATCGTTTTCCTGTTGAGAAATCTGTTCCTTGGCGGCCTCAAGCGACGATTCTAGACCGGAAATGGTAGACAAGTGAGTAGATATGGTGCTTTTCTGCTCTTCAATGTTATGCTTAAGACTACCCACAAGCTCCTGATGCTTAGCTCGCGCATTTTCAAGGCTTTTTGCAGCGACAGCTACTTCTTCCGCACTGGCTCCCTCAACTTCGTTGCGCTCACTTCGCAGGGCATCGATATTGGCGAGAGCAGCCTCTAGCTCGACCATGGTGGTTTGCAGCTGCTGTTTGGAGGACTGGAGTGATTCAGCAGCGGCACGGTGCTTGCTTTGCCACTCAGCTCGCTCTGCCAAGGCAGCTTGCAATTCAACAAGGGTGGCCTGAAGTTTGTTCTCGGATGATTTTAAGGACTCGACGGCGCCCTGGTGCTTGACTTCGAGTTCGAAATTTGCTTCGTCCAGCTGCACAATCTTCTGATCCTGAGCATTGGCCTTCTCATCCTTTTCAATCACTAGAGCCCTCTGTGTCTCCAACAGCTCATTCAAACTCTGAACTTCAGCGGTCAGCTCCTTCTCACGGGTGTCATGCGCTTCTTGCATCTCCTTGATCTGGTTCTCATACTGCAGGATCTGATCCCTCATCTGCGAGACCATAGAGATATCCATCGGCGACGAGCCGGAGAGACTCGACCGTTCCCTCGTCAGACCAGAAATGATAGTCGCCTTGGTCTCCATCTCTTTTTTGACATTTTTATTCTCAGCCTCAAGAGCTTGAATACGCTCCATGCGGCTGTGCAGCTCGTGCATGGCAGTGTTAAGGCTAACTTCGAAATTCTGCATCGTATCGGGTCTGTCTTCGAATTCTTCGATAGCGATATTTCTCAGGGAAGCGAGAGATCGATGTGCGCGGTCGACGGTAGTCATGTTCTGGCTGGTCATGCGTCGGATGACTTGGGCCTTGGGCGACGGAGAAGAGGGTGAGGAAGACTTTGTTCGCTGCAGCTCTTGTTTCAGGTCCTCGACCAGATTCAGGGTCTCTTCATGCTCTGATTGCAGCTGGGCATACTTCTGTGTCACCAAGCTCATGCCGTACTGGTGTTCTTGCAGCAGCTTGTGCATATTTTCCAGGTCACTACCATTAGGCTCATCCTTCTCGAAGGCATCTGGTAGGTCGGAATTGCCCTTGCGTCCGCTCTCCGAAGGCTCCTGTGAAATAGACGACTGCTCGGCCAAGTATAGCTCCGAGGAGAGCAATCGTGAGGATGAAGGCTGTCCGCCCGCCCTGAGCTCCTGGACTCTCGAATCTTCTAAAAAAGATACCGGCCGAGAACTTGTCATCGGGGTTGAAGCAGCCACCACATTAGGGGGGTGGCGGGCTTCGTCAACCACATCCTGAAGCTCGGCAAGAGTGCGGAGGGCTTCTTCATATTTGGCGTGAAGAAGATCGTACTCGTTGGTGGTGGTCTCGTGCTGGATTCGAAGTTCAAACAGTTCTTGCGTCACGTCCTCCAGCTTCTCCGCAACAAACCGGGATTGAGCAGGGCTCTGAGGGGGGTAATCGTAGTCTGTGGTGAGATTACGATCACTCTTTTCCCCAGAGGCCTTTTGCAGGGCTTCCAGGCCGGAATTGTCATCAGCACGGGCTTCCACCTCTTCCTGTTCAGAAGGAGCTGAACCAGCCTCTGGAAGCGTCTCCCCGAGATCATCATCGGACTCGGGAATGGCAGTTTCAACAGCTTCCATCAGTACATCGAGAGATTGAGATAGACCCCGCTTGCGGGGCTTCAGGGGTTCCCTACTTGCGACAGGAGCGGTGTGGGAATGTGCGGGATTGTAAATTTCCCGCTTGTCATCATCCGACTTAGCGCTGTTTTGTTGGATATGGTCGAGCTCGTACAATAGAGTATCGAGTTTACCAAGGCTACGCTGGCGATCAATAACGTGCTCTAACCTATCCATCTCACGCTGCATCAGCTCCATGTCCTGATCAGCCTCCGCTAGCCGTTCCTCCAGGGTTGATATATAGTCTTCGCAGCTGGCTTCGTTTTCACGCGCGCGAGCGATTTCTTTGCGTAACTCGGCGATAATAGCAGCGTTCTTCTCTTCCCCAGTGGTGTGGCCATCAAGCTTGGACTCAAGCTCGTGTAGGTAATGTTCCGTATTTGCTTCGCGATCCATCATTTTCTGAATACGGGCCTGTAGCTGCGCATTGACGGTCTCGATATAGGCACACTTGGTCTCCTTTTCCAGAAGGCTACTCTCAGTGTTAGACAGCGAGGAGCGAGTGTTGGATAAAGATGATTCGAGGCTTTGAATCGTTTTTTCATATTCCAATACAACCTGCTCGACAGACTCTGCGAAGGAATGGGAGCGCTTCAGCCTTTCCATCGCACTATCACCAAGCAGGCTTTGTAGGTCATCAGTATCCCCGCTGAAATCAGTAGCCTTGGTCAGTTCCGAGATGAGCTTGGCATGTCGTTGGCTGAGAGCGGTATAACTTTCTTGCACATCCAACAGGTGGTTCTGGAGTTCGATTTCTCGTTCATTTTGCCGTTCTGCGCGTTCTTGCGGTACGTTGCTCCTCCTATCCCCACCTTCGGAGTTGTTGATTTGCTGGCGTAAAAACGCCACTTCTGCTTTTAGTCGGTCAATGACGGCTTGTTTATCGCTTTCATCCGTCACTTGCTGGATGCGAGGTTTGCTTTGAATGGCTCTAGCCCGTTGGGCGTACTGCACGGTGTTGAGGGTTTCACTCAGGTGGAACTCAGCGGGTGTAACGCAAGCAATCATATAAGTAATTGCATTGCCACCGAGGGAATCTTGAAGCAGTCGAGTGAGCTTGGAATCGCGATATGAGACGTGAGCGCCCGCCTGTCTGGATGAAAGTTGTGAAATGACCTTGCCTAAACTAGCAAGACCAGCGTTAATTGATATGCCCTCCTTGGCCCGTTCCCCAGATGCACCAGTATTCTTCAGACGTTCGCTACCAGCAAGGTCAACAAAATGCAATTTGCTATCCACGGTAATTGACATGTCGGAGCCAGAAAGAGCTTCGACAGGCATCGACAATCGCTTCTCACGGGTCGACATATTCGACGTCTGGTCCTTGCGCTGGACAAGGTTCAAGGAGAAGACGGCATGCGAGCGGGAGGATTTTGCGTTGATCGCAGTGGCATCTGTTTGTCGGATAGAGGAGCCAAAATTCAGAGCTCCGATGAGGTCTTCGAACGAGTTGATATTGACCTGGTGTAGGCCCGTGAGTAGGATACGTCCCTTTGTGTCTTCGCGGATCGTAACGGAACCTCGTTCTCCAAAGGGCGTGTTTTCAGGGAGCAGGAGGTCCCTTAGTTGTTCATTATAAATCTAGATACCAGCAGGGTTAGACGAGTTGGTCTTTTCGTGTCAAAATTATTCAAGTATGAGGACTTTTTAAAATTACCTCTACATAAGTGGCTTTCATCTGCCAGCTTTTTTCCAAACCCCTGCCTAAATTGGGCAATGATGAATTGACGGAATATCGTGTTGGGGTTCGTAAGCCGGTTGAGCCGGTGCGATTGTGTGTGGCTCCCGTCAATTTTTCGAAGAGAAGTTGGGCGGCACGGGGAATAATTCCTAGATTAGAGTTGAGAGGCATTAGACATCGAGTCAAGATATATATACGTAAATATACAAAAGAAACATTCACATACCCATAGCCCTCTGGTCGTTCTGCTCCGCTGGGCCAGATGTGCCCATAGTGTAAGATTTTCCAGCACCAGACTGGCCATATGCAAGAATCGAAACATTGTAACCCTGGATGAAGGAGTTGACGCTATCCTGCAGGTACTCCCAGATGCCTTCCTGATCAACTGTCTCCGCAAACACTCTATCGAATACAAACAGCTTGCGACCTTGCGGAGCATCGACGGCAACGCTGGTTGGTGACGTGACATGAACTGTTGACCGTTGAAAGCGCTGAGGAATTAATTCGTACCCAGGATCGGTCGACCTCAATGGCGGGCGAACGCGAACAGCTGTTGTGTATCCTCTCGTAAGTAGACAATATTTCGAGAAACGATTTAACTTTATACACATATATACATATATGCATATATATATTAAGAAAATAAAGAAAATAAGTAAATAAAACAAAGATACGTACCGACTTTCACGGCAGTCTTTGTATCCTCATCTGACGCTCTGCTACCGCCTTGTTTGCTGCTCATACTCATGCGACTGTTGCTTCGTGGAGGTCGAATCATTGCGCTCATGGGACGCGGCTGAACGGTGGGAATAGGAGAGGCAGGAGGAGAATTGGCCATGGTGGAGAAACCGCTATATCGACGTCGGAATAGTTATGGGGCCGGTCTTTCTCTGTCTCTGTCTCTCTTTCTGACTTTCTCTCTCGCGCTCTCTCCTTCGACGGCAAGGAAGAAAAAGAAAGGAAAATAACGGAGAAGGGAAAAGAAAAACAAGGCCAACAAGCCACCCCCCAAGTTCTTGGTCCACCAAAATTAACTACCAGAGTCGTCAGGCCAGTAAGAAGAATGTGATCATGGGAGCCAATTCGAAGGGGGCGTGCCAGAGGAGGTATTATTGATTTATTTGTTTTCTTAGCCGTAAGTTTGAAATCTAAATGGGGGGATTTTCAATTCGAGGGTTCGTTATTCGATATCGGTGTATCTTTGCGTTCTTGTGGTGAGTCTGTCCCTGACAGAGCGAGATACCGGGGGTGGGATTGAATTGATTAAAGGAATTAAATGGATGGAGATGATATTACAAAAAAAAATATAAAATAAAAAGGGAGGATGGAGTGAAGACAGGATGACGGGCGACTGGTAAGCCCCTATTATTCTCACGCAAAGAAAAGGGTTCGACTAGCGCAGTATTTTTTTCCCCCTTTGGCGGGAACGTGGTCGGATTTGACGCCAAAGCCAGGGTTGTCAATGGCGGCGGCATATGAGAGGCCCTAGACACAGGCTCCGGGGGGTGGGGTGACGCGCGCGCACAGAGGGTCGCGGCGGAGAGAAGGGCGGGAGGAGGATGGAGAGGAGAGGAGAGGAATATGGAGAGTTGTGAGGATTGTAAGGATGTGAGGATTGTAAGGATGTGAAAATATGAAGACAAATAATAAGAACGAGCCACTGTGGTTGGTAGTGGTGGTAACTAGTCGAGCAGAAAGCGCACAGCGATCGATTTGCCCGGTGAGGATGATGTTGGATGTGGTGGATGTGGATGTGGATGTGGATGTGGATGTGGATGTTGTTTTTGGTGTTTACAGCCACGTATTATACAAGTGCTGTACGGATTTACAAGGGGCTCGGCCCCAGTCTCCACCGTAAAATACACCGTTGCTGTAAGGTTTACCGCTTACCGCTTATCTCTCTAGCGGGCCGTTGCTGACCACGCCGCCTGCCTCTCTGTACCTGGCATGTATCTGACCCACATAAACACAGCCAGAAGTGACCTGTGCGGTACCTGTTCCATCCCCCCGGACATCAGGTACAGAGTTAACTAGACATCTGTCATCTGTACAGGAACAAAAGTCAAAATATGTATTCTGTATGTCAAACAAAGTAAAAAATACCAGATCCGTTTATGTCTTATCAACGCAGGAATACGCAGCAAGATGCAATCACTGTTCACCGACTTATGTACAGAACATCATTTAATATTATTGTCCAAGGCTATGTAAGGTATGAAACGCATGGTGGTGAGTTCATTAACCGCGCACTTCCATGAGCAATTTTCATGCGAGTCTCTATCACAATTATTGGGAAAAAAAGAAGTTCGCATCTAGTTCTGAAACGCTTGGCGGAAAGGGGCTTCGCCAGATCAACCCCCCTGGCAAGCACTGTTGTCTGTCGAATAAAATAATAGGATTGTGGCAAATTTGATGTCGAGATAGCACCATATCATGGTGGTTGGTTGGCTGTCATGCCACTCAAGACCAAATAGGAAAATAGCTTTCCCCAGAGTCTCGCGATGTCACCAAGAGAGGATGGTTTTATGCTCTTTTATTACTCTTTTAACGGTCAGCCTTGTGCTCTGTGTTGCCTCACGCTCGCCTGCCCTACAACAAACAGCTTCTTATCATGACCACCTCAGATATATGCTTATATCTCACTATATATATGCCATGTTTTCCATTCACAGTTCAGCTTCTGTCCGGATATCAAGATGATATCGAAGCTAGCCCCGCCGCCAATATACAGACTACGGAGTACAGATTGCATAGATTGACATCCCACAGGATGATATCATAACCATGTCCTACATCATAAGCATCCGCTTCATTCTGTGCTAAGGCGCCAGAGTCAAGGCAACCCAACTCTTAACTACCGTAGGCAGGGCTTACTCTGTCCAGCTGCAGATCGACTACAGCGATTCTATATCACCAACTACCAGATGCGGACATGAAACCATTGGAGGGAGCTAACGTGTATCCCTGTGGTCGCGCATCTTCTTCCGGGATTGATCGGGCGACGGGGGGCGGGGGAGGAGGGGAATCAGAGGATGGGTGGAGGGAGTAACGAGTACAGAGACTATGCAGTCGCCAACTTCCTAAGGTAATGAATTCCACACAAGAAAAAGAAAAAAAAAAGAAAAAGAAAAAGAAAAATGCTATATCAACATATTCTTATTTACTCCGACCGCTTCTCCCTCGATGATCAATACCGAGTTACCTACCAGCCCCCCGGCAACAATGCCAATGCATGAACTAAAATAATATCTCCGAAAGTGCATTCAATCCTGGACAAGGTCTGAAAAACCAACCCCCTTTTCTCCTGCAACTGTGATTTTGTATTCATTAGCCTATGGCCTATGAATACCCAGGTATGTAGGTAGGTAACCAAGGGGGTTGCATACATTGTGAAGAGCTTTCTCTTACAAAAAAAAAAAGCCCAGAACTTGAATAAATTGCATTTTGATAGTGTAGGATGATAAATACTACCATTTACCTCCCCCCCTCCCCCCCTCTCCTCTCTCATCAAGCAGGACTGCAGGAAAATAGTATCAGATATCCGCTCCTTGCCCCATTGATCCCAGCCTCCCCCAAGTTTCCATCTTGTTCTAGCTCCCCGTTCTCCCTCTCCGCTCCCTCTCCACCACCCCACTCCGCCCAACAGTAGTAGTATTATATCATCATTATTATTATTTGCAAAACCTGAGCGCCGCCAAACGCAGGAACCGAGGCAAGCTCATCCTTCCCCCCACGTCACTAAATATACCGGCGTGTTCTTGTCATCATTATTCTAACTTCTCAGCAGGGGACGATATGTACTCAGTACCAGACTGAAGTATATAGGAGTTTATGGATCTGCCAAAAAGCCTGCCCGGCCCAAGGTATATACATACATGTATGTACATGTAGTATTGACAAGCATAATCCGTACTTGTCCTGTCACTCGCGACCAGCAGGCTTGCATCAACTTATTGGCAGAAAAGCCACTAACTAGGGTACCTGATGCAGCTGAGGCTAGCCCGGGGTCAAATCGGTCTTGAAGTCCATTTACCCCATGGATGTACTCCGTACTCTGTACAGATACATGTACATGTACTATCAGCGTAGTAACTTTTTCCTTTTAGCCTAGCCGGGCCCTCAGCAATCACTGACAGAAGAAGAGATGGAGAAATTGATTCTTCTAGTGCCTCTTTTTCTTTCTTCTCTTCTCTTTTCTTTTTTTCTTTCCTGATGCTTGGTGAAAGCCGAAAAGAGAGAGAGAGAATGTGTGTGTGTGTGTGTGTGTGTGTGTGTGTATAGACCCTTCTGAGGATTGAGGATAAGAGATTTTGAGAGGAGTTAGCTTGTTAATCATAATGTTATAGTTATACAACTATAAGAATATCCCATTGACACTAGGCCGGGAGTAGAGTAGTGCAAGAGGCAGGCCGCTTTAATCACCCATGCTGAGTGAGGCACGGCACAGGTGAGGTAGTTGCACTCATTCCAGGCCTGCAAGTAGAACCAATCACTTCCAAGGTAGGGTAGATGTTTTCCATCAAAGAAAAACTGGTCGTTTTATGGGGATGACCCTAGCTAGGATTTCGGCATGTTAATTCAAAAAGGGGTTGATGTTGTCCGTACAGAAAAGGCTATCAATTGTGCAAGGCAAAGAGCCCACATTTCTCTACAGCGTAGTCAATTTTCAGGTTAACATGTCCAGAATAAACCATGAATACATGCTTTTATACGGGATACAAATTCAACACAAGCAAGCTTCTAACAATGCCAGATAGAGCATTGATTGGCACAGTATTGTCTCGTCAATCTGTCAATCTGTCAATCTGATTCATACAGTTCTTGACAAATGACGAATGAGGCTCATTTATTCTTCGCGAAGCCTACAATACCGGAGCTAGTCTAAAGTAAGACTAGCCTAGCCTTGTGGGGGTAGTTAATTTTCTGCCACCCTCATTATTAACTGATTATTTATTGGCTGGATGCCTCTATCAGCTTTCCTATTGGCCATATCAAGGCGGTAAGGCACCACGCTAACTTGATAGCATGTTATGTTGACACAACCCTTGTACATGTGGAGCAGGCTCTAGAGGACGAGAAAAGACGTCGACAGGTGTTAGCAGAACAGATACGGCCCTTAACACTTTTTGAATATCTTGATGCCTGCCACACTTATCTTTTCCGGGGTCTTGTCCCTGGGAACACTAAGCATTCAACCAAAGGAAGTGCCGACAATGCTGATGGCAAACTCCGTCCTCATCGCCTCCGGGAATGGCTTCTGTTCGCCAATGCACAGACGGAAATATGGGATCAATTACTGAATCAAGAGAATGAAGAGTTTATCATGCAGCCCAAATTTGACTCCTTGAATGTGATAATGGCTCAGGGAAAGAAGACATGGAAAATCATTCACTCAGAACTCGACCTTCACTATTTCCAACAGGATGTCATCACAGAGCCTGTAGAGGCAATTATAGCGGCTTTTTTTGAGAATGAGGGACTCCGACATGTATTTGGACTTCAGGGGCAGATTGCCTTTGAAAACCACACAAATACACTTAGTGACAGTGAGGAGGATAAGAGAGTTGTGGCACGTCCATCAAAGCTTCAGGAAGGAACTGAAGGGGCTGCAACACCTATCACCTCTCCAGCTTCTGCCCGACCTCTGGCAGATGAGTTTTGCATTTACAATAAAGGGGAAAAGGTCGAAATCCCTGCCTTGATTGGTGAACTAAAGCCACCACACAAGCTTCCACTGACGGTTATTCAAAACGGGCTTCAAGACATGGAGCTTGATGAGGTAGTTGAGCTTCATCGTGACGACACAGAAAAAATAAAGGATCAGTGTTCGGTGGCTGCAGTTATCACACAGGCCTTTTCTTACATGGTTAAGGCTGGTGTTGAATACGGGTATGTGAGCACTGGTGAAGCATTTATTTTCCTTCACTTCAAAGCCGATGAACCAGGGACTGTTTATTACTATCTTTCAGTTCCTGAGACGGATGTGGGCAAGGAAACTGGATTTACAGAGGAGTTTGAAGGTGATGACAACAAACTACATATGACAGCAGTTGGGCAGGTTCTTGCTTTTACACTCCGAGCAATACAGACTACCCCACATGACCAAAAATGGAAAGAATGGGCCTCAAACCAGTTGAATGTGTGGGTGGTTACGGAAGAAGATTTATATCCGTCAACCCAGGAGGAAGATGAGAGGTCACTCACACCTTACACGCTACGGAAAAGTGCCCAGATCTTTGTCAGGAATAGCCCTGTCCGCACCCGATCACTGGCCGCACGGTCGACCTGCAGACCACCATCTTCATTGCAGAACAGTAGTGGGGATGATGACAACGATCATGAATCTGACCCTGATTCGCTTAGTCAAAGACCTCACCAGCCTGCCGATTTCATGGTTGTTGTACCTCCCCCACCTACCTGGGCATCATCCCACAAGGGCCCCGTCTGTAAGGATGGAACTCGGCAATATTGCACACAGAAGTGCCTGCTTGGTCTCTTGAATGGTGGGCCGCTGGATAGAGCCTGTCCAAATGTCAAAGAACATGGGGCAAATGTTCATAAGATTGACCACCCCACTTTCCTCTCTCTCCTCAGGGCACAGATACTACAAGAAATAGTAGATCCGTGGACCGATCCTCTAGGTTGTGAATCACTGCATAGACATGGTTCTCGCGGTGCACTGTTTGAAGTTATCCTTTTTCAATATGGCTACACCCTTGTAGGAAAAGGCTTCCCACCGGAGTTTGGCCACTACCTCAGGCATGAAAAAGCACTCTACGACCAGTTGAAGCCAATACAGGGCTTGCATGTCCCTGTATGTCTTGGCACGATTGATGTGTCTAAGCGGCCCATGTTCTACGACGGAATCGCAGACATTCCACACTTCTTACTTCTCGCCCACGCAGGCACTAATGTCTCAGAATGTGATGTTTCAGAAGATCAAATTGTGTCTGCAGCATCAAAGTCGCTGCAGGCCATTCATGCGCTGGGTGTACTCCACCATGATGCAGAGACCCGAAATTTGTTCTGGAGTGAGGAAGGTGAGAATGTGCTAGTTATTGATTTTGAAAGAGCAGAGATTCTTCGTCCTAAACGAGCGCTGCTAGGAAACACGCCACCAAATCGGAAGAGAAAGAGGGGAGGTGAAAGTATGGTCAAAGAAACAAAGGTAGATGTGAGACGGAAGTGGATTGACACCAAGTTTGAGAGAGAGCTGAAGGGGATGGTTGAGTACTTGAATACATATCTCAAGTCTTGATATTATAGGCGTAGACCAAGAGGTCACAGACTTACATGTATGTAAGCTGCTGTCAGAGCAACCTTTTGTCGTCTAACAGATAAAGTGTAGCTGGTGTGGAAGAGGTTCATGTTGTCTGTCTCTTATACCTACTGTTTTATAGCTTGTTTACAGATTGATACTCTTTGCGTTGATGTATTTTCAATTCTATTGTTTTGCCTTCCCTTAACTAGCCTCTACATATATATAATGGCTAAGCGGATCGAAACTTTTTCTAAAGTATACATATATATATGCCTGCTGCTGCAGGAAAGCCGTTAAAGCATGCCATCTCCTTACAGACGACATTGGACCTGGCTATCTATGTCTGCACGACATGGCAACCCTGCAGCTTGGAAGGACGTAAGGCTGCGGGGTTCCGTCCGCGTCCACAGGAAGATCGATGCGCTCCTGAACAAAATCGCCGCGAAGCAGGATGTGTTTAGAGAGCTTGGCGCGGTGAAGAGGGCTGTGGCTGCTGTTTCAGCTCTTGTGGTGGAGCAGCGGGGAGTACCACCAAGGACAACCACCAAGGACAACGCAGACGCAGATGCAGACGCACACGGATGTTTTCGAGGCGGAGGGGCGGAGGGAGCTTTGTGGGGTGAGGGAGGATGTTGCGTGTTGCAGGCGTGAGGTTGCTGCTGTTCGGGCTGTGATGGTCAATCAGTGGGTGAGGGCGTTGTCTGGGTTGATTGTAAGGATTCCACCACGGGATCCGGCGTGTGGTGGTGGTGGTGGTGATGGTTCTTGGGAGGATGACTTCCCGGCGACAGTGAGGGACTTTTGGAAGCTGGGGAGGATTGAGAAAAGTATGCTTGTGCTTATCTATATGTGCTATTTTCCTCGGTTATTCTACATGTTTTATTGTCTTGTTTTCTTCCCGTCTTACAGATCATGGAGTGGAGATACGATACCCTCATGCGCCTAGCGGAATCCTACACTACCCACATCCCGTGCTAGCAAGACTAGCGACGCATTGAACGCGACGGATCCCAGTCTCGTTCAGTTCCTCACGATACGAGATGCTGCGTCCGAGTATCCGATGCGGTGTCTACGGGCCCTGGCGGCGGTCTGGGGCCTAGCCTTCGACCTCCTTGAGCGGCCACCGGATCTTGTCGTCCATACTGGCGAAGTTTCACGGCGAAATTGACTGGATGGTGGTTTTCCCGCTCCCATACGATCTCGTGGGATATTGGAGTGTAGAGGATCCGACTTGTATGTTTCATGTTGATGTGAGATATAGAGAGACACCGGGGGGAGGAAGGGAATATTCAACCGCTCGAATTCCAGCCAACGGACGATAATGTTAATACATATGAATTAGAAGATCAATGCTTTTTCTGATAGATGAATGAATGAACGGTGGGAAATTGACAAATAAATATGTCCATTGGCCGCTAAGGAGAAAGAAAAAATAGATAAGTAATAAAATAAAAAGTCCAATAAATAGTAAGAGAAATAAAAATGAAAAGGAAAAAGGAAACTTGCTATGCAGCTCTATACAGGAAACAAGCAACGAACATAAGGAGGAGAGGAAAGGGAAAAAATAAAACTGGAAAAGAGCACAATCCCATCAGGCCAATTAGACGACGAACGAGAACCCAGTACATTACCCAGAAACCGCTCACATTCACGCCATTTTAATTATCAAGCCCAAAACTCCAGACACGAAAAAGGGGCCCACTAATGCACCACCCAGACGAAAAAGACGCCTTCATGAACCCAGAAACACCAAGCTCTGCGTACACGAACACCGACATGTGATACAACCAACCCCCTTTCATGCCAACCCGTACAAACTCACTCACTAGCCGGAGGAAAGCCATTTCCACCACAACCCATAGTTCCCAGTTCTATAGATGTCCATGCAGCCTCACGCGATAGAGACACGTATGCGCCGCGCCCCAGTTGGACTTAACGCGGAACACGACCTTCTCCACACGCGCGGCCGGCATGTCGATGACAGCATCCAACTCGAAGCGCTGGATGTGATGGTCGCCATGGATGTTGTATTGCCACCGGCCAACGCGGAAGAATGAGGGTCCGAGGAGCGCGTCTTCCGAATACGCTGTCGTCGGCTCGTCCGGATACACCTGCCGGAGGGTGGTGAGGATGGCGTCCCGTAGCCGGGAGGGGAGGAGGTAGTGGAGGGAATGGGAGGGGTGGAGGTGGGCTATTGGCGGGGAACGGAGATAGGGAGGAGTATAGGGTGGTGGGGGGGGACGGCCCGGGGCGGAGGAAGGGGATGAGGGAGGATTTGACGAGCTGGAGCCTGGCGGGTAGGCTGCTGCTGCAGCTGCGGGCTGACGGGCTGTGTACTGGGCCCACAGCTCCATCTCTCGTGGCGCGCTGCCAGGGTCCAAGGTTGCACCTTTGGGGATGTGCTCGACGACCACCTCTTCAGGGACGATCGGTCGTCCGAGAAGAATAGTCAGTTGAGAAACATTGGACCGTGTTGCAGCGCACCAGCATTCTCCGACGCCGTCCCATGGCTGGAGTGCGGCAACCGGTGGGGACCCGCGGGGCACCTTTGCAAGGTACTGACCAATCCGACTAACAAGCCCAGCCGATGTTGACATCGTTGGGCTGGTGAGGTACGGGTCGACCACTGCCCCCATGCCAACCGAGGCGTAATTGACTTTTGGTGGTGCCAGAGGATCCGTCGCTGCCGCAGGAGACCTGCTTAGCGCTTCCTTGAGGTGTGGTAGTCTTCTGTTCCACTCATTCTTCAGAGTGGCGACGTCCTTGGCCATGTCCGACAGTCGCTGGTCGACGTGAGAGGAGAGCTTGTGGAATGCGTCAGCGTACATGGAGGTTGAGTTATCCATTATAAATGAGGAAGTCGGCCTACATAAGTAGTGGGACATCGTTGTTTGTAGACTGTGTGGAAACGCGCAGGCGTGGTTTCTGCAGAAATAAGCGAGGAATGTCGTGAGGAAAAGACCGATTATGACTAGAATGGCTGATGGAGTTTTGGCAATTCCTGCAAGACGTTTTTGGCTGGAGGTGACATTGGCAGCTGCAGGGGTGGCGGCGACGAAGACAGGAGAGGAGTGTGTAGAGGAACTCGGGGTGTGGTTCGAAGCGGACGACGTAGAAGAAGTTGTTGATTTGGAACGAGGCTCATCACGTAGCTGGTTAAACGCTGGAACAGGTGGGAGCGTCCTTCTGACAGCTGTGGGTGCGGCAGCGCGTGAAGCATCAACTGGGCCTGAGAGATGAGGATTGGCGGGAAATGATTCTTCAAATATAGGACGACGAGTAGGGGGAAAGCTTAGACCGCTAGGTCCCTGCGAGCTGGAAGGTCGGGAACCGTAAGGGTCGCGAAGGTAATAGTTTGGGCGAGTTCCAGTATTGACTTCCCGCGGCAAGGTGCCATGAATGGCACGTTCAGTTGTCCAGCTGATGCTTGCGGAATCGTTGAATGATGGGGTATCAGGGAGGGTGGAGGTATATGCCTCTTCTTCTTCTTGCTTAACATTTTCCGTTTCTTCAGATACTTCACGGAGAGATTCAAGGAGTTGCCCTTCCGGCGTCGGCTGGCGTGAGGCAGCTCTACGAGAACCTGCTCTGCCGCGTGTTGCTGTGGTTCTGCGAGATGGTGTTCTGCGGGAGGCAGGTTCAGGTGCTGGAGACATACTGGAGCGCATAGATAGACTCATTGAGCGAGTCTGGCGCCTTTCGGGACTGGGATTTCTTGGATCTTCAACGCGAGCTAGTTCGCGGTCTTGAGCTTGACGCAAGCCGTCATCGAGGGTATCGACCATCTCGGACAATCCCATAGAAGGATCAACTTCAAGCTGGCGAGGAAGTGCGGGAGTTTTGGTGGAACCGTAAGCGAAGGACTGCTGGGTGCGGACGTCTGGAAGAGATGGATTGCCCAGGTCGGGGTTTGACTGATCAGCCTGAGTAGCAGTTGCAGCGTTCGCAGTAGCGGCTGCTCGAGTTGGACGAGTACTCTGAGCACGGGAGCCCGAACGGAGAGAAGTAGCTCTGCGACCAGTCATTTTTCTTAAAAAATAGATTCAGGAGGAGCTCTAGAAATATATGTTTAGGATTTTCGGAGAGCTGATCAATGCAATTGCAATTGTAATCTGAGACACTGTTCTTCTAGGAACGTTGTTTCCACCTGCGTTGCAGAATTAGTAGAGAAAACTTTAGAAGCATATCGAAAGTGTGTCAGGGACTGTTGTAACAGAAGGATTCAAGGGACGCACACCACAGAGTATAGTTGAGATGGAGATATTGAAGAGGGAGAGATGGTTGTAAGAGGAATTGCAGTTGTGGCCGGCTCGTAGAAGATTGATACTTTCTGGGAAAGGAGAAGAGCAGAGGGATGGCGATGAGAGTGTCTCAACCAGGGAAGAAGGAGGAAATAGATAGATGAGGGAATAATAAAGGGTAATTGGACAAAGAAAAGTCTTTATAAGGCTGCAAAGATGTTTTTTTCCTTCTCTGTTTGGATATAATAAGACCAGCTCAAAGATATCCAGGTAGTGTTCATGCAAGAAAGTGCTTCAAAGAGCAAATACTCTGACGATTGATGCTTCGCAATTTGACGGAGCAATAGGGCAACACAGGAGTAGTTGTTGAATGAACAATGATGGCTGATTGAACTTGATAGAAGTATTTGAAACGGTTCTAATGCTGGGATCATGAATGTGAGTATGAAGAAGAGAGTGACTGAAGGAGAGACGGAGAAGGAGTAGAAAGAAGGAAGAAACGATGAGACGGTTTAAACAAGGAAGAGGAAGAGGAGCGACTGGGCTGGCATAATACCAAAAATAGAATAGAAGTAGCATAGAAAAGAAGCTTGGTCACTCACTTCTTGAATCCGTCGAAGGCTGAATGAATCAATTCAAAGCTTCCCCGCCTGCCGCAAGGAAGAAGTGAAGTTTTTTACTCCCAGGAGGGACGGTCGAGTTGAGCCCCGCAGTAACAGGTGTAGCGTAAATCCAGACAGCTTCACTTTCAAAAGTCCTGGAGAACCAAAGGTCTGTCTTTTGCTAGAAATCGAACTCCACTCGTGGATTTGATAGTGGCTTGGTGATGGTGATATAGGGAGGGCGATCGTAAAGGCCTTTCTGCCCTTATCCTGGCGCACTCTCCCTTCTTTCATTCACGACGACAAAACAGAACAAGTTCCTCAACCGGCTCCCTCTTCTGCGTAACCAGGTCTGAACCCCTCCTCTTTCTTCGCTTGACGTGATAATTCAGATTGCTATCACCGTATTGCTATGTGAATGGGTCGAACAGAGTCCAGATACGAGAGCAGGAACCCCCCGATGAGCCGGCAAAATTGGGTATCAATCGAGTAGTAGTGTAGAACACCGGGCCAACAAGTGAATAGAATGGCCCTCCAGCTTTCAATCATTCAATATCAGCCCGAATATCAAAAATCAAAATTTGATATCGCCCGCTAGAGTAGTTTCCAAGGGTAATAATAATCATAATAATATGTAAGAATCAGTAGGAAACGCGCATTTCAAGAGGCATGCGCCTTTTGGGAGACCAAAGAGAACAAGATACCAAACACCCTAAAGTAGGTAGAGCGGTGTCATCCCTTTATATATAGATATACACCATTGCCCTTTTCTTTGATCTTTCGCACACACACACAACTCTCTCTCTCTCTAACTCTCTCTGGCGGTCTTTATATACTTGTTTGCCGCGTGCATTTATTTGTATTTGTTGTTGTCCCTTCGTTGTTTTGTCGTTCGCAGGCCGGAGTTTTGTTGTTGCGGACGGACGGAAGCCAGCCGCACTAGGCCAGGTTGGGCTAGACTGTGTAATTTCTATGCTTTGTATCATGATTTCCTTGTTAACGCGCGCAAAATATAGGGGATGGTATTTTTCCTTTGATTGCTTGGCTTCTGCTTGCATACTCCGTATATCTCTTTTATTTATTTGCCCATACCATCAAATCATAGGCATACGGATGAGTGTGGCTCTTTGTATATTATATAGTAAAGCGCCATTAGCTTCTGATTATATCCCAGCGGGTCAACCGCAACCGGCCTTTCTACCTACCCTACCTACCACATGTTGATATCAATATGTACATGTACATGTACATAGGTAGGCACCCTGATAACCTTTCATAGTATTTTATTCAATGAGAGTCTCAAACCACGTTCTTACCACCTAGGCCAAAAAGACCATAAAACGGCTGGCTCCTTTGGTCATGTTCTTCCTTGGTCTGTGAAAAGATGAGTATATCGTTGCGATATATACTCCACACCAGGCCCCGCAGCGCCTGATTATTTAACGTAGGCTTGAAAAGTGGCCGGGGAATTGCACAAACCACATGGTATAACGAGATATTCGAAGTTGCCATACTTGGTAGGAAAGGAGGTCTTCCATTCTTCGCCTTCGTTTATGCGGATCCTATGATAGGCATCCCGGAGATCGATTTTCGAGAATACTTTCGCGCTCGATAATAGATCGATCATTAGAAACACACCTATTCCAGAGCTCCACTCATCGATATCAAGTCAAGAGGAAAATGAAAGAAATGAAAAGACAATGAAGTGAAAGTAAAACTCAAAAGCATGTATGTAAAGTACAGAGTATCCTTGGCGGGGATGTATATGACGGGGATATATCAATTGTAAAAGACTGACTGGGACAGGCACGACCGTATACGGTACATATACAGACTTAGATAAGATAGATAGATGAGCAAAAGCTGTAGATGGGGCGGGTGTCTCGGCGGGATGTTATGATATATACCGGACATCCAACAACTTCAGTATCCTCAACAAGTCCAGATTCCAATCGTGCCATCTCTCCGCCCCTCGGTCAGATACCCGTCCTTAATCCGCACCCGCTCCACAATAGACGCCGCCTTTCCTTCTTCCGCCGCCGTCACGCCCGCGCCGCAGCTCCAGTGTCGCCCTTCCGTCTTGTCATAGACTTTGACGACGTCCTCGCCCGCCGCGGAGACGACGCGACGCGTGTCGAACATCATGCTCGTTATGGGATTGTCGTACGCGTAGGCGTCGTATATGGAGCCAGTTCGGAGGTCCCAGATCTGTTTTAATTTCATATAAAAGTAATTAATTTTTGGAAATGAAAAGGGAAATCACGTGGAAGGCTAAGAAAAAGTTAGGTGGGTTGGCCGCGGCTTGTTTACTTACCCGTATACTCCGGTCCATGCTCCCTGTTACCAAATGCACATCGTCAAATTGCAAGCACGTCACGGGCCCAGTATGTCCCACCAGACTGCGGTGTACCTGTCCGCTACGTAAATCCCACAACCGGACCATCCCGTCTGCTGTCCCGCATGCCAAGGCCGCATCAAAGCATTGTATCGCGCCGACAAAATCCGCTGACGCATCCGGTAGCCGGCCGGTTGGTCGCCACGGATTATCGCTGGAAGATAACGACGATGCTTGCGCCGCAGCCCAGAGGACATCAAGTGTCTGTACGCAGCGGCCCTTGACCAAATCCCACTGTCGCAGCGTTTTATCTGCCGATCCCGATATGAGCGTGTCGCCGCGGAAGTGGAGGGCCGTGACCTCGTCGACGTGCGCCTCGAGGGAAAAGAGGGGGCAATCTTCCATGCTGGAAGGAGGGGGCGGCGGGGGTGCGGCGGCCGGATCCTCGTACCCTAGCGCATCTTCGTCATCTTCCTCGTGGTTGCCAATGTGATTATCCCGGGGTGCGTATTTTGCACGGCTAAGATCCCATAGTCGGATAGATGCGTCCATGGAGCCCGTTGCGACGAGGTTATCCTCCACTTGCAAGCAACGGACGGAGGCGTGGTGCCCTTCCAAAAATCCCATGCATCGGCCAAGATTTAAATCCCACACTCGGACTGTGTCGTCCAACGCTGCGCTGACCATTGTTCCAAAGGGGACGTCAAAATCGATAGCGGATATCACATCATTATGGGCTTCGAGCTCTCTGATCAACGAGCCTGGCTCGAAATGTTCGTGGAGGATGGGCATGGATCTCTTTCCTAGAAAGGTTGTTCAGATTGATAAATTAGCTTGAATGTGGGGTGTAGGTTAAGGTGGGAAAATGAGGTGGGAAATACTGACTTAACGATTTGTGTTTCCATGTTCTGGGAGATGGTAATTTCTCATAGATGGATTCCGACATAAAAGACGCATCCATGGCCTGCGTGTCAGATGCGACAGAGGGGTCCGTAGCTTCGTTGGTTTTGGGAGTATCTGGTCGTGTGGCCGCTTCCTCCTCCAGGTATTCTAGTTTATTGTCCAATTGAACCACTATTCCCAGATTCATAAGTTAGCTCTTCGATTCCCACCGTAGAAACAACAAAGAACAATGTTGCAGCCTTACAGTCATGTTCCAAATCCGCCTCATCCATCTCAAGCCGGGCAAGGCGGTCTAGCACGATTTTCCGCATGCTTTGCAAATTCGAAATTTTGTTATCTATCTCGTGAATCTCCGCACTACACATATTTTTCCTTATCCCCATCAATTCCAGTCGTCGACTGAAGGTATCCCTGTCCTTCCTTAACGAGGATAATGACGGCGGTAAGGCCCCCGCATTCGATACCGCCGCATCCAACAACTTCTGCCCGCGTGAGCTTCGCCTTCGATGTGACTTCCTGTGTTCCTGCTCATCTTCGGGCATTGAGGCCTGGAAACCTTGAAACAAGGAGTAGGTGCTCCTGTCTTCCGGGATGTTGGCTAGCAAGTCATCTGAGAGAGACGAGATGGCGCGACTTTGGATTTCGGATGTGGATAGTTTCGACCGGACGAGGTCTGTGGGGGTGGTCTGGGCGAGAGAAAACATCCTGCGCTGCATCGACGGGCGACGCAGTTCCTTATGGATCTCATTTACGGCGGAATGGTAGTGTGTTCCGCTGGGAATGTCCTGCATCGGGGCGATGAGATGGCCGGCGGTGGTCGTAACTTTTCGGCCAAAGGCCTCGATATGGCGAGTCTGAGGAGTGGTGTTAGTAAATGAGAACGGAAAGGAAAAGGTTTCGATCATATTATTTTTTCAGTTTTCATTTCCACCTATGGTTTTTTCCCTTACCGTTAAGCCAGTCCCCAGCACAGAGGAAGTCTCCTCGTCGACGCCGGCCGCCGCGGAGGACGCAGATTTGCCGGAAGGCGAGTCATTGCGAGGATACGAGCCGGCCATGGAAGCGCGAGGAGGACGCGGGAGAGAGCCCAACTCCAATGGGAAACCTCAGAGGAGGGGAGAGGATACGTGAAAAGTGTTGCACCGGGGCGTAGAGTTTCTGCTGGGGTTCATTCGGTGCATTTGGACATATTTTGATGTTTGAGGAAGGGAGAATAGGCTGTATTGTGGTTACAATACGATAAATACACCATGCCGCTTGGGGAAATGCCGAGGCTAGGTGTTTTCAGCGGGCAAGGAGCTGGTGCATACATCAACTGGGGGTGGTTGGGGGCGCGAATAGGCGTTCTGCCGCCCGGAACTTAGTTAAAGATTAGCTAAACCGCGGTTCTATAACAGTTAACTCTCCGTCTGGAAAGGTTGTTGCGAACCAGGGGATCCTAGCATGGAATCTTGCCTGCATTAAAATAGCGTTCCTTCATGGTAATAAGGCTGGGTTCTGATATATTTAGCTATTATTTGGGAGTTTTGAGATTTATTAGAATTGATTTAACTATTGGACGGCGAATTTATTGGATAACAATGGCCCAGAGGAGGGGGGGCTCGTTGATTTCGAAATATTTATGGCCATCGCCACCCCACCTAAATAACTACTAAATATCATAGGAGTCAATTCATCCCCAAGTGAACAAGAACTGACCTGCACAATCTATTTTAGCTACAACACCCCATGCCGGTGCTTCATCAATATCTCCACTCCCCAGCTACACTGTTCTTCTTCGACAATATGGATACCGCCATTGATCTGTCTGATGCCTCCAAGGCGTTGGATCTTGACAACATCAGATTCCAGCTAATGTGAGTCGCAGTTCCTATCTAGCTACTCCTCTATTAACAATACAGAGAGACCTAGCAGCAATGAAAATGATCACATATATATCTAAACCAATGAGCCCAGCTAATACAAAACCCCCGTTTCCAGCCGTCTCGAAGATACCATAACCTTCCACCTAATCGAACGCGTCCAATTCCCCCTCAACAAACCCATCTACGTGTCCGGCGGGGTCAAAATCCCAAACTCAGATCTCAGTCTTATGGACTACCTCCTCCGAGAACAGGAACGTCTCCAATCGCGCGTGCGCCGCTACCAGTCCCCCGATGAATACCCTTTCTTCCCAGACGTCCTCGAGGAGCCCATCCTCCAACCCATCCAGTACCCCAAGATCCTCCACCCCAACGACGTAAACGTCAACGACGTTATCAAGTCGCGATACGTCAATGAAATCTTGCCCAATACATGTCGGAAATTTGACCGTGAGGACCGTGGGGAGACGCAGGAGAACTACGGCTCCTCGGCAACGTGCGATGTCAATTGCCTGCAAGCGCTGTCGAGACGGATACACTTTGGCAAGTTCGTGGCGGAGTCGAAGTTCCGGATGGATCCTGAGAAGTTTGTGAAATTGATCAAGGCGGGCGATCGGAAGGGGATTGACGAGGCCATTACCAATGCTGCGGTGGAGAAGAAGGTGCTGGAACGGCTAAGGCTTAAGGCGAGGACGTACGGTACGGATCCTGCTGGTCCTGCTACGCCTGATGGGAACAACCAGAAGATTAACGTCGAGGCGGTTGTGGCTATGTATAAGGTTTGTTTTTCGTTCTTATCTTTCAATTTTCTCCTCCTATATGCGCTCAACCCTGTGGGAACTAAAATTGTGTAACAGGATAGCGTGATACCGATGACGAAGATTGTGGAGGTAGAATATCTAATGCAGCGTCTGAAGGGTACTGAGTGGGAGTAATGATATACAACATGCATGGATATGGAAGCAAAACAGCGAAGAGCTTTAGCACGGCGCAATGGTTTTACGGGACTATCCACGATTTACCGGCAAGATAGAAGGAAACACAAACTATAGGGTTATACGTCATAAACAAACCAACTAATGAATATTTTCTCATTTTATATACTTCTTCTTCTTCTTCTTCAAGAAGACGGGTTTAGATACTCCTTTAAATCTTTCACGGCCGCTTCAAACTTCGCCGCTTCTATTAAAACCAAATGGCCCTGCGGCCGCACGCCATACTCATGAAACGCGCGCTTGGAATCTGACGCCCCTTCCTCCTGTTGTCGGGTATACTCATATCCCCCATAGCATAACGCATGTTTCTGCAACAGCTCATCCTCCGCGTGGAAATAGAATATCTCGTTCTTCTCGTCTGCGCCTTTCTTCTTCTTCTTTTGTGGCCGGTCGTCCTCCTCGTCCAGTTTCGATTTGACTTCTTCGTAAGTCCGTGATAAGATTAGGTAATGTGTAAAGTTGTAGGGTTCATTTTCTTCGAGGGCCCAGGCTATCTCCTCTAGAAGCATGGTGTACATAGGTGGGACGACTTCAGCGGGTATGTTGATTAGTCGTTCTGTTAATATCAGTCCGATCGCAGGGGGTGTTGGTTGCGTTAAGAGGTTGTCTAAGGGGGAGAGTTTGGGAGAGGAGGAGGATTTTCGTTGGATGTAGCTTGTTAGGTCTTTTATAACTGGTACGTCCTGTGTCAATTGAATAAATACATGCGGTTAGCACAACAAGGATTATCGACATATATGAGTCCGTTGGTTTTTTTCAATGCGCTTTCAGAAAACAGTACCTTATGCTGCTGTAGATTCAACACTGTAAGGAAGGCAAATGGATCACCTTCATTGCCATCAACCTTCACTGTCGAGCCTAGCAGTGGTTGCGATAGTATCAGATCGGTCAATTCAGAGAGGTCGAATAGTTGCGCATCGTTGTCTAGTAGCTGGCGGAGCAGATTTCTGAGGCCGTGGAAATCTACTGCTGGTTGTGGATCGAACCACTCGAATTCAACATTCACTATATCCATCTCCTATGGCAGATATCCGGGCTCATTAGTTAGTCAAAAGCCGGTCCAATGCAATTTCGACGAGCGACACCCGAGAGGGGTTTTGGGGGGGGGGGAGTAGATACATCTTCGCTGCTGCTATCGTTTTCACCCAAGGCGCGGGTTGTGTTTCCCATTTCCACGTCACCGTCTTTTGATTGCTTTCGCTTGCGCATTATGAGGTAACTGTGTGCTTGAAAATTTATTTGAGAATAAATGTGTCGGGCAGGGCGGGGGTGTTGTTATGAATCTCTATCTTCAGTCCAAGCATTATTGAAGCCAACAAAATAAAAGTCGAAATGACGATGCGGGTCATTCCAAGCTAAGTCAGAATAAGTCTAGTGGGCAGTCCCCCGGTCCCCAACCTTAATGCTGACATCAAGACAAAGACACTTGCAAGAAACTACGGAAGTACAGAACATCTTGAAATAACAGGAGTGATGTGCAATAATGAGATATAATGAGATATCATCTTGGGATGAACTCGCATTGTTTTACGCCGCTTCATCGCCCTTCATGCTCACAGCTTTCTACCCCGGAGCTGAACGAAACTTGGAAATCCTTTAGGATCATAGGAGAGATCTTCTCCTTTATATATACTGATACTGGAACTAGGTCATTCCCTCAGGGCTTCTCTATGTCTGGTCTAGGGGGCAATGTTTATATTTCTCAGCAAAATGGCACCACACTTCCAACGGTCCACGGGTGACTCCTCATATCTCCCCAACAATGCCTAGCCCTACCAAGGTATATAGCCAAACTATGAGCAGTGGAATTGCAGCTAACTATAAACATAAACCTAAGATGTCGCCTCCTTCGAGACTGTCATTGTTTGCTTTCTCTGGTTGACATGAGTCCACGTGAGCTGCCAACTCCAACCCCCCTTCGCTGATGACATCACCATCCCCTGCTCCTCAAAACCCGGATATCAGAGAGAAAGGATATCTCTTTCCTACACTACATTTATATTGACATTGAATAGGCCCAGCCCATTCTACTATACCTCTTGTACACAATAAACTTGGAGTCTTCTGCCTCGAACATAAATCCGGCCCGCACCGAAATATCGTCGTTTTTTGGACACGCCCCCTTACACCCACTTCTTCATCACGAACCGCAAGAAAAAGGCAGAGAACAGAATAATAGATAACAATGGCGGGAAACTCCAAGGTCGGCAACCCCGGACTTTACGAGGCAGGAGACCAGAGACATTCTCCTCGTTCCGAAGCCATCGAAGCCAAGCGAAACAGAGACCATCCTCCTCCGTCTAGCCGTAGAGGTAGCCGCCATTCAAAAGAACAGCTCCTGGCGAAAAACGGCTCGATGCCCACGGATGAAGAGCTCGCGAAGCATGACCCTACTGCTCCAGTTGAGTCCTTTTTCTTTTCTTTTTCTCCATGTCTTATTCCTTTAATGGCTTCAGAGGTTAGCCCTGGTTTTGAGAGTAGGGGCGTTTGAGTCTAGCTAAGTACATGTACAAGGAAGCGGAAGGAAGCGGGGGGTGGGGCTTGATATGGGAGATCTCTTTCAAGGCTTCAAAGCGATGATGCTTCATTATGAAGAGCTTTATTACCCAATTCCATCCTAACCACGATCTACTGACAATAATAATTGCCATTTCCAGGCGAAGATGCACGGCCATAAACCGTCTCGCGGTGCAGTGATCGATGCACAGCTTCGTGCCGAGGATGAGGAGCGCATGCGTCAAAAAGGCTACAAGTAAAGTGTCGCGGAGACGTGCTTTACTTGAGGGGGTGAGGTTCTTCTTGGAATCACCCGGCTGCATTAGGAGGGAAACGGAAAACGAGCTAGCGGAGTGTGGGTAGTGGGATATAGTTTCTGTTATGCGTTGGAATTTGCCTGTTCCTGTTTCTGGTTTGATCATGCAAGAGAGATTAGGAACCCGAGAGGATGGGAGTATGGTTGGTGCCAAATTGCGGTTTGGTCTCTGGGGTTTTACCACAGCATTTTATGTAAATTACTAGGTTGAACATGGCTGCCAAATGGGAGACAGCCTGCCAAATCCTCGCCTTACGAGGACCCAGTTGAACGGGGTCGTCAGGCGTACGAAATCATGATCGAGTGTTCTTGCTCTTATCTAAAATGCACAGTTAATACATCCTCATTAACCTCAGCACTGGCTCAGAGGAGAGAGCTGGGATTAATACAGGTTACGCACTCATTACTGCCCACAGAAACAGATCAGCACTGTTAGTAAAAATGTAAAACATGATCATACAATGCAAATGCCTAACAGACCCTGATCGGAGATTTCAGTTCAATGTAAATAAATCAAAGTTTTGATGAGTAGGATGACATCGGCTCTCTCCATACCTGGGTTCGGGCTAGTTAAGGCTCCGGCCGGCTTGGGCCGACCCGACCCAATATTCGCCGGGTGTGTCTTTTTTCGGGCCGAAGTCGACACACAACCAACCCGTAACTAGTAGGTTAGTTATCATACTATACTCCGTACGGAGTACACACCAACTTCATCTGGGCTATATGTCCATATCGCTCACTCAACAGACGAGAGATCTTGTTTGTGCAACCTACCACCTAGCTTCGCCCGTGTATGTAAGTTTTTGAGTATTTATTTATTTATTTTAAAAAAAATAAAAAAATCTGGACTCTTTGATGGGAGTATAGGAGGGCAAAAATGCTTTGGTTTTTCTTTCTCCCACCACTTCCTGGGGGGATAGTCAGAGAACGCATTTGAAGCGGCTTTACGCCATGTCGGTAGAAGTCGAAAAGACAAAGAAGTAGTTAAAATGGAATTGGCTCTGGGATCTCCTCAAAAACTTTCACATCTAGATATTTTTATCTATTATTATTTACGTTAACACACGTAGATTCAGGCCAAGCATTGTCATAAATATTCAATGTGATGGAGGTGGAAGGTTGGTTGTATTATTGAGATCTAGCTATTGTGCGGCCTTTTATGTGTGGTGGGCGTTCGCCGAGCGATCGGCGAACACCTCACTTATGCAGAAGCAGTCGGCCCGTAGGGAGGGTTAGATTTAAATAGGGCTTAGTCATATGCATTAAATGCTGCAGAATCCCGAACATTGAACCTTGTGTCCTCTTGCCTCTGAAAATCTCTAGGAACTACCGGATCACCGCCAAATAAATAGCCGAACCACCGCCGCGGCTGTTCGGGATTCTGGGGAATCGCTGCATAGAAATGAAATTGTCAGTCTCCGTTTCTCTTTTGAGAGAAATGCTCCTAGTAGAGCATTTCAATCACGAGATAAAATATTTAGTAGGAATTCTGGTCCTTACCAGAATAGAGAGAGACCGATGTGCAAGGTGGATATCCGTTACATTGTTGTTTCATAAAAACTACCCATTGGTTCCAGTTGAACAGGCGGTAGGGTTCACTATACCCGTAGAGGACGCGAGTCGGCGATATACTGGGGCCTGGCACCCAGTTATAGGGTGGTTCCATATACACGGCCGTAAATTTCTTGCCAGAGGCACCTCCAGCCAAGGCGGCAAGGGCAGCTGCCAGAAGAGTTGCCACTTTCATTTTTCTTTTAAATGGGAGGATTAGAAGGGGATTGAGGGAGCAGGGTGTGAAAAGTAAAGTAAAAAGTGGGAAAAGAAAAAAAAAAAAAAAAAAAAAAAAAAAAAAAAAAAAGGCCTTAAGAGGCCACACACTGTTTATGCAGATAAAGTCAGTAGAGGTTCGGGGGAGAGCGGTTGGCCTCCTTTATATATTCCGATGGCATAGCGAATATACTGGTCGAATCCCCCAAGGTGATGACCGATTTTTGTTGGTTCTCTCCATCGTTTGGGAACGGGGATTAAGTTAGCTCATCGTGGAGCGGAAGGCGGGCGGACCAGCCCTCCCCGAGGTCTGTGATATATCTATCCATGGTAGGTAGGGTAGGCATGCATCTGCATCAGAGTTAGCAATCAACATGTCAAACGCAGCTGGACGAGCGCGCGCGCGGATGGGGCCGGGTAGAAGTCATTGCGCGGTTCTTTAAGCAAAACAAGCCCAAGGTGGAGGTGGACTTCACGAACGATGCTGATTATGACTGTTTAAAAGGAGCGTGTTTTGAAGTGCAGAAATTACAGCGGCAGAAATCAGTGTTGCATCTATGTATTTATCAACCTTTCTGGCACGCAGGCCTGCAACAAATAACGCCCTCAGGACCGCCGTTTAAAAGAGTTTGTTTCTTTACCTCGATCCAAGTTCACAATGTCGTCATTATCATACCAAAAGTATGACTCCATGTCCATTTGCGCTTTCAATCATTGATACGATTATTCACATAAGCTTCTGAAGTCATCTCTCCAAAGCGGGGAAGAGAGAGTTGGGAGCTGCCAAAGAACCACCGTTCCGTTCCCCGTCCCCGCGTCAACGCCTTATATGGAGTTCAGCGGGATTCCGGGGAACTAGGAGCATCTTGCCGTGGTACATTCCAGAGGGGACACAGGAGTTTCCGAGTTGGAGGGATGGATTGAGATTTCAGGGAGATAGAGGCACGAAAGATTCTGGCTCAAAAACATCGGGGCGGGGGTCTTGGGGGGGGGGGGGGGTGTCGATGTTGTCGATGATGTACTATACTATACTATACATGTGTAGTAGTTACAGTAGTTAACTAGTTAACTTACATACTATGTCGAAGAAACCAGAATATACATGATCAATTCCGCTTCTTCCCCTCCTCGCTATGTAAACCTATCCTGACGGTAGGGTAGGTAGTATTTGGCTATACAGGATCAATCTCTGGCGCATGATGAAATCTAGTAAATATCTGACATATAACTAACCCCCAAGTACTATTCCCCCCTTTTTCCCCCTTTTTCCCCCTTCCAACAACCTCCCCTCCCGCTGATCGCCAATGTGCAATGTTCAATCTCAACAACTCAGACAGATCCAGTCCGCCGAAGTCTAATTCGCATCCAACAACCTTGGAAGATGGAACCTTGCTGCGATTGTTCAGTTTGGTCTCGTCGACCCCGCCGCTAAGAGCCTTGAGAGTTAGCATGGAATTTGGATCTGCCATCAGACCAAGACCCATCCATCCCATCTCGTATGTATCCACGAATATACCTAAGAGGAATGATGGCGTGTCCACTCCTCTGCTACTCTACTGTGCTCGGCAGCTGTGGCATTATTATTATTGTGATACGTATTAATGGTGTCAGGCCAGGATGTTGGATCCGGACGAGCCCCTGACCCTGACACCACTTTTACTTTTCAAAAAAAAAAAAAAAAAGGCCTTTCGATGTCTCTATCTCGGCTGCATCTCTTTCTTCTAAAACCAATCAGTCTTGGAAAACCGTTAGTAATGTTATTGCTCGCCTTGGTCTTTCTTTTTTTTTTTTTTTCCTTTTTTTCTTCCCCTTTACAATTATAAAAGTCTTGCCATCCAACACTACCCTACCGTCAGACTCCCTACCTCTCTACCTAGCACCGAGGATCACAGAATCGGGCTCCGTCGCTAGTCCAATCAGTCAGTCCCCTGCTAAGTTGTATAAACTAACCCACGTCTATCGCTTATTTGCTCGTCTATTTAGCGCTACCCTGAATTCCATACGACCCATTCGGCCCCATTCCTCCTCGCAAGAGCAGCCCAGCTGGATCGGTCCATATGATCGCGGAAAATGGCGACCTCTTCATGTCCACAGCCGCTGAAGGCCCGGCAGATGGATGCCTCTGACGCTTTCCCTACGCCTGCGCCGCGGAAGCGACGCAGAAAAGCTGTCAGCAATGGGGCTGCAGACGACTGCTTTACTTGCGCCAATCGCAGCGTCAAATGCGATCGACGGCGCCCATACTGCACCCAGTGCCTAGGTTTGGGCATGCGGTGCTCCGGCTACAAAACCACCTTGACGTGGGGAGTTGGCGTAGCCAGTCGCGGCAAGCTGCGCGGTCTCTCCTGGCCTGTTTGTGGCGCTCTACAAGCTGCCGCGTCTGCGACGGTCGCCGACTCTACTCGACAAGCAGCGGAATCAGAACGCCGTCTTCCTCCCCCTGCGTCGCGGGCGCGTCCGGATGCGAAAGTCACTGCCCGTTCGGCCTCGAAACGCACCCGCCCTGATCAGCTAGCGGCCCGGAAGACCACCACAGTGGCCACTATCGACTCGCTGCAGCACGTCGATGTGACCGTCTCATCATCACCACCTGGCCCCTCCAACCTTGCTACTCATCGCAGTAGCGCACCCACTGAGTCATCTGTCACGCCTACCCAACTGCCCCAGACTGAGGACAAATATCCGCTGCTGGTAAATTCTGCTGCCCCCTTACTATCAAGTCGTCATCATGATAGCACCGCTATTCCTTTCCGAAGTCCCGGGGTCGAATCTGGCCATCCCGGACCTATACCTTTCGTTTCATACATCGATACGGCAACCACCCAGCCAATACACCCGCCTGCCTCCCAACCGGCCATAAGCAACGCCGACTTCAACTACGTGAGCTCTGGTTTAGCTCCACAATTACAGGAATTCAGCCCAAGGATCGGAGGGAGCCATAGTCATTTGGCAATCTCTCAATTTGAAAGCCTTCCCCCCTGGCCACAGAAGACTCTATACGATGCGAACAGCCAAGGATCGGAAGCAAGACCAGATGTAAACTTTCGTAACAAATCGCCCAAAAGAAGGTCCACACCGCCGGATTACTTTCTGCTCAGTGCGTACCACCAAGAGTCTAATATCCGAAGCCATACGTCGTTTGTTCCGCAACCCGTATCCATGCAGTTCATTGGCCGGACTCCCCGCATGCAATATCTCATCAACTACTATGCAGAGGTCATATCCCCTGTTATCGTCGCCTTTGATAGTCCGGCAAACCCGTACCGCATGTTTATTCTCGAACTTGCCAAGACTAGCGACACTTTACAGCATGCTCTTGCAGCCCTCTCCCTGAGCAACCTCAGACAGCGGAAAAACCACTGGGGCTTATCTGCCAGGAAAACGTTGCCAGCTCGACTGTCCTCGACGGCTCATTATCGTATGGCGGGACAATCTTGCGAGGAAAGATTTGGTAATCTAGGCCTTGAAGAGCAACAGAAGGAAGAGTCATTCCACAAAGCAATGGCAATCACATCACTTAATGCTCAGCTGGCCCATCCCACCCAAAGACTAGCAGACAGCGTTCTAGCCACGGTGCTAGTCCTGTGCCTCTTCCACATGTGCGATACAGGAGTTGCGAAGTTCCGACCACAACTTGCTGGGGTAAAGAAGCTGCTCGCCTTACGACGGAGTGCTAATAGGAATTGCTCCGATCTAGTAAAGTGGTATACACGCATGTTCGTTTGGTTCGACGTGCTGACCGCAACCATCAACAACCGCGATTGCGAACTGAAGGGCGACTACCTGGATATTGCCGCCAGCGGACATGATGATTGGGCGCTTGCGAACCTGGCTGGATGCGATGGATCAATGTTCAAAATAATCGGCCAGCTGAGCCGCCTGAATATGCTAAGCCAGGGCAAAGCCAGCGCGGAGCCTCCTTCCATGAACGAATGGCCCATTGCAACAGCCCCTCCCCCGCCAAACATGCTCCACCATTCCTCCATGCCACCTCCCTTTAACGAAAGCTACGACAACACACACCCACCACTCCAACTCCACATGGAAGATACCATTCTAACAGCAGTAACAACAAAAACACCAAGCTCCGACTCCCGCGCAGAGTTCTGGCGGGAATGGCACGCTCTGCGCCACAGGCTCGACGCATGGACCCTCCAACTACCCGAAGGCCCACGCGCAGCAACAGACTCCTCAACCCTCACCGGCTCTTTCCCGCACCCCCACATCTCCCCGACAAACCTGTCCGACCTCTCCAACATCTCCGAATCCTTCCGCTACTCCGCCCTCCTCTACCTCGAGCGCCTCGCACACCCAAACCTCCCCTCCGCCCACCCGCGCATCCAGCGCCTCGTCTACATCTCCCTCCACCACCTGAGCGCCGTCAAGTCCGACGTCTACCTGCTCTGGCCGCTCTTCGTGACCGGCGCGGAGTGTACGTTGGACCCCCACCGCGCCCTTATTCGCCGCAACTGCTCTGATATCCAGAAGGATTCGGGCTTTTTCAACAATCTCGCCTCGCTGGAGTTGCTGGAGAAGATCTGGGCTGCGGATGCCTCGGGTAGTTTGAAGCCTGCGAAGCAACAGCCGATGGCCTCTGCGGCTCTGAAGCGGAGTAGGTCCCCCAACGATGCGGGTTCGCGATTTGGGGATGGGGAGGAGGTCCTGGAAGGTGGTGAAGCGTTTAAGTGGAGGAGGATTATGGATTTGGAGGGATCGGATGGAGAGTATATTGTTGTTTAAAGTATTTGTGCCAAGCATGTATATGTTTCTTGATTAGCGGATCATTTTTGTCATTTCTTTTTTTGTCTATCCCGTGTAACTCTTTGCCTGGCGGCTTTTTGTGTGACTGTACATTTGTTTCTCATTATGCTCTTGCTTTCCTTCGTTATATACCTCTTCTTGTTCCGTCCTTCTCTCATCAGCATGAGTCAACCTGAAGAATTAGTTGGTAAATAGTAACTTGAACATATCACCACCTCAAGGCAACTAGGTAATCTCCACGACCCACAGTGATCATTATTATTTTAAATACCTGGGTACTTGTATGTACCCTTCTCACTAACCTCCCTAGGCAGCAGTCTCAGGCGAGAAATCCCTTGCTCGAGTTCTAATAAACGGCAAAAACATTTTTACACACACACACACACACACACACACACACACACATATATATATATATACTACCACCTTTTCTGGCTTTGGCAGTTTATTATCAATTCCATATATAGCTATCCCCACTTCCCTATCCGGGTTTATTCTACTCCTATTGCCCAAAATACCTCTGACCTGTTACAGTTACACGCGGAGTTAAACTTGAAGGATTTGCTTGAATGACAGTTACACGTTTGTGGCATCCATGACCGACTGACGTCGGCCGAGGGAGAGAGAGAGAGAAGAGAGAAGAGAGAGAGAGAGAGAGAGGTGTGTGTTGTGTATGACGGGTTTCACGAGAACGTTGATGTTGCGAATTTTCGGGGTGTTACAAATGAAGAAACCATTCCATTTTGCTGTCTGATAAATGCTGGTTATGCAATATGCAAATGCAATGTGCAATGTGTCATGGGTTGTTGTTTGTGAGAGGGGTAGATACTATCTTTACTATACTCTGTACTACACAGTGCATTGCTTATTTTCCTGGGGATGGGTGGGTTGGTTTTTCCTTTTCTTTTCTTTTCTTTTCTTTTCTTTTTGTTTTTTTCAATTTCCTTTGTTAATTTAGTTCGCTCTCTAGAAACGATTAGAAAAAAAAAAGAAAAAAGAAAAAACCACCTTCTTCCTATTGTTACGTAGTTGGGTAAGTATATTTGTAGACTCCCTCCCATGTTTTGATATCACCTTTCCCCAACAAGCGCATGACTGTCATCAACAACCAAGCAGCCGCCCGATAAGTAATTACCCGCCTATCTAAAATATAGAAAAAGTATAAAAAACATTGTGATACATGATATTCTTCCTTTCCAATCTCCGTTTCCCCGGAGGAAGATACAGTACAGTAGGGACAAAAACAGGAACAAATCCCATCATCCATCCCCTTTCACTTCAGCGATAATTCCCCCCCTTCCACAACCAGACGAATAACCTCCTTATTCAACCCGCGCCAATTCTTCCTGGCACTAAGAAACCAGTACGAAAGCGCAAACAACGTGCTTGCCCCAAATATCGGCAGCGCGTAGTTCATATTCACCCCGCTCACGGGCAGGTAGTTCGGAAACGGTAGCCATATCGTCACGTAACATGTATATGCCAGCGCAAAGATGTTGACGGGTAGTCCCAGACGGCCCATGGTCCAGTCGCCGAATTGCAGATTCTCCCGGTGGAATCGGGCGTGCACCATGCAGCTAATGGCGATTATGTAGGAGGAAAAGAGGCCTATGGAGGAGAGGGCGATGAAGGCGCCGAAGGCGGCGCTGCTGGCGATGTTGAGGCAGGAGAGGATCATGACAATTACTATCGGGAGCCAGACGGCGCGGACGGGGACGGAGTGTTTTCGGTCGATCTGTATTGGTAGTTTAGACAATGATGTTTGGAAAATAAAAATAAAAATAAAAATAAAAATAAAAATAAAGAAAGGAAGAAAAAGAAAAACTTGTTAGGGACTCCAGTTTATGGGGAGATAGCATGTAATAACTCACATGTGAAAACCAAGCCGGAAGCCCGCCATCGCGAGACCATGCCCAGGTAAGACGGGATGTCGATGCGATACTGGCAAGATTCACAGCAAGAGAGACGATAAGGAGACCACAAACCATCGCCGTGGCTGCACTGGTTGACCCGGTAGCTTGTTGACAAATTTGGATGATGGGCGAAGCCGCGGTGAGCGCCTCTTCTATCGAACCCATGGTGAATAGAATAGTCAGGATGATGGCGTAGGCAAAGATGCCGTTGATTGCAACGGTCCAGAACATAGATCTAGGCACGGCCTTTTTCGCACGGCGGACTTCTTCGCTCATATGGACAGCTCCATCAAAACCTTTTGAGCTTTGTCAGTAGGGTGAAGTAGTGTGAAATGAGGGCAAGACAGGGGGTTAAAATGGTTTATCATAAAAGAAATTGCACATAAGAAATCAGAAAACGGACCAACGAATCCCCAAGTAGGAGTCAACAAGCCCAGATTCCAAGATATGAATCCGTTACTCCACCCTGAAGTAGATTGTCCCTCTAGAAAGACGAATTTTGCAGAATGTCGGGAGCCCATCGCAACCAGGATAGAGACAAAGACAATGAACAGCGATACGTGCAAAATACCAGCCAGCAATTCGATCCAGGGGATAACCCAAAAGGCATACATATTCATCAAGCCCTCGAAAATGAGCATAGCAAAGATAAAAAGAGTCAGATGCCATCTTGCCGGGTGATAGTCCGGGTAATTGGTCGCCACAATCCCCTGGAGCATGTTCGCGGTGGTGTTTGCGACGCCGGCAAGCAGCGACACCCAGGCAAACCAAGTTATCCAACCTTGCATCCAGGTGATGAATCTTTTCTGACTGGGCGGGGCCAGATGGTGTGTCCAGTGGTATTGCGCACCGGCAATGGGCCGCATTGAGGCCATTTCCGCCAAAGAAGCAGATTGCGCGAGAGCTCCACAAACAACAACGATTATACCCCATGAAAGAGCTCGAGGGCCACCGTTTGTAAAGGAGCCTGTGAGATACCTTGCCAATTCAATTTTGGTCAGCCAGGTCAAGCAAGATATACATATCTACAACCGCGAAGTGAGAAATGTGATAAGGGGGCTGGCTGGCTGCTGCTGGGCTCGCAAAACGTACAATGCCATGGTCTCCCAGCTTGACATGAACGTAAGGGCGAAGAAGAAGATCTGGGTGAAATTAAAGAGTTTCTATTTTCCATTTTCAATGTTAGCAGTAGGAACTTTTGCGCATAGCCAGCCAAGTTAATCCCCCCTCAAAAGAGATTTAAAAAAAAGAAAAGAAAAGAAAAGAAAAGAAAAAAGAAAAGAAAAAGGTAAAAGGTAAAACGGATATGCTATACATACCTTTACTCTCACCTGGGTTCTAACAGTATCGCCAGCGGTTCTTGTCCTGGTCCTGGTCCGAGTAGAGAGGGGATATATACCGTCCTTGCGGCCATGCGAGGATTCCGATATCGAATCGCCATGGTCCTCAGGGGCCATGGTGGCATTCTTCTTGTTCGGGGGTTCCACTTCGTAATCCTCCATTTCTTGACACCTAGGGCACTTCAATTGGCCTACGAGAATGCTCTTGACAGTGTGTTTTATGCTTGCAAACTGAGTGGGATATCGGGAGCAGACAAATGATAACAGGACAGAGCCAGGCGCGCGTCTGCTACTAGGATTGACAGAAAGGCGTTGGCAGCATCACTCAGCTACTCAGATAACTCCCTCGTTGGCAACCGAGACACCTTCAATCGTGTGATTGTGTACCGTGGGAGCAATCTGGCATAATCGAGGTGTGTTATGTGCATGCAACGGGACAATAAAGAAATAAAAAAAGGCAGAACGAAGTCAAACAGGTACCGCCCTTGTGCGGCCCTCTGCAACACACGCACGCTGCCTGCTTGCTTGCAACCAAAGCAGCGCACAATCAAGATCTCGTCCTCGCCCTTGTCCACGTCCTTCGTCTCGGGTGGGATGGGATGAGATAGAGTGGGTGCACGGCTGCGGGGAGTTCTGAACGTGTCAGACAGCAGTCCTCGTGGGAGACAGAGACATTGCGCGGATACACGATATACGATGCATGGTACTTGGGGACGAGAACCGTCTGTCCCCATCAGAAACTTGTTGTTTAAACAAGAAAAAAAGGAAAACGTCCTGCTTGTTTGCCCTTTCCCCCCCCCCCCCCCTTTTGGGTGCTTTTTTCGGCTTTTTTCCCATCCAGCTCCACCGACTGACCAGCAATCAAGCAACCAGGAAAACGTCATTATATTTTATTCTTTGGGCCTTGGCCAGAACCGCAAGGTCTCACCGCAATCACAAACAAAAGAAAAGTTTCGGGTCCGAGAGTTCTCTCCCAGCCTGTTTCCCGAGCGCAAAGGGATCATTTGAGGGCGCACAAGAAGAGCCACCACCAAGCAGCAGTTCCGACAATAATGTAGACCTCCATATCCCCCCCCATCCTATGGCTATCCAGAGCCCGGAAAAAGTGTGATGTGTGCGACAGCCCAGCTTTTCGGCCGTCCATTCAGCGCCCGCCGTCAAGCCTCAGAACCATGATTTCCCCTAGCTGCACACTGCTGATCCAGCTGGTGACCGAAAACCTCGACCGAGCGCCGTGTTCGCTGGACGAATGAGACCCGATGCGCGCGGTGTTATTTTCTTTTTTCCTTTCCCTTTTTTGTTTGGGGAAAGCGAGAGAGAGAGGTCCTCGCACGGGTACTCCGTACTGGCATACCTTTACCGGATGGTTCGGGCTGGGCTGGGTGATCTTCTTGGGCGTGGTGTTGGATGTGTGCTATGCTATTTATTGCGATGGGATGCTCGCTCCTAATAATAACCCCAAATACCGATCCCTTTTCTCGACGCCCAATCCGGTGGCACATCAGCCTTGTTGGTGCGATGATATATATATATATATATTATATATTCCCATATAATAAGACAACTCGTCTGTTGTGGGCTTTTGGAGATACTTAGAACTTCGTTCGCCCATGAGGCCATACTATCTCCGTTTACATTTCCCTAGCGTCCTAGCGTCGAGAACAGAGTCTCCACCTTGATGCTGATGGGTCGTTCGATATGGAGCAGCAAGAGGAGGTTCTTAGTCCGCCTTTCTTGAAAGTTACTCCTCACGACCATGCCGCCTGGGTTATCCTGTCCAGTTGTCTCCTCCTTATTCTGACCGTTATCGTGGTGCTCGTGACTCTGATATCGCGCGCAAGAGTTCTTCGCAAACTAGTATTATGTGACATGCTACTATCTTTAGCTACGGTTATTTTCCCCCAATTAGCCCACTCCTCCGAAGCACTTTTTTATTGACTTGCTCCTAGATACTGATGTTTGTCGAGACCATATGTATAAACTTTGCTTGCTCAAACGGCCTCGGTCGGCATCGCAACGTCCTGAGCGAGAAATTATTCCAGTCTTTCTCCAAGGTGTGTGCTGCGCTGCTCTACCTTTTTATTTTTATTTTTATTTTAATTGTATTTTATATTTTCTCTTACCGATTCTTGGATCAAGGCTTACTGGATGGAGATAGTTCTTCTACGCTAGCCAAATCCTTGCTCTCGCATCCCTAGCTTGTTCAAAAGCCGCCTTGACTTTACTGATTATTTACATCAAACCCCTGACTGCTGTCCTATATGCATGTCGCGGTCTCCTTGGAGCTATCGCAGCCTGGAGTATAGCTGGCGTCGTTGCTTTAGCAGCTCAATGCGACGCCCCACGGCCTTGGGATTTCAGTCAGGGAAGATGTGTAAACCAACAGGCTCTATACATTGGGCTTGGTGCGTTGAGCATTATCACCGACGTTGCTCTTGTCATCTTGCCGTTCTTTCTGGTATTTCAGGTCCAACTTCCCACCCGGAAACGACTAACGATCGTGAGCTTTTTCTGCATACGGATACTGTAAGGGAGCCCCAAAGAGATGCTCTCCCATGATGACTAGCCCCCCCCCTTTGCTTTGGCACCTACTTACATTTTTTATTTTTTTATTACTTGTTAGTGTCCCCATTTTCATGATATTCTGCTTAACGTCGCAAAACCAGTATTTCGACGCAAAGCCCCCCGACAAAACATGGCATGCTGTGCACCCTACAATCTGGGCCCAAGCAACGCTCAGCATATCAATAATTACAGCCTGCATCCCGAGCCTGAAACGTGTCATGGCAGACCTCCAAACAGGGCTGATGGCCGGCAGGGTGACTGAATTTTTGGAACTGTCCATTTCCGGCGGGTCATACTCTGCAACTGCTAGCCAGGCCAATAATTCAGGGATGAATACGACGGCGCAACCAAGGCAAACCTTGACAAATATATATGGCGTGGACACGATCGACGAAAATGGTGGCGAGGCCCTGCATGCTGGCGAGAAGAGGGGCAACAGAACTCGGAAAGGATACATGAATTCCATCCTGCGAGGGAGGGGCCGGGATCCAAAAAAAAATAATGATGATGATGGTCAAACCCTGAGCGGCGGAAGAGCCGAGAAAAACGTCGAGACGACAAAACAGGGCGAGCCAGGCGAAGAGGAAGAACATATTACAGCAGATCCCAACAATGCGATCGTGCAGACGATTGGGTATGAAGTGCGGTTTGATCAAGAGGTGGAACAAAGGGTGAGCAGTGACCAACTTTGTGGCGGTGCTGATCATCTGCATCATGCAGCTTCATCACAACAATAAACGTTAAATATTTAATGAATAAATACTCCGTATATGTCTCTGAACCCTGATTTTCGGATTGTGGCTCCTAGTTTTGTTTTTCTTTCTGAGAGTTCATATCTAGTTTCCCATTTCCGATTTTTTACGGCTCAGACGTGGACCCTCTGGGCAGACTATCTCTCTTTACTCTACCTTCGGCGAAGGGAGTATTGTCGCTCCGTTGCAGCTCTTGATTAGCATCCTTCGACTTCCAACAAATGCCATGGGCTACCGCCCCGCGAAGGCTGTGGACCTCTAGAGAGAAGCTTTAAACTTTAACAGCATCGACGTCGATCCGTAGATCCATAGAGAAAAAGCCGCTGGCGACGGTCAATAAGAGCCCCTTTCAACTTTCAAGGATCAAGTCTCTTATTCAGATCCAAGAGGATGTTTGCAGTCTTTCCAGGAAAGAGGGATCAGATCGACAACAGTCACACATTCTCGCGACAAAGAGAAAAACATATTATTTTACTTGTCTGTACTCTGAACGCAGCAGACAGGAAGGGGATTGTTTTGCTTTTTTGTTCAGCCAGGTTTGTTTTATCTGCTATTGTAGTTTCTTGAGCAAGCAGCTATCGGCGGTGAGTGCGGGCTGAAAGCGTGCATTATTGTCTCGTTCCAACGTATCAGCTGCGATAGGCCAAGATTATGGTTCTGCCTGGGAGGTTGCACATGAGATGCACGTCCTTAATCGCCGCTTGGTTGGTTGATGCACTCCATACATGTACATGAACTGTACTCTGTACAAGATGAGCGAAAGAGGGATACGTACAGCGGAGGGCGATTGTGAGAGGAATAGAAGAAAGAGGAAGTTGAGGCTTGTATTAGTTAGTTATTCCCAGTTAACTAAGTTAGCGGGGTTAACACTTGACGATGCTTAGGTAAGCTCGACTTTTGACCTCTCACCTTCTCCTAATGCGTTCGATTCTCGTATATCAGTCCTCTCACCATCGCTGCGGGAGCTAATTCCAGCTTTAACTGGTATTTTTGGATCTACGAATGCGGCCACTGGCATTTAATGCAAAAAAACCTGATCGGAAAGCTAGTTACAGGTACTAGGGTGGCTTAAACAAACGTATCACTTCCAGGTCGGCTATCTCACGAGTTTTCTTTGAAGATGCGCCCCTGGAACGTGTCCAGAGTACAGAGTAACCATGGGCAAGGCTAATCATGTTCGTTCAGCATGATGTTCAGAGCATGGTTTTCTCCTCAAGCAAGCGTGGTTGTTTCGGAAACCAATAGCACCAAGCACCGATGATCGGATCTTGAGCCTCGAATGCGAATGCATCCGTCTGAGCCTGGCCTGAACCGTTATTTGGGATCTGCTATCTCACAGTCCCTGGTTCCTGGTGTGATAGCTGATCTGAGATGTGAACTCGCGGCTGGTTGTTATATTCTCTCCTTGACTCGTAGTTACGGCAAGGCCATGATCACCGGCTTGAAACAGATATCCTACGCTCTATTGACTCATCCTTCGATGTCCTTTCATTGACTGGACTTCAAACTTGGCTCGTAAGCGTGTTTGTCAATGTAGAATGCGCCTGTCCATAGCCTGTACATGTATGTACATGTAATGTACAGAGTGCACCCAGTTCAAATCCCGACCTGGCCTGTTGTTGAAGTGCCCATTATGGGAAACCCCCTGACTAGCACATGGCCATGACTCCGAATGTCCTTGCATCCCCTATGATTTGCTCCCGTGATAATCGAGGACAGTTGCAATTAGCCCCTTTCAACCAGTTTTGGAGGCAGCTGAAACATGAAAGCATACCATGAGGCTTTCTTCTCTTCTTGTTGTGGTTTCTAAGAGCGAGCATGGCTAATATATAGATTTATCATATATGTTTTTGCAGATATATTGTGCCCAAGCTACCGATAGAACAACCTACACTTCCAAGAACTTCAAATCGAATCGATACGCGGGGGATCCTCATCAAACTGCCAGACACTTGAGCTTTGAACTGATTGGGCGGGCACATTGCCCAATTGACTGACTATCTGCAGCAAACCCCTCGTCAGTTACGCCTCTTGCACCTACAAAGAAAACATCAACAGCTGCAGAAACACCAGCACCGTGGAGGTCCGCCTCTTGACCCCATTTTAAACTAGGGATATTCAAACTGCGATAAGACCCCACATCATGACCTCAGAGGCAAGTAAGGCACAGGGGGCACTCACCCAGAGAACGCTCCCGGCTTCATGGTACCATTCAGCGCGGCTCTACGAAGCGGAACGTCGTGCCATATTCTCTCAGAAATGGCTGCAGGTCACTCATGCAAACCGCTTCGTCAATCCAGGGGATTTTGCCCGCTACGAAATGGCTGGATATCCGTTTTTCATAATTAAAGATCGTACGGGCGAGTTGAGAGCGTTCCACAATGTCTGTCGGCATAGGGCCTTCCCCGTTGTAAAGGAAAAGTCTGGGAAGTGTAAGAAGATTCTTTCATGTGGATATCACGGTAAGTGTTAACGTGCTTTAAATTTACATCCTCCCTCCCCTTCTCCCCCCTCGTTCGCCGTGTCACTACGTGCAGGAATGACGGAAACTATATCCATTTCCCGCCTCTTAATCTACATATATATATCTACTGGACTGACAAATACAATCAAGGCTGGTCCTACGGCTTGAACGGCAAGCTGGCCAAAGCTCCCCGGTTCCAAGATCTGGCGGGGTTTAATGCAGAAGACTATTCTCTATTCCCTGTTCACCTCCATGTCGACCGATGTGGATTCGTCTGGGTGAATCTAGACGCAAAAGAAGTTCCGTCCGTATCATGGGACGAGCAATGTGGGACAGCTGATGTTCAAGAAAGACTTGGGGATTTCCAGATGGAGAAGTATTCGTATGACCATTCATGGAGTTTCGAGGCGGAATATAATTGGAAGGCTATGGTTGATAATTATAACGAGGTATGTGACAGGTAATTTTCACATACATGTCTGCCTCCCTCACCAGTTAAAAAGCAAATTGCGCCTCGCAAAAAGAAAATAAAAAAAAAAAAAAAAAAAAATATCAAAACTCACAAACCAACCCACCAGTGCTACCACTGCCCCGTCGCCCACCCGGGCATCGCAGCAACAACTGACCTACAAAACTACACTGTAACCACCGACCAAGGCTTCATCGCCCACTTCGCCCGCCCAAAACCCGAATACGCAACCGGCAACAACTCAAACGTCGCCCCAACCTACCTCTTCCCCAGCTCCGCCGTCACGGTCAACACCGTCTACCTCTACCTCACCCGCTGCGTGCCCCTGAGCGCCACGAGCGTGCGCATGGAGTACGAAGTGTACCGCCACGCGCAGTGCACGGACGAGGAGTTCGCGGAGGTGGACGCGTTCATGAAGCAGATCGAGGAGGAGGATCGGGTACTGTGCACGCTGGTGCAGGAGAATTTAAATGTAGGTGTGTATCGGAGCGGGCCGTTGCATCCAAGGGATGAGATGGGGGTGGCGTATGTCAAGGAGCTGGTTAAGAGAGCTGTTATGGCACATGTGCAGATGGAGAAGGAGGTTGGGCATGAGGTATGGCCCGCTACGGCGAGGGGTGGGGATGGAAAGCTGGGGGGTACGCTGGATGCGGAGACCGAGGAGGAGGAGGTTTGTAAGGCCCTGTGCAGTGGTGGGGCTTTGGAGAAGTTGTCTTGGTGAAAGAGAGGTGGAGTGTTACATTACGACGCTTATTAGTTCAGGAAGGCATAATTGGGGATTCTTTCGCGGTTGATCCCTGGATGAGTGAAATGTCTATCTATTACCGGGGAATATTTAAAACGAGGAAATTGAGATGCATAACTGAATGGCCGAATTTGCTTGAGCTCAGAGTGATTTATTTATCGATAGAAAGTACTATTCTCCTTCTCTCTCTCTCTCTCTCTCTAAGATATATATAACAAGGCTGCCTGCAGCCGGTGAGTCGGTAGTTGGTCCCCCAACCAACCATATCTACAGATATCAGCAACCAAATACAGTTTCCTCGCCTAGGTGCTGGATACACTCTCATGCAAATGAGTCATGATAAATGCGAAAGCCACCACAATGTCTTTTCTTCTCACCACTTCCTGATCTGTCTTGCTGGAGGATGTCGAACTTTTCTGTCTAAGCGCTTATCCATTCCGTCCATGCCATGCCCGAATCGAATCCATCACATCCCATCACACACCCACCCCACCTACCTTCCATCCAACCGCCCAGCGCTCTACCACTTGCGAACAATAAGGTAAACGCCTCCCCCGCAAAACTCTATTCGACCCGGGCGGTTACCACCCAGACAGAAACAAACACACACACCTCCCCCCTGATTGGCCACCGTTAGCGCGAGCCTGGTTCTTCCCTTGGCATCTTAAACTTCCCCAGCGGTCCGGTCCAGGGAAACATCTGCGGTCCCAAGGTTCCATGGATCGCCCCCACCCCCGGGGGGCTCGGGGGCCCGCGGGAACAACCAGTCCACGGGCAGTGGTTCGCGCGGCTAATGGGGATGGTTGATTGGGTAGCTAGCTCTAGAAGGAATGAAGAAAGGGTTTCTTTTCGGTGGAGCTGGAGCTGGAGCCGGAGGCGGGGTCACAAGACACTAAAACTACTCTTTTATCGCATAATGTGCCGGGCTGCTGCATGCATGAGAGGTGTTACCAGAGCGGGGGGAATTCGAGGCGGGGTAGATGGGCAGTAAAACTACAATAATCTCAAGGCTGACATACTTTATTAGTATTGGGTAATTAATAGTAATGGAGTCAACACGGATTTCGTTATGGTATTAATAATGTGTATTACAGACAAGTATATTCGGGAAGTATGCGTATTGCTTGCTCTCCAAAAGAAATTCAAAGGGCAATACCCACTACCTAGGTAGATAAAATGTGTAAAAGTGGTGTATGTATGAATGTATATATGTGTGTATGTATGTATATGTATGTAAGGTATATGTAGATCGAGCACAGGCGGACACGTAGAGAGAGACAGACAAGCCAGGCTAAAAAACATGTATGTAAAAATAAAAGAATAGACACAAAATAAATTGTAAATAACGTCAAAAAATAATTAAATAGAAAAAGGAGAGGAACCAAAACAGGAGTGGTATCATCAAAGGAAATGGAACAGCAGCAAGAATGAAAGAAACGAAACATGGACGAACTCTTTTAACAGCGAAAAAGCAAAGAGCTGAAAGAATGAGTCAAATAAATGACAAAATCCCAATCCACATACAAAAGACACTTTACTTGAAGATATATGAGACAGCCAACAGCACAGCACAGCACAAACACACAAGGACAGATAACCGGCCCCAGTCCCAACCCAGTTAGCCGAGGATAAGGTTCCTAAGAAATGAAGGATTGAATAGCGAGTGGGTAGGAAAATAAAGTAAAACTGTTGAGCTGGGGGCTGAAACGGAACGATGACGGCAGATGATGCCGTCGAAAAAGGGGATGTTGTCCCCGCCACTAACTAGCACTCAGAACAAAAACAAAATTAGGCTCATAACCGAAAATGGGAAGTAAAAACGGGCTGAAAGGTACAACACGCAATGCGATGCGGCGCGGTGAAGATCCCTGGCGCCGGAGCGATGGAAAGGCAATAGCTTGAAGCGAGACACCCTGGCGGGTTCGCGTACGGACAATAATTGTGATTTTCGCGGGGAGGGGAGGAATATAATGAAGGTTTGTTTTGCCGGCGAGGCATTGAAGGATACGATAAGAGTGGACGAGGAGGGGGGCGAGTGGTGAGGGGAAATAAAAAAAGGAACAGAAATGATACTCGGTATGGAGGTTGGTGGAACGCAGGAGGGCGGTAAGGGAAGGAACTTGTTTTTTAAAACGTGTCGTATGCAACTTCTCTTCCATTTACCCCTGGAAACTGATGCCGGAGGGGCATATGGTTTCCCGTGTCGATTTGATCGTTTGATAAACCTGCCCATTCCTTCAAAATTCCACCAGCGACTCCGTTTCAACTCATCCCGACTCCTGACACATACTTATCCACTTCCAAATTTCTATAACACGCAGATAGAACACTGTAAAAAATGTCGAAAAAATTTCCAAAAAAAGGATCTGTGATCTTAAAACGCGGTCGGACGACGCAAAATCTCGTCACAGTTAGCGTCGAAACGCATATCCCACAGCCGAATACTGTTCATCAACTTCTCCGTATTCTCCAACTCGCGATCACGACCAAAGATCGAATCGACAAACTCGCAACCCGCGTTCCGGCCCATCATGACAGGCCCACCCTTGCCGCTCTCCCGCTTCGCAGCCTTCCACATGAAATGTTCACACGCCTTCAGAAGCTTCTCGAACCGATGCCAGAGCCGCTCGCCGCTTTCCAAAAAGTCCTCCACCATCTCCCGCGCTTCCGTATTGCGAATGCGCGGCCCACATTCCTGCGCTCGTTTTACTTTGCCAGCCAACTTGATGAGGAGAAGCCACAAATCGCCCGCGACATCGGCCATTGGCGCAGAGGCTCCGTGGTGGAACACTGTCCAGTCGTAGATCCACTTGCCGAGGGAATTGGCATCGAAAACGCTGCCGAGCAGGAGGATAGGTTCTTCGTTGGGATCCCAGTTCTTTATCGAATAGCCTTCAGGAATACCCATACGGATGGCGTCTGCTTCAGTAGCTTTGGCGTGTTTCGATGCACCTGCGGCAGTGGAGGGTTTGGGTTTTTGCGGAGTGCGGGCGGAGGTAGAGGCGCGACGAGCACGAGAGCGTTTGGGAGAGTCTGCTTCATCATAGACCGGAATCTGGTTGTAGTAGAAAGACTGATCAGTGGTTGGCTTTGCCTTACGATAAAAATAATATTCAGCTGCACTCCGCCCAGCAGCCGACATTCTGGGTTCAGCAAAACGACGACTGCTAGCGCCACCGTCCCATGCACTGTGAGGCACATAGGGAGGAGGCACGTAAGACGAGGAGTGCGGCGTATCGAAAGCATCGTCAACCACATCCATGAAGAAGGGTCGTTTCTGCGATCGCCACGGAGAGGTGGGATGGTAGAAAGGTTCTCCAGTTGGCATGGAGGCGCGGCGACGCGCTGGCCTGCTGGTCGCACCGAAGTGGCTTTCGCCATAAGCACCACTTACATTTTCGTGCTTTCGCGGAGGCGAGGAATAACCGTGTACTGAATCATAGTAACTCCCATACCCAGGTGGCATCGAATGCCAACCACTTGACGGTTCCTTCGCAGCAGAATAACTAGCCCGATGAGAGTGTCGTTTGGTACGAGGAGAGACGTGCGGCGAGGCGTAGTTCGAAGGGTAATAGGGGTATTGCGGAGGTGAAGTGGTTGCGTAGTCGTAGGTAGACCACCCATGGGGTGGTTGAGGGGGATATTGATACATTATCGATAGACGGGCATAGAGACACCGAGAAAATCAACCGCGCCGGAGAAATTCAGAAAAAAAAAAAAAAAAAAAAAAAAAAAAAAAAAACAGATTTAACTCCTTTTTTTTCTTTAGAACGGTTTAAATGGCGAGCAGAGGAAAGTATAAAAAAAAAAGACAAAGAGGAGAAACAAAGAAAAAAAAGATAAGTATATTGTACAGGATATCGCTCCTACAAAAATGACAACCAAGGGACAAAAATAGGGATATATAAAAAGGGGAAAAGGGAGATATAAAGATGCCCGTCACCGCGGTGAGGTATCTAGAGGAGGCAAGAGAAAGAGATTTGACTGATCTTGCCCGTCGTGCATTTGAGCTCTGGCAACGACTCCTGGTCGAACAAGCGAGGAGGAGAGAAGAGTGTGAGAAGAAAAGAAGGGGAGGATCCAAAACACAACAGAACTCGCCACCACCACAAGAGAATCCGGGGTTTCGGGATGGGGTGGAGCTGAACAATTCAGGATAACCGTCAGGCGAGGTTGCCAGTCAGTTCTGCTCTTCTCGGGACGGGGAGATGGATAGATGGCGAGGAATGGATTATGTGAAGTTAAAGAAGGAGAAAAAAGGAACAAGCGAAAGGCCAGAGTAAGAGAAAGAAGAAGAAGAAGAGGAGGAAGAAGAGGAGGAGGAGGAGGAGGAGGAGGAGGAGGAGGTTGGGGCGAAGAAAAACAGCAGGTATTATTTATTTGTATTTAATATGACTTCCAGGCGGGGGCGGGCCAAACCGAGAAATATATGTGTTGTGTGTGTGTGGTGTGTGTGTCATGTACGGTACGGTATGTACGGGCTTGATCACAGATACGGCAAGCGAGCAAGCAACTCATTATTATTATTGTTTTTGGGCAGTATTACGCCCGCAATAATATCTACCCATCTCCCAATGTTCCCATACACCATACATACCGAAGTACAGTACAGTACAACTAAGGTGGCTTTCGTCCCGCCAAAGCGTGGAGTTTAGACGGCCACGATGTGCGGCCCGTAACAGGCACGTCTCGCCCTGATTGGCCCTGGGCGGCGTAGGTGCCCCAGTCCTTGGCATTCATCCCTTCAGGGCTGCGCACGACCAGCCCCAGCCGCCGATGATAGATACGATGGCTGCTTCTTGACCCATACCATACCATACGCCAGCTGTATTATTGGGCAGGGAAGTCGTCCTGTAATCTGTAATATTACATATACACGTACCTGGGCATTATTATATGATTGTCCAAGTATCAATCGCTGTGACGGCCGGTTTCGTATCCGTATTACTAGGTCCGCTGCCAGTGACACACACACACACGGCTTCTTCCTTCCCTCTTCAACCCCTCCATTTTTTATTAAATATTAATTAATTATTCGTTCAACCCGCAAACAAGCTCCATCAAACGAAATATCAGAGACTGCTCAAGAGCCTAACATAATTTATTCATCCTCAGAGAAGGTCTCGGATCCTTGCGCTTGAATTCCAGCAGAAAGCCAACGGAAGAATATTCTGCCGTTTCTTCCCATGGATCCTGGATGTCATTATTGAACATGCCGGGCTACATGCATGGCAAACGCTGGAAGCTCGCGGAAATCGCTTAATTAGTTTAACTATCCATCCTTAAGTTAGTTAACTAGCTACTTATACGTATTATTATTTTATTTATTCATCAATGCGTTGCGTCGCAAGGCTTTTGGGTCATACTATACTCAGGAGCAATGACGTTCCTAAACTCCAGCCCGGGTTTATTCTTATCATCGCTATGGGAGGAAAAGGGGAAATATCCGCCGATGAATGGATACATGGATGGCTGGGCTGTTGCACTGAAGCACAAAACATGACTCAACCCCCTCTGCAGCTGAAATATGTTTGATGGATGGATGGATTAATGATTTTTTAAAGAACTACGGAGTACTACCCTACCAATATCACAGGAAACGAACAAAGCAGAATTTTTCAAAATTTGTACAGCGCGACTTAAGCATCAGGCAGCAGTGTCATTATTTCTCAAGCCATCACCAGGATCTCTCTTCATCTGGCGACGGTTTTATATTTTTGCCCCATCACATCCCATCATCATCATCATCATCATCATCGTCATCGTCATCATCATCCTCCTCCTCCTCACCACGCCCTGGTTGTCATGTCGCGTCCTGTTTTGATAGCTGCCTGGAGGGAGAAACGTGTACCACAACTGAAGTGCGGTATTTTAGCGGATAAGACCAATTCAAGTTCACGAGAATCATAATCAGCGTATCCTGGAAAACTATCCATCGATCCAAAGCATGCCACTACCTACAAAACAGCAGCCGCTCCCGGAGCCCTTCTAGCATGCGCCTCCCGTCTGGTCGCGCTAGAGATTTCAGCGATGCCCCTCCCTCCAGAACATTCTCCGCCGGCCTAGTGTCGGGGCGAAAATTAAAAGATTCCACGAACGGGGGGAGCCCATCATTTGGTCTGTCATTTGTTTTACTCCGCCATATCATCACCACATGCGAAAGGGAATGAGAAGGAAAGGGAATAACATTCATCCAATCTTCACCGTCCTCAAAAGATAAATAATTAACTCACGGACTCCACAGGAAATCCATGGATACCATCCCGGGAGTCCCGCAACTCTATGATTTAACCTTCGACTCTGCGGAGTGCATCCATGGTTTTGAATACTCTTAACTCTAATTCCACGATGGCTGAAATGGTCCTTTCAAAAACGGGGAAAAGTTCCCTGCGGAGATATGCGCGGCAAATGTAATGCCCGGATTTAAAGCAAATCCAAAAAAAAAAAAACCCTATGTAGAATATTTTTTTTTTTTCGATCTGAACTGAGTCCTATGGTTTAAATGGATCACCAACCACGAAAAAGTGCAATCTGCAAGTTACACTCTCTCGTCAGTGCAGGGCGCAAGGGCAACAAGGCTGGAATCATCGCGCTGCCAATGGAGTGGTGAGGTCGTATGGTCTCCTACGACGTGTGTGGCCGCCCTGGAGGGGGGATCATATTAAACCCCTGCCCACATGGCGTTTACTGCAATAGCATAGCATGACGCACATATCAGAAAGTGGGGGGAGAGTGGTGGTTCGACCAAATCGCTGCGTCGCTGGATCGCTGCAATTCCCCAGGTCAAACCTCGCACCGAGGCCTTTCCGTACCAACCGGGGATTTGGAGGAATGATATACTTGCACATGTACAGGTACGGAGTAGTTACTGGCCTCTTATGTCTACGAACAGTAGATCATGATCATCAGCTTGTTCCTCCTGGCTAGAATCTCCGCCGGCAGGCAAAAAGAGGTGCCCCCCTTCTTATTACAGTACATACATCTATATAATTAGCACGTATATCGAAATCCATTCCGGCTGTACGACGACCGACCGAGCGTGCTGCGGTGCGCCGGTGCCAGGTTGCAGAGCGTTGTGCCCGGCTTCATCCTAGATGACTGCTCCGTATTTTCTGTGCCCGTTTCGGCAATTAGAGCAGATTTTGCGCTGAATCCGTTACTTAATATTAGGACATTATATTTTAACTAACGTGAATGTAGGCTATTTTATATAACCCCCAACTACGAAGTACATGTCATCATTATTCTTGTTTACCCCATGATTCTTCCTCGAGTGTGTTGCTTGTCGGGAGGGAGGTAGCCCCTTGTTCTTAGTCGCTCGCCCACGGAACCCACCCGTTATAACGGCGCCGCTAGCTGAACTCGGCGGAAATTCCACCACCCGCAATTCCAGAAAGCTCGCCATATATGCACGAAATACATCGGGGCCGCGGGGGCGACGAGATTGATACGCGGAGTTTATTTAGCGCGTTAACTTATCCTCCGCGAAGTTTGCGGGTAAGACCTTTCTTGGAAGGGCGATTAATAAACCACCCGGCATAGTTAAATAGAACGTGCTTTAAATACTTCTTTTCCACTCCCGTTGTAGTTATAGTTAAAGGCTAAAAGCCACGAATTCCTAACCGCATGGATGTCTTTGTCCGCTGTTCAGACGAAACAACAGACTGTTATTGCATACTGTACACACTTTCCCACTTCAGCTGAAGGGTTTATACGACGTTGGCCCCATTGCCTCCCTGATTATACCCTGATCCTTAATGATTGTTTAATGCAATGTTTCTGCGGGGAAAAAAAAAAAGGAAGTGTGCTAAATATAGAAACATAAAACAGATAGCTTGAACTAGGAACTCTTGTGTCTCCTCTGCCGGGCTGTGTCGTTGCATCTGATTCTCTGATTCCCTCAGCACGGGGAGTAGTGTCCGGTTACTAACGCCCCTGTGTTGGAGTCTGTCGGCCTGCTGCCCTGGTGAAGAACTAAATCTGTTCTGCCCTCGATGGATTACAAGCCTTTTTTTTTTTTTCTGTTTTGTTCTCTCCAACATATCTAACTTGCCTGCTGATGGATATCAAACTAAACGCTAACTGGGTGTCAAATTAGTTGCGGCCATGTTTTGATCGCCCCCCAAAATGTGGCATACTTCCAACTGAGTTTAAAACAAGGCAAAGATATTGGGGATAGGAAGAAGGGGGGGAGGAGGAGGAGGAGGAGGAGGAGGAGGAGGAGGAGAGGGGGGTGTACAGACGTTGGTCCGATCTTCAATGCTGTTGAGGCTTTTGTTTGAGTTATTTTTTTCTTGTCATACATCTATCCAGCAGTAACTCTACGCACTACGGAGTACAATGAACGTTGACAGTTTCTTCTGCTCAGCCTTATTCTTCCTCTACCCTGTCATACACCCCATGGCCAATCCATACCAGAAGAAAACAAAAAAAGACGAATGGACACTGGGGGTGTTGGGCGAGAGTTGGGTCCAACTACGACTCCGCTCCTCAGCTTGTTTCGATAATATAACATTGTTACTCCAACAAGGGAAGCCCAACGTCATTTCTTTCAGTCATCATGGAACCGTCTCTTTCATCAGTCGGTAACTTTGTTCACAATGTGCAGCTCAATGATAGAGCCTTCTGCTCAAATTAGGCGCTGCTCGTGTTTTCCATTAGGCAGTTTCCAATCATGACGGGAGCTGTTGTGGGTGGGCTAATTGTTGATTCATCATTGTCACTGTCACTGTCACTGTGACTTTGGCTGTGACCACATGATGATTTGTGATGGCTGGTTCTGGGATCTAGAGGCGGTCCTCAGACGGGAAGATATCCAAACCAGGGAACACGGCAAAGGGGTGGTTGGTTGGGGGTTGAAGAAGCCGGTTTGTTGGATCGGGTAATTCATGTCATAACAGCCCAACGGTATGATTCATCGGGCAATAAGGGTGAAGAAAGGCAACCGTTTCTTCGATGGAACTTTGTAGAGCCTCAATATCGGTTTCTCCAAGAAGGGAGATGAGATGGAAGTAGACCGAGCGGGTGTATCCATAAATGGATAGAATAAGATAGTGGGCATTTCTTAAATGCTTCATCGTCTGTTATTATTTCCACAAGCCAATAGAAGGGAGGAGACGAGGCATGGATAATCTGCCTGTATTATTGTTGAATATCTTGTTCCGTATCAACTTTCCATTTTCTCGCTGAACGCATTTTACCGGCTGATGAAGAAGAGGGAGGAGAAGGACTCTGGAGGCCATGTGAACAGGTTCATACCCGGAGAGCCCTAGACAATGCCTGAACATTGGCAAGATTGATACATCGGGCGTTCTGACTTGAAGAAGGGATGGGTTTATGCGGTCGTGATTAAAATAACCCAATAACCCAATAAATACGCAGCCACACACTTTAAAACATGTCGCGATATTCGCCACCCAACTCAACTCCAACTATTCCTCTCCCAACTGACTTGCAACAACACCAGTTACGCCCCGACATATGGTTGCCTTACTTTTTCTATTACTTCTTTAAAGTTATTAGACCTAACATAGTTACTCCGTACGAGCGAGGCACTTTTTTCTTACTTTCTTCTTTTCTTTCTCTTCAGGTATCCAAGCTTTTACCATTCATTCGGACAAAGCCACAGATAGCAGGCCAGGCATAGAAAAGAGTAGGAAACACACACAGTCGCCTTGTGCCTCTCCTTCGTCCATTCTTACTCGGCGTGACTCATACCAGCTCAAGCCCAAGCGCGGATTGGAGCGTATTCCCGTCTCCCTACATGTTTAACGAGTGGAACGGTATTTCTTCTGATGAAACATCAGAATGTTGCAATGATTGGGAACGAGGGCTCATTACTGCAAAACGTCTTCACAGGACAAGCGAGACGCATTTCCCCTTCATCGAGGGTTGAGGTCGAGGAGAGATAGATAATAGGTCGAGGAGGTCAACTTTTGTGAATCGAAGGGAGCATAGTTTCTAGGCTCCCGCGCCCAATCACATCAACCATCTCAGCAGCGAAAATATTTAAACGCCACTGCTAGGAAGCAAAAAGCACGAATGACAATGTATCTTGCACTCCTCATCGAAAATAACAACGGTAGCAAATATATTACATATATTCCTGCTGTATTGTAATATCAGACTGACTGAAAATTCATGCTGAAGAAATAAAAAAGTAAATATAAGCATTGCAGCCCAGCATGACTTGACAAAAACAATGGTAGCCTTATTGGGCAGCAATCCACCTTTGTGGGGAAGATAAGAAAAGACAACAAGGCCGAAAGAAAGCCTGCTACCAACCAGCCCTTCAGATTATAGATTCTGAATTACTGTAGCAATAGTAGCAAAATAAATAGAAGAAAAGCGGGGGAGGAGAGGAAGTGATGATTTTTTTTTTTTTTCCCTAATTTTATCCAGGGAGGAATTCGAAAAGCTGTTGAGCAAATCTTGTTGGGCAGACCGACCGAAGTTTCGAAATGATGGAAATTTGAGGGCATCAGGTAGAAAAGTCGAGGCCTCCTTGTAAAAGACGGTGAGAGTGCATGATGATTGAAATGGGATGAACTGGACTTTGATACAACATAGACAGAAGCTAGGGGAGAGAAAGTGAGTTTGGAATATGCGCATTTTGTACAGCTGAAAGGGGGGAAAGGGACAAAAGACAAATGGATAAGTAGTAGCATCTGTACGGAGGAGTACTCCGTACTTCGCACAGAGTTTGAATATAAGACTCGAGATGATGAGGAGGAGGACTTGGAGAGACTTCGACGAGAGTTCTAGGTAACTTTCGGTTGGTTGCAGTTGTTCGGTAACTATGGTATCCATGGATGTATCTTTCACATAACACAATCACTAACTATGTTAGCAGCTAGCATACTCCGTAGTACCGTATCTTGAGATGAATTTTTCCTCGATCTGAACTAGGAACAGAAATCCATCTCTCTCATAGGCCCCATGGCCCAATCTCAGATACCGGCGATATTGGCCACAGAGCACATGTTTCTGCTCGCCTATGGTTGGAGAAATGGTAACTACTGTGCTTTCTGTGGCCTTCGAGCAGCCAGAGCTGAACCATTTACAACTTCTCCCCCCCGGGTCTGCGCAAATCATCATGCTCACCTCGAAGCTGAGATATTGGAATAATATATACCAACGGTCTTAAGTTATTGAACTCAAGGGCATGTCTAGCCGTCCGTCCAACTTAGCACACACGGCCTATCCAGGATGCCGGGCTCAAGAGTGCAACCCTCGACTGGGATTCGTTTCTGCTTGGTGCGATTGTGCGATGGCTGTATTGTTGTAACAATACCAGAATACGTAAGTTACATACATCAATATACGCTGTATGAAACCGAGGTGTAAAATTATACAACATTACATCAAGAAATCAGGTATTTTATGATTTCCTAATCTTCACAATTGTTGATCGCCTTTTTATGTTGGGTATCTGCGCAGCGCAGAACAAAAAAGGAAAAAGGAAGAATAATAATATGCTGGAGCTCGAGGCTGCATGAAGGAAGAAGATTTGGTGGGCACCTACAGCGTATGTGTGTACTTGGATTTATTCAGAGTTTTCCAGGGCATACAGCGTACATACCTTTCGTTCAACGGGAAGTGTGGGCAACAGGGTTTAACAACACCATCACCCGTCAGAGGGAGAGTACCGCAATAATAATAATAATAGGAGCAGCTGTCACCAAATATCGGAGCAGGGAGGACTGTGGAAAAGGCACATCATCCGCGCCCACTACTACAAAGTGCTCCATCCAAGGCGCATGGAAGGATGGCGGCGGGAACGCTTCCAACATCCACACCACCCACGACCCTGCGCAGATGCCCATGGCTAACAGAACGGCGCATTTTGGCTTCGGCGGGTTTTGGATCCAGTCCCGGCCCAGACCAACGGGCGGCGAACCCTGCAAACCTTCACAGTCCATGTGCAAATTATGCTTTTATAGCTAGCGTCTAGGGCCAGCTCAGCGAATGTTTCTGTGGAAGGTCTCCGTCGCCGCCGTTTTGCGATTCTTCCTTCGAAGGGAAGGAATGAGGGAAGATGGAAACGTCAAGACACCATGTATCATGTATCATGTACGTGGGTTTGTTATTATCTGTCTACATGCATGATGTGGGGAGTATTCTTCTTTCCCCCTCGATTAATTATTGTTCCCTTTTTCTCAAACGAAGTGTGGCTTCATCACATCCTGGGCCAATAACTAACAAATATACCAAACCCCGGCTCCAAACTGATCTGGCTTTTCTTTGTAGCGCGCATAAAAGGGTGGATATTATACGGGATTACATATAATCAAATCACATCAAAGAGAAACAAATAAAGAAGAAAGAAAAAGCACTGCAAAGGCCCCCCCGAACGAACAATAATAATAACCCTGATTTGCCGCGAAGACAAGGAGAGAAGGATGTGCCCATGCATCCCATCCACTGACCGCACCTCTCGCTTTCTTTGCTTTTTTTCTTTGACCCCTGCCTGAGGCTGCGGATTCCCATTTGGCGCGATGCAACGAACCCATTTTGGCGCCCATCTGTTTTCTTTCCTCCGTATTTCGGGGGGAGCTAAATAATTGCTTTTTTTTTTTAAAAAAAAAAAAAAAAGAAATTCCCTTTCCTTTTTTCGCTCCTCGAATTTCGCTATTATTATTATCTATTACTCTGTGTGTGTGTGGGTGTCGCTAGCTAGGGCTTGCTTTCCTGTTTGTAACCCTAATCTGATTCGATCAGATATGGCTGCCCCTCACTGACCGCTCTCTGCAGACTGTGCTTAGAATTCATCATGTTCAACGCAGTTCTCCGTGCGCGGCGCGTTTGTGCTTTGAAACTTCTGCAGCCTGCAGAGACCAAAGCACACATTTTAAGCGCGCTCTACTAAAATATTATTCGCACCAGTATCTTCCTAACTAGGGATTAAGTTATGCGATGCGCATGGCCTAAGGGAGGCTCGGCCACTTCCGCTGCGAACCGAACCGGTGTCGTGCAGCCGCTGGTCGCGGTGGAGAAAAAGAACCAACCAACCTAAAAACTATTTTGGGTGTGATGGAGAGCCAACGAGGTGGCAATTGACAGTTCATCAAAATAATCATCATCACCAAGAAATAAAATAGCGTTGGAAATTCAGCAAGGATGGATGGATGGATGGATGGATGGATGGATGTCCACAGGCGGCTTAGACTAAACCGGAGCGGGGGACCACATCCATCGCATTCCAGTTCATCTGATGTGGAATTATTGTTATTGAGGAGGGAAAAAAGGGAAATATCAGCGATTTTGACCAGGCTAGGGGCTAGGGCTGGCTGTCCGATTTTGATTCTGGTCGGCTGACCCTTCTCTTCTGCAACCGTTCACCACCCTCATCTGAAATACGTATGCAAGGGCGTGGGCAAGGCAGGCTATAGGAGATTAATCTGCTACACCATCACCGACGCGCTGGTGGCTAGCTTTCGTTCATGAAGACATGGATGGGATGGGGCTTCCATCCTGGAATCATTGACTATTGATGTTCTGTCGATTCATTCATTGATTCATTTAATTGAGACGTCGGATGAGTTTACGTCCTCATCCTCTCTTGGCGTGTTTTCACTTAAATTACCCCGCCATGGTATCTGTGTTTCGTCTTCGCATGACCTCTTGGAGTGGTTTCGATCCGCTATGGAGGGGAGGGGTTGATATTGCGTCATAGTTCACTAACTACACAGTAGTTACGAAATCTATGCTCTTTGATTAGCAGGTTGATGATCTGTAAGATTCTGGACAACCAGTTCCGCTTTTATTACTTTTGGTTACTTAGCATGATTATTTCTGGTGGTAGCTGGACAGTTTTCTCTCGTTTTCAAAGGCTGGTTGTCGTTTTCGGAAAGAAAATGAAAAAAAGAAAGGTACATGTACATGTACAAACAAGGTATGGAAGCAACTCTACTATCCCTCAGCTATGATCAAGCTTTGCATGGTACTACATGAATTGTTTACTAATGTCTAACTACATGTATTTATATCCCATCTAAAATTCCCATTGACTTCCTCAATCACTCTCACTCCCCATTCAAAATAACCCATGCTTATCATACTACGTATGGAGTGCCAAACGTCGTGTTGTAATTAACTGCTCTTCCCCGGTGGCCTGGAAACCTATCGTGTCTCCCTAGTTCCTCATCACGGAGGTCGGTCGAGCGGTAAGAGGTATCCCGACTCTTCGAAGTTGTTGCACGCGGACGGAGGGCGGAGTTAAGATATATCATCATGCCTGCCGATAAACCTGCCCGTCGATACATCTTTGATATCGATATTTGCCGTGGAATGGCGCAAGGTGTGTCGCGTGCTGATACCAGTTCACTTAAACATTATCAGACAATGTCCGGTGAGATGGAAACTTGTGTCCGAAGAGGGTTCGACAGACCTTGCCTGGAGGCTGGGTGTCTCCATGTGCGGAAAAGCCTACTCGAAACCACATCCATGCACCACGGCATCGCCATATCTATTGATCACAATAACCCTATAAAATTAAAGAATACGAGAATAATATGAATTCGTCCATATCCCACGCGTTCACGATACTGAGGCTGTTGGATTTTACTGCACTTTCACCTGGGCCTGCTTCCAGAAAAGCCAAATAGCCGATATGGCTAATTTGCACCCCGCGACAATCCACAGAGCGGGCGAAATCCTCCCTGTGCTTTTGGCAAGGAAACCTCCAACGACTGCACCCCCAACAACGCCAATGATGGAGGTAATGCGCTGGTTGCGCGCTTTGTTCGTGGTCAATGGCTTCAAGATCCCTGGCTCAGACCCCAGGTCATAGTAAACGCTTGTCAAGACTGTTGTTGGGAGCTCGGGGAAGGCCAGTAGCCTGCTTACTGCCATTTGGCCCGCGGATTGGAAGGCGAGTAAGGCTATTGGGATAAGTTTAAGGAAAGCATCGTTGTCAGTAGCCACGCCAGAATCTTCGATTGCACCTGACTGCAACAGGGCTGCTGCAACGCTGACGAGGAGAGTCTGAGAGCCGAAATTGACGAGTAGAGTACGTCTGGTTTGGTGTCCAAAGTATCGGGTTTTGGGAAACACTACACTTCCCAAGAAGAAAGAGAAAATTGAAACTAAGCCCTTAAGCCAATGGTATGTCGTTTGATCGAGGGTGTCGGATGCTCCCAATCCCATGAAGACGGTGTTTCCTGAGAGTTATGGTGATGTCAACATTGGAAACGACTCGTTTTCTATAAAATCCAACATAACAAACATATGTGGATAGTAAAAAATAAAAGGACTTACCCGTCTGCATGCTAACAAAGCAACCCCAGGCTTTGTAGGCAGAGCTGTCGCTAAGACCTGATAGGAAATAGCAGACTAGAAATATTAGATTTGCATGTTCCGTATTGATGTCCTGAGCTAAATAGCGCAGGATCGACGGTCTCGAATCTGTATCGACATGTAGTGGTTGCGGGTTTGCTTCCACATCTCTGAGCTCTTCACCATTTGCAGCCTGAGACAAGGTTTCTGAGTGTGGATTGCCTGCCATTGTGATATGTGTGTTATGTTCGGTTATACAACACGACACGACTATCCTGAGGTCCTCCCAGCAACCCAATTTGAAAAGGGCTAAAGGTCTACCCGATAATTATTTTGTGTATAGGCAGGCCCCTGTGTGTTTGACCAGGGGAGCAAGGTTAGGGGAATCTGATCTTGGAAAAGCGCAGAACGGTTATTTCTCGCAATGTCTCATCTGTTGAGCAGAGTCTATACACTATGTCTGTGCCTCCTTTCTGTCCATTTCTGATATTTTGGATGCTGCTGTTGTCTCTCTGTGCGGAAGGAAGAGGGAAGCGACTGTGGAACAAAAAAGGGGTTTGATATCATGTGACCGTGACCACACCCTTTTTTTTGGAGGGGGGGAGAGACGACATCCAGCAACCCTAATGCCTTCAGCGCTCACTCATATGACTGGGTAGGATTGATAACAACCAGCGTGACATTCGTATAGTCAAGGGGTGACATGGATTGCTGAAAAAAATAACCAAAATCGTGCTTGCTTCTTGGTGCAGGTCTTTCGCGTCCGTCCAAACGAACTCAAGGCCCTCCCTCAACCGCTTAAAGGCACTGGAACAACCAACTAAACGCTATTATTTATATACGGATATACGTCGTAAGTAGTCAGCTACCCTACACCATAGAGACATCTCTATTACTCCGTTCCTTTCGACGAAAGGTTTGACATTCTTAGCTGTGTTGAAGGAGTCGCCCCTAAATACCCTGCGTTGTGAAGCGGGTTTCATGTTGGAGTTATTCATAGTATTGGAAGAAACTGTTGAGTCCAGGTAATTTCGTTGTGAACAGTATCTGGTATGAACAATCCATTACTAAATTCTTTTATATAACCTTCTCCCGTCGCAGGTCAGCCAACTTTTCCTGTGAGAGACCGAGCTCCTTAAGCACATCGTCCGTATGCTCTCCTAAAAGCGGAGGGTTGCTCCGAACGGAAGCTTCAGTGTTGCTAAACTTAACAGGAAAGCCTATTTTATATTCCATTTTAGTAATTAATCTCAAAATTACGGCGAACGATTAGGCTTGGGGGAACATAACACTTACCTACGACCTTGAAAATCCCATCGACAGCAGCATCGAAATCGATAGATTTGACCATTTCTCTAGCGTGAGTTTGAGTGTGGGTAAATACCCTCTCTAGGCTGTTAATTGGACCATACGGTATCCCGCTGTTCTCATAGACGTCGAGCCATTCGTCTGTCGTTTTGGTTTTGAACAAGTCGTACAAGATGTTGTTCAGCTCACTTCGATTTCTCACCCTTGAATCGTTCGTCAGAAATCTCTCGTCGGTTGCCAAATCAGGCCTTCCCATGCGCTCTGCGAGAACTCCGAATTGCCTATTATTGGTTGCTCCAAGGACAAGGTAGGAATCCTTGGTTTTAAAACCTTCGTATGGAACGATGCTCGGGTGAGCCGTCCCCCATCGTTGTGCTTCTTGTCCCATGTTTAGCCAACTGCTTGCAACATTGATTAGCAGTGATAGCTGCGTTTCGAAGAGGGATCCGTCTAGCTTTTGGCCTTTCCCAGTTCGATGCCTAGCCTGCAACGCCGCCATTATTGCTCCGTGCATATACAAGCCCGTACACAGGTCTGTCAAGCCGATTCCGGGTTTTGTAGGTGGGCCATCTGCTTCACCAGTTATATGAAGGAGACCACCTTCTGCTGCTGCAATTATATCGTAACCAGCGCGTTGGGCATATGGTCCTGCGGCACCATACCCTATGACACTGTCAAATCGCTAGCCCAGATAGCTTTGGAAGCATCACGTACCCGAAATACTGGCGTGGATGACGGCAGGGTTTATTTTCGAGAGAACATCGTAGCCAATGCCGAGCTCGTCCATTTTTCCCGGGACGAAATTTTCGACGCTTTAGAATATCAGCGCCGTTTCAGTCATGGATGGATATAGTCTGGGACCTACACTACGTCTGAAACTTTAACCAGATCGAGGAGAATCTCCCTGCCCTTTTGGCTCTTCAGGTTCAAGGCAACGGAACGTTTATTCCGATTTACACACGCGAAGTAACAGGATATTGCATCCGTTTGCCACTTTTCGCCCTCTCCCTCTGTCCTCCAGTATCTCGTGTCATCCTTATTTACATCCCGCAATTAGCTCATATTCATAATATTTTCCAAACTCAAACACCAAACGACGATTTATACTCACACCTTTTCCAGGCTGCTCGACTTTAATTACGTCTGCGCCATAATCTGCCAATATCTGCGTGCAAAACGGGCCCTAGGTTTATTTTCCAAAATGGAAATAACTGTTAGCCTAGCCATGTCCTGAATGGTTGTTTGTAAACATGGCCCCAAACCTACAGCTAATACTCTGGTGAGATCCAGTATTTTAAATCCATGCAGCGCCCCGAAAGAATCACCCTTCCCTCCGTCGGGTGAGGTAGTCGAAGAGTAGAACTTCTGTGGAAGATATGGAGCCTGCTGATACCTCGAGACATTTGCCCTATGAGTTAAACCCTTCCGTGCAAGAGTAAATCTTAGGCTTGTCCTTTGCGAATGAAAAAACCCCATAGCCTTGAGCGCAAATGTGAGCAGATTCGATTTTTTCAAAATCCCTTAACCACTTATAACAATACTACTATTATATTTATGATTGTTCGTTTTGATGCACAGCATCGATTTTGACCCCATCATGAGCTTCGGTTCGGCAATATGCCAGTAAAACCTTCGGCAAATCGGCATTTGGGCAACCCCAGACCAACTTTCCCCGCGTTCGGTAACTAAGTCTTCCTGGCCGAACAAACTCTGGGGCCACTGCCGGCTCGGCATTCCAAAAAAAAAGGTAGTTACAGCATATGCGCACCCGGAAGCAAAGATGGTATAGACTTCTCCACACCGATAAAGAGGTGGTAAACACCGCTGCTGAATTAAACACAGGCTCGAGTTGTCATCTACAGCTTCACCTCTTCACCCACACTATGTCTTTTCTCCCCCCTGCAATCCGACAGGGACTGGTAAAGCACCTTCCTGTGGCATCCGTGAATATCTCTTTCACTAACTGTACGAGATATCAACGAGATGCCTACGCGGCCCGAAATACATATGTCCCCGTCTTTCGCAGCGTATCGGACATAGATCCCTCCATGCCAAAGCAACAGAATACCTCCAGGCGCACGACCCCGACTGGACCGAGTCACAACGCACAATCCGCGAATCGATAGCAAAAGTATGCTCTAAATTCCCCGATGAGTACTGGCTAAATGCCGAGGAGACGAAGCGCTATCCACTCGATTTCCAAGCTGCTCTGGCCAAAGATGGCTGGCTGGGTGTCTGCATGCCCACAGAATTTGGCGGATCCCAGTTGGGTATCTCAGAAGCTGCCGTGATGATGCAGACCATATCCGAGTCCGGCGCAGGCATGTCTGGCGCGTCATCGGTGCATATGAATATTTTTGGTTTAGAGCCGGTTGTGAGGTTTGGTAATGCAGAGCAAAAGCAGCGGTTCTTGATACCGCTAATCCAGGGCCGTGAGCGCGCCTGCTTTGCCGTTACGGAGCCTAATACCGGGCTTGACACACTAAAACTACGGTCAATGGCTACGCGAGATGGTGACCACTACATCCTCAGGGGCTCGAAGATCTGGATTTCTACCGCGCAACACGCGGAAAAGATCTTAATCCTCGTCAGGACCACCCAGTTGGACAAAGTTACAAAGCCATCGCAGGGCCTCTCACTCTTCTACACGGATCTCGATAGGTCGCAGGTCGACGTTTCCGAGATCCCCAAAATGGGCCGTGCCGCCGTCGACACCAACACCCTCTTTTTCGAAAATTGGAAAGTTCCCGCTGCTGATATGATTGGCGAGGAAAACAACGGCTTCAAAATGATCATGCACGGCATGAATGCCGAGCGCATATTGATTGCCGCGGAGGCTCTAGGACTAGGCTACGCAGCCCTACGTCGGGCGGCTATATACGCGAACGAGAGACAGGTGTTTGGTCGCTCAATTGGGCAAAACCAGGGCATCCAGCACCCGCTGGCTGATTCGTGGATGAACCTGGAAGCTGCGCGGCTGATGGTCTACCAGGCTGCTAGGATGTATGATGCAGGATACACATCGGGCGAGTATGCAAATGCGGCCAAATACTTGGCTGCTGAGGCGGCTTTTAGGGCGTGCGAGAGGGCAGTGATGTCCCATGGCGGTATGGGATATGCGAGGGAGTATCACGTCGAGAGATACCTGAGGGAGGCTTTTATTCCGCGCATTGCCCCTGTTAGTCCTGAGCTGATTTGTAATTATATTGGGGAGAGGGTGCTTGGGCTGCCGAAGTCGTATTGATGTGGTTGGGTGGTTAGGTAGGTGGTACAGCATGGATGTCAACATTTCGATTTCAGCGGAAGGAAAACAAGACTGCGGAATATTCCTCCGTGAGAAGTTAAACTCGTACATATAATCGAAACCCCCTAATGGATTGATATTTTACCTGTACTGTAGTATGTGCCGTGCCTTTCTAAGAGAAGCATGCAGCTGGGCTCCAGATAACTTAGAAACCATCAATATTAAATCTTCCCCTTGTGGAATATATAGGGCAATCAATCGTTCAATCCATTAAGCACACACAATCACTCGATTAACCCTTTTATCACAACCTCCACACTTTCCTCCTTCAAACCAAGTCTATCATTCCACAAAAACTTGCGAAAATCGCAGCATGCGTCCTGGGAATAGTAGGCTACCCGAATCAAGTACCAGATAACACTTAGCCCACCCCCTTCCATTCAAGCTTCTCGTTCGCCTCGGATAGTGTCTGCTTGGGATCAATCTTTCGTACATTCCATTTGCTCCCCGTGGCTTTCTCCAGCACGGTAACCATTTCGCTCGCTGTCACTGTATACGAGGACACGTAGACATACTGATTCGCAGTCGCGCTCGGGTGCTCGAGGATAGCCACCAGGGCGCGCCCCACTTGCGGCTGGGTGAGCATGCTCATAGGAACGTTTCCGGCATCCTAGGCAAGTGCGGATTTGCTGGGAATATCATATTGCAAGAAACCGTGTGTTATACAATAAAAGAATTGTTAATCCATCTAACGTGGATAAAAGGTCTCTCTTGTTGCGTATCTATTGATTCGTCCTAGAGGGTAAAGTACAAACGATATGGGAACACTTACCCAATCAGCAAGGAGTTCCGGAATCAGAGCAGTCCAAGTAATTCTTATCTTGTTGGCTCTCAAGATATTCTACCAGGGTGCGCTTTACAGCCTGAATAGGGGCATTTTTTAAAACTTCAGGGTTCCTGATATCGCTTCAATCGCTCGGGATAACTCCGGCGGCGATGGCGGCGTCGGCAATTTTCTTCTGGTCCGCAAAGGCAGGGGGGCCAAAAATACTTATGACGGCGTCTTAACCCTGCAAGATTTCAGTGAGGGAGGATGTGGGGAAGTCAGATTGGCAACTTTGATGTTTTACGGGTACGTCGAGGTTGATGCCTCACGGGCAAGAACTGTGATGTTGAAAGTTGATTTGAGAAATTCGGCCATGACTGGAGGGCCAATATTGCCCCCAGCCCAACGACGGTGTGTAGTAATCAGTTTGGTATTCACAGACACTCAGCCTTACCCCGGTAACATCATTGTCGTAATATGAGTCGCCATGATGTTGTCTTTAAAGAGACAAAATCGATGATTCTTCAGCAAGACAAAACTCATGGCTAGGTGAGCGGTAGGGAGTGTAGATAGAAGAAAACACTTATATCATTCGAAGATAAAACCGGTCTCTCTCCTTATGAATATACCTACCGTCATGTATTTGAATATCTATATATAACTCAGGGCATTTCCTCGTAGTTCGCCTCACGACTGAGGCCTTATTCCGGAAACAATGACGTCTTATGCAGGAGCAGCGCCCTCGATAGGTTTGAACCTTTTACGCACATCTTCTTGAGGCAAAGTACTATGTACGTCGATTTGGTTTGCGAAAGAATCCAAATATGTGGCAAGGCACTATGATGACAGCGGCTTAGTCCCGGAAACAGCACTCATCTCCAGACTTTGGGCAGTGCAGGGCGGAATTCAATGTCATTCAACATCTCGATATTAAGGGATAACCTTCAGACCGGTGGCTAACTGGCCCGCAGATTAGGCAGTCCGCGGTGTCGAGTTTGACCCCGTTCTTCCATCCAGCATTCAGATCGGCCAAATCAAGGACAAATATCAGAAGAAAGTCCAATGCTGACATTGGCAGCCAGATTTCTGGTTCTGAGCAGGGAGTTCATTTCAGAGCCGAAGGTTCCGCTGCTCGATTCAGGGTGTCTCGACTGAGTGTTACTGACCAATTATTGCTTCTTTTCTCGCAACTTCGAACAGAGATGAGCTAGGTTGATGGCAAAGCAAAGCTGAGGTCTATCAGCAAGATATCTCAGATGCAATTCGCTGTGATGGCCGAGTCAGCCCGTCAAAAGTGTTCTGGGTCGGGACGATTGGGTTTCTCCGCATCTGCGCAACTTTGTTCTTGAGCATCGGGATTGAAATTGGGAACCAAGAGTGGGCAGCGAAACCCCAGGCTCAAGAGTGGGAAGGGGAGCCAGGCCGAGGGTGACGGGAACGTTAGAAAGGTTAGTTAACTAGCTCAAGCCCCGGATGAGCTAAGCGGTGCTTCCGCCTTAAACACTGTTGGGATGAGGAGTGAAGGTAGGAACCCACCATGTCTTTGTATCATCGCCTTATCACCATTGGAGATCGCAAAGGGAAAAGGATAATGTTGATATAGCGAGAGGAATTGAACGAACAGTCTGGGATTAGGGCTGCTGGTTGCCCGAAGCAGCGGACTCAGCCCTAGCCCTAATTAATTAACTAGTTAATAACCTCATCCTAACGCCGCGATATCAGCACGCCAACCAACTAGTCTCTGACCCCCCGGATTTTGTCGAAAAAGGGAGGGGGACGGTAGGTTGTAACTTGTAAGTCGAATTGAGATTTCTCTCTCTCCAGCATCCTTGGTATCTTGCATTCTTAATCGTCGAATTTGACACCTCGGCGCTCTAATGTGCTCAGCCCTCTGATATGCCTCTGTCAAGTCAACCGAGGCGCCTGTGTAGAATGAGCGTACCCATACGAGCTGGCGATAACGTATCAAGCACTTTATCAACCGCTAGACTTCAATAATGTCCCAATCCTGGGCCGGACTGGCAAAGCTGTGACCTCCCTGGAGAAACAGAGCTTAACAACGTTTTGGACCGAAGCTCGACGTTGTTAGCTCATGTTCCCTGCATCGTCTACCCCCTATTCACTTAGGCCAACGGCCAATTATAAAGCTAGTCAAAAAATATCTTCGGACAGCTCTGTTGAAGCTGGACCTGGAGCTGGAGGGAGCTTTTGGGCGACTGGCGAGGATTAGGCCAAGTCCTCTACTTGAAGGAGTCGCTTGGTGACAGCCAGCGCGCCAATCAGTGGTGTGATGTATGAATGATGTATGTTACCCCACTCCTGTCGACCCCTCGAGCACAATATCACGTCGTTTATCAGCGAAACACTCCGAACCAAATGGACGCTGTATGAATTGATGAAGATTCAAGATTCCTAATCCGGAGACTGAGACTGATGCATCTATCTACAACTACTGCCTGCCGTATCTGTGATATGAATGTCAACGAATTTCGTCCTGGTTGGTTCCCTTACATAGTTATCTATAGCCCGGCGACATGCATTTATGTTTCCAAAGTTTCGATCCATGTTCTAATGTTCTAGCCCGGAGCTTAATATTTTTCGTCCTTCGTTTTCTTTTTCTTTTTTCCCTCGCCGATAAAATTCGCCTCCTCCAGACCCACCACCCTCGTCATATCACTAACCTCCACCCTTCGTCGGACAGCCAGAGCTTCCACCTAGGTCCCCATTCACCAGTCCTCAGTCCCCGACAGCTGGGGAATGGTCAGGCCATGATTCATCCCTTTCCCTAACTTCTATAACTACGTCGATCAAGCGCGCTATTCTTGCCGCTAAGCTCGCTCCGAGGGGCCTGGAAGCTGGGCAGCTTCGTCCCACCCTTTTATAACTGCCCACCCTCGCTCGTCTGCAATTCTTTTCAAATGGTCTGATGTAACCCTGCGTTAAAGTCTCCTGTAGACTCCCCAGTCCCTACCAAAACCTCGGGGCTCTCAATCAACGTCTTTCAACATGGAGGAAAAAGTGATTGCCGACAGGCTGGCGTCGAGTCCAGCGCCGTCATCGAGTACAAAGAAGGATGGGGCTGACATCGCCGCTGTCGAGATTGATCTCGTCAAAGCGAAGGCTTTGGTGAAGAAGGTGGACCGCCATATTGTTCCTTTCCTGGTCCTGTTATATGTCTTCAGCTTTTTGGATCGGGGTGGGTTTTTTCTTTCTTTGGCATGAGTCACATAAGGCCTAAACTAATGATGGTTCTATATAGTGAATATCGGCAATGCGCGACTCTATGATATGGAGTCTGACCTGGGTCTCACTGGTAATCAGTACCAGATCGCAATCTCAATCCTGTTTATCCCATATTGTGTATGCATTCCCCGCACCCCGCTGCCCGCGTCAAGCGGAAAAATAGCCCACAGAGCTTAAGAAGGGGGGGGGGGAGAAAAAGACGAAAAAAAGAAAAAAAGAAAAAAAAACGAAAACCTTAGGGGGCGCAACATTCAATTCAATTTACAAAGCTAACTATTTGCCTGCTAGCTTCTGGAAGTCCCGTCCAACCTCGTAATCCGAAAATTCACAGCATCTCGCTACATTGCCTTCATCGCCGTATCATGGGGGATCATTGCCACGCTGACGGGAATTGTTCAAAACTTCGCCGGTCTGGTTGTATGCCGCTTCCTCCTCGGATGCGTGGAAGCCGGTCTGTTCCCTGGCCTGGTGGCATACATGACTCTGTTCTACGGCAAGCGCGAGATAGCGCTGCGAGTTGGTTATCTATTCAGTGCTGCTGCGCTTGCCGGGGCGTGCGGTGGTTTGCTCGCCTATGCCATTGGCTTCATGAGTGGAGTTGCAGGGCAGAAGGGCTGGCGCTGGATTTTGATCATCGAAGGTATCCCCTCAGTTCTCATCGGCGTGGCGACATGGTTTGGCCTTGCCGATGATCCAGATACTGCCTACTACCTCAATGCGGAAGAGAGAGAGCTTATGCGGGCCCGCCGTAGTCTGGAAATTGGCCAGACCGACTCGGCGCAGCAGTTTCACAAGGAAGATGCGAAGGAGGGCGCCAAAGACTGGACCATCTGGCTCATGTGTCTCAGTCAGTATGGCGTTGACACCGTCCTGTATGGGTATAGCACCTTCCTGCCCACCATCATCAACGGTATCGGAAACTGGACCGTCCCGCAAGTCCAGGCGCTGACTATTCCCTGCTACGCCCTGGGCGCGATTACCTACCTTGTTGTCGCCTGGTTTAGCGACCGCATGCAGCGCCGTGCTATATTCACGATTGCATTCTGTATCATTGCGATGGTCGGCTATGGAGTTCTGATGTCAGACAGCAGCGCCGGCGTCCATTACTTCGGTTGCTTCCTTGTCGCAATCGGCCTGTATGTCTGCGTTGGCCTGCCGCTCGCCTGGTTGCCAACGAATCTTCCGCGGTTTGGTAAGAGAACGTTCGCCACTGGTCTCCAGCTTACCTTGGGGAATGTCAGTGGCATAATGACGCCGTTCTTGTACCTCAACAGGGACGGCCCACGCTACCTAATGGGCCACGGGGTAACCCTTGCCCTTACGGGGTTTTCGGCGGCGATATTCGCGTTTATGTGGTTCCATTATAAGAGGATTAACAAAAGACGTGCAGCGGGCTTGGAGGATGACAAGATTGCCGGGATGACGGAGGAAGAAATCTCTGAGATGGGTGATCGGAACCCCAGATTCCGCTATGTCACATAGAAAGTGTATTCTTTTTATTATTTTTTTTTTATCTTCCTTGTCGTATGTGTACTTTTCTCGTTTCCCAATTCTCTCCCGACGTACAGCTTTTATGCTATCCTGGTTACTGGTCTTTGTTTAGATCCTCTTTGTTACATGAGCTTCAAGTTTCATCTCGGCCGGCTAATGGGTATCTCTCTCTCTATAGAAATATATATAAGAAATTCCCACTAAAGTTAGATGCGTTGCAGTGGTTGGTTTATATCACAACCTAAGCAATATTATAAATATCCACAACGATCATGTTTTATCATAGATATTAGAAGTCTGCCTTTAAACCGTCCCTCGTGAATCATTGGATTCTCCCTGTCTACGGTAATTGCGTAGCGAGCCTGGACAGGCCCCTATTTTTACCCTTCTATCAGGGTATTATTATTGTCTGGCCAGTTGCCATACTCTGCTAGCACTAGCAACCCCCCTATTTCTGGATGTTGGCAAAGTTCTACGTGTATTTAAATTTAGCCCTCCCCTTGGCCCTTGCGCAACTCGCTTTGGCTGATCATGTAATTTCTTTCTACATGTAACTTCGCAGACGGCATGTTTGCATCCATCGTCGTGTCCGGATCTTGTCTTAACACATTAATCCACATCTCTCCGCGGCGTTATCGTTCTCAGGACAAACTCCCTTTTCAATCCACCCCACTTCTGGAACTCCTGGATCGCCCAGCTGGCGAATTTTAGATGCCAAGTGACTCGATGGATTTAGAGCGATGTCGCCAGTGCTTTTCAAGCGTGGTTGATATTTTGTACTCGTAGACATTCCGGATGTCTGAGTAGTAGTTAGTGGAGTCAACACGGAATACCAACTTATCAATCCATTCTGAAATTTCATTGCATATGCTGCCCTGATGTTGGGGAAACCTCGAGTTGCCGGCCCAAGGAATTCCGCCTTCTGAGTCTTCGGCATGGCGAAATCGGCGCAGCACGCATGCCATGGAGGTAAGAAAGTTAGGAAGCCCTTCGACTGAGTTCTAACTGCCCAATTTCATTCCTAAGGGGCAATTATCCGTTCTTCTCGTCCTTAGAACTAGTTAACTGCGCATTTCTTCCACACAACATACGCCCCACTCAGTCTTGCAATGGCTTTGCTTCGGGAGACCGGGACTCAAAGTGGCTCGGTTGGTTTGACTCTGGTTCTTTTCTTCATCCTCCGGTCATCATCCGTTCTGCGCATTGCAATACCTGTTATATTTGTCAGTAATGGGGAAATTCAAATAACTACATTATCTTCAAGTTGATTACAAACTCCTCTGTAGATTGATATTTGACGTGGATGTGTGTGTGTATGGGATGGAAACGAATCCTGTCCTCCGCACATGGATGGAGCCTTTGGATCATATTTATCAAGCGGCGCTCGTTCAGCCCTCAAACACGCTGCCTGCGGTGAGGCGGAATGAATGGATGCATCGGCATGGCATGCTGTGCTCCCAACCAACCTGAATTCCAATAATTATCACACCTAAACTGGTTATTTAGCTCAGGGGTTCTGTTTTTCATGCTTGAAGCACGGTGTAAAATCTGATCACACTGCAGCAGACTGTGCTGTGTTTCTTCTTTCTTGCGTTGTTTTCTTTTTCTGCTTTCCGTACTTTTTTCTTTTTTTTTTCTTTTCTTTTTCTTTTCTTTTCTTTTCTTTTCTTTCTTTTCTGATATTCTGAGTGGTCCGGCCGCTATTCGGCCAGCAAAGTTCAATAGTGGTGCCAGTAGCCGTTTGGGAACGAGGGAATTGTTATGTGCCCAATGGGATATCAAGCTCAAGTTTAATCCATTCTGCCCCAAATTCCATTCTCGACGGGGTGGAAGGGCTCCCGATCGATCTGAGCGTTGATTCAAGCTCCTCTTGTTACCCTTAGACTATCGGGGGAGAGCGAAGTTTTGATATTTGCTCCATACTCCGTAGATCTCCCTAGATCACCACCCGCAAATACTCTCGAACTTGAAACTCACGTTGATGGAGACAAAGGAAACGGAGGGGGGAAAAGGTAGTTAGGGGAAAAAAAAAGAAAAAAGAAAAAAGAAAACGAAATCAGGACTAATCGAGTTCTTCTTCTTATTGACTTTGTATAGCGGGTTCCCCATTTTTTTCCTTTTCCCTTTTTCTTTTTCTATTCCCTTTAGGAAGCGCGAATTTGACTAGCGCCCGATATCAAATAATATCATGATCAGCAAGCCCATTTTTAGCCACATCCAACTTTTGCACCTCGAAATCTCCGTCAGCCAAAGGCAAGATATGTACGGAGTTATGCCAGTGCAAATTTTTCGGGCTTTGGGCGACATCAATTCATGCCGTGAGCCCCCTGGGTGGTTCTAAATACTCGAAGCCCATTTGTCAGATAGCTTTCCTCAAAAACAGGAGACTGTTGTCACAGAGTTAATGCGCGGGACAAGTGCAAGAAAACGAGTTTGATTCACAGGTCTCATGGCATCATCATTGGAGCGCCTGATAAAAAAAAAAAAAAATCTTTTACCATGTACCAATATGGACGGAAGGGCAGTGTTGAAGATCACACACGGGATTTTCGATAGTGCTGCCAGGGCTAATCTCACTATTACATCAAACCCAGCCATATTTCCAAGGAGATTCATGGATTATCATTGCCATTGGCAGACCTGTTGAGCCCAGCCAGCCTGCAACGCATGAGAAGTTGGCAGTCTTGGATCAGGGGTAGTTCACAAACTCCCTTCGTCACCTATTATTTATACCCCGACCCTATCCTACCAGAGAGCATCTAGTAGTACTTGTTTTCATCCTCCTCACAATTCACTACTCCAAAATACCTCGACACTCCTTTCAGAACTTTATATCCTTAACAGTCTTTTCCGAAACGACAAACATGCGGCTCACAAGCGCCTCCCTCTTCGGCCTCCTCGTCGCGGTCGCCCCATTGGGCACCATCGCAGACAGCACACTTCCCGCAGACACATCAGAAGCCTGCGCCTTACTCGCGAACCGTACACCTGAGGAGTTCGCGTCCACCCTGGCGGATCTAGAGAACCAAGCGAAACTAGACCCTACCCGAGACCAGGCCGAGATTGACGAATTTTTGGCCCAAGTCCAATCACTCCCCGTCGAAAACCTGCAGGCTGAGGTCGACAAAACATGCGCTGCGCAGGCTCAAGCCCCAAAGATCAGCCGCAGCAGGATCGCTCGCCGACAAGATCTGGGTGGAACTCTGGGTGGCGTGAATGCTCTGGGTGGCGTGGGTGATGCCCTGGGCGGAGCCCTGGGGTCTTCACTTGGTGGTGTAGCTGGAGGCTCAGCCGTGAAGAAGGCCCGTAACGAAAATGCTCGCCGGCAAGACATTGGTGGCACTGTGGGCGGTGTGACTGGTGCTCTGCCCGGAGGCCTTGGGTCTGCAATTGACAGTTCAACGGGAACAGCTGGGGGCGCGCTTGGAGGTGGTCTGGGCGTAAAGAAGGCCCGTAACGAAAATGCTCGCCGGCAAGACATTGGTGGCACTGTGAGCGGTGTGACCGATACTCTGCCCGGAGGCCTTGGAGACACGGTTAATGGTGTGGTAGATGATGCGGAGAAGGGTGCTGGGACACTTTCTCGTCGACAAATCGGCGGATCTCTAGCAGGTCTAAATGGTGATCTTGGTGGTCAGCAGACGAAGAAGGGCGGCCTTATGGGTGGTGTTCTTATCCCTGGGTTGCTGTAGATTACCGACGCCGACCTGGATATTTGAATGACATATGTTTTCTTGCATCTTCCTATTGATTTGATGGATACTTAAAGCTGGAAATGGAGGCGTGAGGCGGATTGAGATCGTATTGAATTCGAGGGTCGTTGTTATTGTCAATAGCTGATATATTCTCTTGAGAGCGGGCTTTGTCTATTTATCCTCTGCCAAGTTCCTGTAGAGGAAAACAGAAGATGCTTTACATATTTAATAATAGAAATTCATCTACGGTTATTTAAGCGATCATCATGCTAACATAGATACTTATCTCCGCTGGGATTGAACATGCGATCTCTGTAGCATAAATAGCATGATTATTAACTAGCATTTAGTAACTCTCTATCTATAATATACAGTTGAATATATTTTAAAAGAATTCTTCAATTCTGATAAGATATCTGATATGATCTTTGACTTTATACTAACTATATATTAAACAGAGTTCTCTAGTGATTTCAAAGCAGTGAAGATTTTATTGAATTTAATATACAGTGATCAGATAGTTAATAATCAAATACTTTGCATGATTTCAGCAGATATATACTGTTTTCATAAGCAGTAGTTAACTACGTCCGCCATAATACCATTTTGCCACCTTCTACGTTCCATGTCGTGAATGTGTCGAGCCCCAGCTCCTCCTCGTCGCTCATCGTAGCGTAGCGTAGCATAGCCCACAATCACTTGGAAGAAACATTCTGGGTCCTGGTAGACGTCGAGGACATGCTCATTGATATGAATCTGGCTGTGTTGTCAGACCATTTAACAATTGCTGTTGTTTATCTGCCTCCAACTCTATTCAGATAGTTAGTCCAGAAGTCTCTGATGTTTTGGCCATGATCGCTTCTGCTCTTTCAGAATAATGACTGTCACAGCGCTTCATCGGCCCAGCTAAATAACTAGTTAACTATTTGCCTGAAACTCCATGATTGGTGTCTTTTTGAAAGTTGCGTGACTACATTTTCACACAGATGAATCTCAGGGTGTTTATTATGATTGATTTTCCATTATTACGCTACCTCAAACCCTGTCAAATTTCCAACTACTCTCTGGGCCCCTGGCATGACAAGCGGGTGCGTGCTCGACCCCTATATGGTGTAAGTTATCATATCAATTATTTCCTCCCCCGTATAACCAGAGCACCATAGGCGTGGAATAAGGAAACTGTGTGCGAGAAGGACGGCTGTTATGGGACAGTTCGACTGCAAGATCAATTTATTAGAGAACCTCCAGATGCTTCTATGCCCGAGGTAGGAGCAGCATTACAATGGCATAACATGGTAGGTAAATAAGGGATCTAGTACTGCAAAAATTTTATCCCCTTTGCTGTTGAAAAGTGGTCAGGCTACGCTTTCGATCGTGGGGACAACTACGCTGTACACAGTAGGACTTACTGAGGATGAAGAGCTAATGGTGTCTCAACTTGCAGATTCACTAGTGAGTGATCTACTATTTACAGCAACTTACGCTGTAGGTCATAGTCAAACACTAACCAGGACCATAACTTTCTTCTTACAGGAAGCTGATCATGCACGAGATGAAATTGCTGAGACTTATCTCTACTACTGCACCTAGCCAATTGCTCTGCATTACAATTAGAGTGCACTTGCGGAGATGGTATGATAACCTTTCAGGACTGCAGCGTGAGGAATAGCATTCAATGATTGATGGAAATATTTGTAGATCGTTGAAGGGGCCATAATTTTTTAAATTCCAAACCTCATGATGAACATAGGGTGAATCGGGTGGCCCAGGGTGGCGCGACTCTGTTAAAAAAAAAAAAAAAAAAAAAAAAACCTTGTGCCTCATTCCTATCAATATTTTCAACAATTTTGTGGAAGCCACATCGTCTCCGTCGACATCTCTGAAGACTGGCCTGGTGTGGCGGTAATTGGCTTCGTCTTTGACGTGGCATCCAAACTCCGGCAACAAAGCCTTATTATTCGGTCAAACGTTTCTTCCTCGGCTTTTTGAATATTTGCGTTTGCTCAGTGAAAGAGTCGGTAGGGGTAACACCTGCTGAGTCAAGATATCCCAGCTAGCTTGACTGGTTGTTGTCCTCTTCCAGGGGTACCGATTTAGCGTTCGATTGTTAGGAGTATTGAAGTTCTGACTGTGAGATGTGAAAATCCACATCAGGGGGTATCTGATCAATTGCGGAGCATATTCTTTTAAAATGAGTTGGCATCCATATATCATAGACATTTCTTGTGAATTTGTATGCTGTCCATTTCTCTTTGCCATCCAGAGTGGTAAAATCGAACTTGTGGATTGGGTGGCGGTAGAAATTCATCTTCTCTCCTTCAAGAACTGCATAATGACCGTAGATCCTCACTGCTGTATGGTCATGTGAGACTGAGAAGGCGAGTATCTCTCGGTTGACCTCTCTTTCACGCTTCACAAGCTTGAATAGCTCAATAGTAGCTCTCACTGCAATAGTGGCACTGTGGGCATTCTGTCGATCAGCGATATCAAGTGCTGCTGCACCACACTTAACTTCACATGTTAAGAATGGGAAGTACATGTAGAATGTTGCCATGAAGTAGGATGTATCAGTCAGGTCACCGACAAAGGGCTGAAGCCTTTGCAGTTGGTCATCTGTAAATGCCTCTCGTCTGAAACCCACAGAGTAATCAGGCTGCGGACGAGGTTTAGTTACAGGGATAGCATTGTTCCAGCCTTCACTAACACTTTCAATCAAAAATTTGAGATGCTCATTGCCATATATGGCTAGATTTTCTGCTGAAGGGACAATCAATCGAGTGATGTCCTGAATAACCATGGCCTCATTCCTATCCTGCATCTTCTCACAGGTTTTTTCAAATAGATTGTCATGGAATAACGAGTTCTCCGGAACTCTTTGTTCAGCATCAAGCAAAGTTTGATAACTGCTTTTGCTAGCATCTGTGATACCCAGTTTTGATTCTTTCATAAAACTGCCCTTGGTTTGAAGCAACATTCTGTAGTGTGCATTTTCATATGGAGCACTCTTTTCCTCCCTCGGCATTTGGTCGCTGGGTGTGGTGGAGCTGATGACAGAACTAGCTTCCAATTGCTTGCGGTGTAGAGAAGATGTCGATTTTTTTCTTGCAAGTAGATGACTCATGTTTCTTCCGTGTTCAAAGTATTCTTTAGGCCAGATTCCTTCGTTCCTCCAGTAATTGATTGGATTTATATTATATTTGCAGCCGTTGCTTGCCAACTCCTGGATAGGTATATTCCCATCACTAGCAAGTGACGTTCGCGGTCGTTTTACAATATGCTCAGCTGGAATGTGGAGTGAGTCTCCAGCTTCTCGCGACTGCTTTTGTTTTTGATGTTTAGCTTGCGGAGAGGCCAGCAGGGCCTGAGGAGCCTTAGCTTTGAGTTAGCTTCATAGTGCAGTAACTTATTGCAAGAGGAAAGTAACATGCCTCCTCTCTGGAATTATAGCCTGTTGGAAAGGGATATGGGTGGTTTTGTTCTGTTTTCCTGTCCGTTGATTGAATTTGCTCATCATGGCCACTCAGACGTGGACTCCTGCGAACAGGTACTTGTGGTCGTTTCCCGACACCTTGGGGTCGCTTTCCTACCAACGGTCAGTCAAAGTAGCTGGTAATGTAATGAACATGAATAACGCACCTTGGTTTTGATGGCGGGCCATGATGACAAGAAGGGAGAGGGATAGGAGGTGGTTTTAAGTTGCTACAGCACATATCCCAAGTTGGTAATTTATCCTAACACCCCTTCTCCTCGCTTATTAATTAGTTACCACTAATAACGTTAATGTTGGGGGGGTCCCGGGTTGATCGGCCCTTCCACCAGTTGCCCCGATAACTAGTTAGTTAGTTAAGTTAGTTACCCACTAACTTATTGGGGCATAGTGAATGGGGCCGCCAAGTAGCAAGTAACTAGTACTACGCAGTAACTCCGTAGTTAACTGTTTATTAATAGGCAAATATGACGACATGAGTATTGGCCTGCCATTTGCCATTAGTTAGCAGATAATAATAAACTTCATTGATATCATAAGTTAATAAATAAGCCAATGTGTCATTCATCTCTCTGAGATTTTGAATCCCTTTGCTGTTTATCTAGTTATATATTTACTTGTCAATCCTATAGCCATCTCTTCCACTTATTTCCCAACCCAAGTATAACTATCCGGCGCGACCCGGCACCATTTGAACCAATGGCGAAAGCTATCGCAGTGATTGCTGGCGTGGGTGCTGGCACAGTAAGGCGTTTCCATTTTACTTTTGGGGAAGAAAATCACATAGCATTCTTTTGTTCTAACACTGTTGTGTAATGTGGCAGGGAGCTTCCATCGCCCGAAAATTTGCCCAAAAATACAGCGTGGCCGTCCTAGCTCGTAGTCCAACCAGCTATCAGTCTCTCGTCCAAGAAATAAGTAGCAGCGGCGGGAACGCCGTTGGCATAAACACGGATGTCACTAGTGTCGCGAGCGTGAAAAATGCTTTCTCAGAAATATCGAAGGCGTTCCCTGGCGCGCCAGTTGCGGCTGCGATATATAATGTTGGCGGAGGCTTCGTGCGGAAACCCTTTCTCGAACTTTCGCAGGAGGATTTCACGGCTGGCTTTGAGAGCAATGCGTATGCACATCACATTTCTAAATTATGTCTTTTTGCATCAAAATCACGTTGTTATTCCAGTCCCTATCCTATGGCCCTTGCGCCAACCCCAAAAGGCCATCTCTGTTATGTGAACTGTGACCAAAACGAACATGCTAACGTGTTTACTATATGCTATGTATCAAACGATTTGCAGCAAAGGAGCCTTTCATTTCTCCCAGGCCGCCCTGCCTTTACTTTTGAAGTCTGGAAACCTGGAATACCCACCTACGCTCATTTTCACTGGTACAACCAACCCCCGCCCACTTTACAGCCTTTACAACCTCCTCCTCGGAATTGGCTGAATAAAGCTAATATGGCTTATATTAGGCGCTACGGCAAGTCTCAGAGGATCTGCCCTTTGCTCATCTTTTGCAACGGGGAAGTCTGCTCTGCGCGCCCTGTCCCAGTCTCTAGCTAGGGAGTTTGGTCCCCAGGGGATCCACGTTTGCCATACTATTATTGATGGCGTTATTGATATTGAACGCACGAAAGGCTTCCATTTTGATGTCCCAGATGCAAAATTGAATCCCAATTCGGTCAGTACGAATGCTGGAATTTTAGTGTCATTGCTAGCTAAAGCAAGGGGAAAAACGGGGAAAGGAGGGCTACTGATGAAGAAAAGACCTGCCTTGCTTACCTCGAGCTTAAGTGATAAGTTACCGTTTAGCTAACATTCTATTTATGTCTCTAGATTGCGGATACGTATTGGTTCCTGCACACTCAGCCGAGAACCACATTTACCCAAGAACTTGACTTGCGACCTTATGTTGAAAAATGGTAAAACAGTACCCCTTCTACGAGATCCCCTAGCCAGGGCGGCACAGTGTAATCTTAGGAAAATGGCGGGTGGTATAACTATGGCTCTCGCTGGTATTCGCCTCATTCACCGACTGATCAGTAAAAAAATGATGAAGGCCATGGATTCTGATTGGAACTATATTTTTGGTTTTTCTTGCATATTATAAAAGTTAGGAAATACAATGATAATAATACTATCTTGATTGTCCCTCATCGTATGTTTTGTTGTATGTTGGTTCGCAGAGCAAGTTATGTCATTATGACTAAGCACCACGCCTTTTGCGTTTTTAAAGATTCTCCGAAACATGCTCCAAAGTCGCAGCAACAAAGTACCAACGCCGTGATTGCGGCCTTTCTATTGCGATAAGACACCCCCCATACATGGATGGAGTAAGTAGTAACTTGGCGTCGTGACTTGCTCCCCATTCTCACTTTCTGGTCGGCTTCTGGTCTCAGCAGCCCCTAACCTCTCTCCCTCTTTAGATCCCGACAACCGACAAACCCATACCTTCTCCAATATGGTTCTGAACGAAGTATCGTCCCAGGCGGATGGCTATGGTAATGCTGCCATGGACTCCGACGATAGCTACTCGTTCTCGCAAAACTCACTATCACCTCTCAGAAAATTTGCCGCTCGAATTGAGATTCCGCCCTATGGATTAGGGAAACAATTATTATTCCTGCGGTCAAAAGAGGCATATGAGGAATATATGGCTACTCGTATCAAGCAGCATATTGAAATCGGAATGGCTTTTGTGGACCGGCCTCTTACTCAACTGGAAACCGACTCTTTCGTTGACCAGGCCGTAGGCTTAACGACAAAACCTCGAATCGGTGCTTACCTTGGCTCCTTCTTGGGGTTCGTGCTAGTCGCCAAACCTTTCTTCAAGAACGGTCGTCTAATACCTATTGCGCAAATGAAGAGTATGGTAGATAGACAGCTAATCATTAAAACCCTGCTTTGGCCGTTCTGCGCCGTTGCGGGAAATACTTTCGGAAAAGCAAGCGGCGCTTCTCTGGCTGTACGAGACCTAACATCCGATCCCAGATTAACCCAGTATCGGCAAGACCGTGCAAATCAGGATCCTCAGAAGGTTCAAAAGAGCTTAGAAAAACTTGGATGGAAGACTCGCCATACTCAGCCGCGTCCCCATCGCCACCCTTCCGCGCAACAAAATATACCAGAGCATGAACATGCCAGCCCATCCGCTGGATTCGAGTCAACCGGCTATGGTGACTCGATGTACTCTTCTATCCAGTACGGATCCTCAAATGAAAGTTACGGAATTCAATCACAAGCGGATTCGCAGATTTTGGGACAATCGAGTTCACAGCAACGGAATCCGCAACAGCAGCAGCAACAACAACAACAACAAGGCAGTTGGGATATGTATCGACAGGGCCGTCAGTCAGTCAATAAAAGCGATAATGAAGACATATTTGATCTCCGCTCCGATACCACAGCACCAGCAGCCAGCTCAACGGCCACTAGATCACAGCCTTCGGGAAGTGCCTGGGACAGGCTACGCGGGTCATCGTCCACTTCCACCCCCGCATCTACCAACAGGGGAGGCTCAACATTTGATTCCCCAACATCGAACACCGAGAGCGCATCGTCCGAGTCATTACCAACGCCCTCCGGCAGCTCGTGGGACCGAATACGCAACGCATCCGCGTTCCCCTCATCCGCCCCTTTCCAACCGCCACCTGAGCAATGGTCTCAGAGTCAACAAGATAACTATTCTGAGTCTACACAACACTCCAAGGACAAGGCGCAACGCGAGTTTGACCGTTTGCTTGAGAAGGAGAGGCAGAACAGCGGTGACAGCGACGGTTATACCAAACAAATGGGGGAGTGGGGTAGGGGTTCATAGCGAAGGTGATTTTGTACTTGTAAATATTATTTGCTGATATTTCATTTTTATTTCTGAGGTCTCGCCGGCTATTCTCCTCTCTTTTTATTCGACTTTCCTTTCAGAGGATTTCAAGCGAATGGAGCATTAGGATAACACTAGCCTCTTCATCGATTGCATGTTCCCAGCCGTTTCCATATGGGGGGGGGGGGGGAATATAACCCCTGAATTTGGGCTCACTCACGGGTATGCGAATGTACACATTTCTTATACCTGTGTGCATTGCTTGTATCTACATACCACAACTTCTATATTATATTACCCACTTGAATGAAAGCCAAACTACAAGGTCAAAAAGTTTCATGTAGCATGCTTTCCGTAAGTAGAACCATCGGGGATACTACGTAGGTTAAGAGGAGAGTAAATTATTCGTATATAATTTTATAGATATGGAGAGGGGGTGCGCTACAAGAAACGGAAAAAACACTACCACAATCTTTCATCAAAGCCACCCCGGTAAAGAAGCATCAATCCCCTGAGAAGAAGAATATCGCAAGGAAAGACAATCGAAATAGAGAAGTGGGGATATCAGAACGACATGAACAGAAGCGACATAGAAACTGAACAGAAAAAGCAAAAGGAAAGGGGAAAAAAACAAGGGGGGTTAAGGAGCTTATAAATTCAACCTTTGCTAGTATAGATACTTTCGGAAAAACGAACATGCTAAAATGGGAATATAAATGAATATTCGGGTGGGAGGATATTATGTGCCGCCTTAACCTTTAGCAGCCATTGGTCGCTAAGCTTCGCTGCTACACGATATTCACACAGTCTTCTTGCCCATGAGTAGAGGATAGAAAAGAAAAGAAACGAAACTGAAATAACATGAATTAGAATAAAAAACGCATTTTTACCGCCGACGGTATCCCTTCTTTAAACTTGGCCAACTTTCATGTTCTGATTGGTAATTCCAAATCTCAAAACATCACGTAGTAAAACAGTTAGTTTCTTGTTGTTACCATTCCTTAATTTTTTTTTTTTTTTTTTTCCCTCCGGTTTTCAACAGCGGCCTAGTCAATGTCGCAGTGTTGGCCCTTAGATGTATAAATCGCTGGAGGTGAGAGTATTGCTGTCACTAATCTATATCCTGTTCTCTATAACATTTTGTATGGATAAACTTTCATAGGGTGAAGGCGCATCGGATTCCGAAGGCGTGGGCCGTGTATTGCGGCCCCGGCTTGTGCTACGCATCCTATCCGTAAAATTGCGGATTTTACTCGTGAAGTTTTCATTCACACTGCGGCCACGGCGATGGGAGGTATCGCCATTGCTTCTCGAGGGCGACATTCCTGACGACTCGGCGATGGGGGAGAAGATTGCTGGTGGTTGTTGTTGGTGTTGCAGGGGAATATCGTTCATCTTTCCGGGATCATCGATGGCAATATTGATAGTGCCCACGCCGGAAACTAGTGAGTTTCGTGAATCGTACGTCGACGGCATATGGTTATGCGTATGGATCATGGGAGGCGGTGGGGGCGGTGGTGGAGGTGATTGAAGATGCCGAAGTTCTGGGAGGAGGGGTGGCGGTCCGTTGCCATTGTTGCCAGTTGAATGATTCTGGCCCATATCCTGTGAGGTCTGTCGACGATGAGCGAATTTCTGTGCTGGTTTGCTACTAGGTATCTGTTGCTGATAATGCGGGTGGGCTAAAAGCCCGTGTGGCTTCCCATTGAGCTCAAGGTGGTCAGGTGGAGCAGAAGCTGACCGCGAAATATTATGTCCACTCGGTCGATAAACAGCGTCGCTCAGTGTCATTATATTGTCTGGGACCTCAGGGAGAGCAGGGGCGTTGACGTCTGCATAGCCGGTGCTGTATTTTGGATGTCTCATTGCCCTCGGCGTTGCGGGTAGCCCAATCGGAACATTCGAGGGTCCACGTCCCGAGTGGTTGGAGTCAGAATTATTTGAATTGGCTGGAGATAGGTTTTTTCCACCCATCCTTTGATGGAAGGAGCCGCTGTATGGAGGACTGTCAGTTGCATTTTGTCGGTGGGACAGGTTACTGCTATTCTCGCCCGGAAGCGGAATTGAGGGAGCAGAAGGTCGGCGTGCGAGGGACAGACGGCGAGCTTCCAGTTCAGCGGCAGCTAATTCCTTTCTTTTACGTTCCGCCACGGATTGAAGCGACGTTGGCTGGCCACTGGTTTCAACGCCTGCTACTAAGGGCATTTCATTATCGATAGGGTAGGCATGCCTGCGATGGCCTCTAATACCATCTCCACTGGCGTGCGTATCTCTGCATGCACTAGTTGACCGGTCCTGACTCTGTCTACTTTGAGATCTGTTACGCTCTCTCCTTCGGTCTGGAGACGGATCACGGCGGGCACTTGTGCCACGTTCTGGACGGCGAGTCTGACTCGCTTGTCTAGATCGCACACGGTGTTTTCTATCCACGTTAACTAGTCGAAGGCCGTTCTCAATATCCTGGCCACTATTGTAGTCTCCAAGTGTGGGGGACATGGGAAGCGGGGAAGAAGGAGATCTCGGGCCAGATCCTTCTGTCCTTTGCGAACTTCTACCCCGTGTTTCAAGAGAGTATAACGGATCCGGGGTGTGGCGACGCGTGGTGACCTGACTAGACTTATCGCCTGCCAAAGAACTGGAACGATTGCGGAGTCGATGGCCACTCTTGGAGGTTGATCGTGTTCGAGATTTCGTACGTCTGCTGCTTCTGTGGCGGCGTCCTTGGTCCGTGTTCGATTTTGATTGATAATCGATGTTGTCAGTGCCTGTAGTATAGAGCGCTAAGTCATCTGGAGACATCGGGATGGGCGACGATGGCGACCTCTTCGCTGGCTGTATGTACCGCTGATTGCTTCGTCCGCGGGATTCTTTCGAGTGATTTCGTGATTTCTGCTTGCTACGAAGCTTGATATTCGAGTCGGTATCTGTGTTTCGCCGTTCGCGTCCGATTCTATGGTGGCCTGAACGGTAGCTAGCTTCGTCTAAGCTACTGATATATTGATCAATACTTCTGACACTGGCGTTCGCACTCCTTGTTGACCTTGCACTGCTAGTAGACATAGCTGAGGTATAAAAATTATCCGGTGTCGCTCCTCGATGCTGGTTTTGCGATATTGATCGACGTATAACGTCGTAGGACATTGAAGGCTCGGGTCCACTGGGTGGGAAATCATCCAACGGTGGCCATTGAATATGGAGACCCTCGGCCTTGCGATCGCCCTTCCGTTCACGCGACTTCGTTCTATTGTTGTGCTGTGCTTTCAGTGTTTCAAATATATCGTTCGGAGGCGAAAATGGACGACCTCCGTCAGATGCATCGTCACCGTGCAAAACTGCCGTTGTTGGAGTCTTCCTTGGGATTTCGGATACAGGCGTATACCTAGCAGATGATAATAGAATCGGTTCCGAGGTGTCCACAGATGGTCGCTGTGCGTTGGCCATCTCCGCATTACGAGCATCCCTCTCTTTATCCGATCCTGAGTCAACGGGTGTTGGCAAGCCCTTTGGAATATTAAAAGCCGGAGGATTTACATCAATTGGAGTTTCACCGATGGATGGGAGGCGATGTTTACCATAGCTGTTCGGTGTTCCCACGCGGCCCATTCGGCCTGTAGGTAATTTGTGTGAACCAAATCCTCCCGGTGAGCTAGGGTCTACCAGTGCGGAATCCGCAATTGGAGTTACCCCGGGGGCATTTGTTGGGGTCCGATCCGCAGAAGTAAGACCAGGGAATCTGAATTGGCCGCTAGGCTGCGGACTGAAAGAGGTGATGAGCTTCAGGGCAGGGCTTTTAAGAGTGCCGCGAGAAGGTGGACGGGGAGCATTGGCAGTAACGGAAGGCTCAGCATTTGTTGGTGTCGGGCCTCGAGATCTGGACAACTGATCTGATAAAATGGTGGTCATCTGGGCAGTCGGAGAAGCCCAGGCTTCGGATGTCTCCGCATCGGTACAAGCGAAGCACCGTATAGCTAGATGTTGTTGGGAGTTTTGAACGACGTGCTCACCCCATTTTCTGACTAGATACGATTGCCGCTGCCACTCAGAAGGCATTAACAAGCACGTCAAAAGAATAGCCTCCATATACATATTTCTGGATACGTAAACTTCGATGGCATCGTTGCAATCACCCATCCCGAGAAGAACTGCTGCCGATGCATGAATATCGCCTTTTGCCAGAAGTTTCTGGACCAGTGCTTGACCAAGATGTTTGCTATGGCCCTGATTTCCAAGCTGAGTTAATGCAAGCAACATCCAGTCGCTGTATTGGCTAGAGCCTGGTCCCATCATTGATAGTATAAGATTCGTGTCGATTTCTCCCAGCCAGCGGGCGAGGAGAATGGCATGTTGGCTTCCCGGGTTGTGACGGCGCACTACAAGAATAGGATAATTAGTAGGATAATGAATGACTATGTAACAGCCAAAATAGAATGGAACTCACACTCATCTCGAATCAACTCATCAATATCTCCGTCCCATCCGAAAACGACATGGAGCATCTGTTTCCTTAACTCATCCGGAGATAGGTTGCCATCGTTCTGAGGGCGAGGAGGTTGGAAGGGAACATTGTTCACACGGCTCCGGATATAAGGGAATAGTTCCGTGATTGGCTTGTCGAGGGAACTGGTATTACTGCTATTGCTACCATTCGGAACATACTCGTGGCGCAACCGTGAGGTACCGCGACCGTATGATCTTCTAGAGGACGTAGAAAGTGAAGATGCATAATTCAATGAGGTTACCGATCGCGATTCCGGTATTGAATGGGCTGGTGAACCCATTGAAAAGGTAGTTCCGCTATTGTAAGATCTAGAACGGATCGACGTCGCGCCTCGGATACCGCGATTGTACGAGTTTGCGGAGCTGGTCGAGGTGGTCTGGCTTCCGGTGGACAGTGGACTCTTTAGCCCAGCCCGTTGCCGGGCGAGTTCTAGGGCATTCGGCTCAATGGGTCGGCCTGACGAAGCTGGGGATGGACTTCTCATTCTCTCAACAATGCTAGTCTGATATTGGGCAAGATTTCGTGTCGTAAGACCCGATTCAACCTTCTCGGGTTGCGTTTCAGCGGGTTGGCTGGTCAAAGCAGTAAGAGGGATGTGCTGAACATTGGCGACCATGGTAGGGTTCTCAAGGTCATATTGTTGAACAGTATGGTTCGGCCCCAATGTGAACAGAGTAGCTGTTGATCCATAGTTGGCCAAACCTCTCACACCTCGTACGGTTGGCACTTGTTCATAAGTAACGTGTTTTGTTCTCACATCCCACGCCCAGGTTTCCCTAAAACATAAGTGAGCCAATGAAAATGGCGAGGCAACGGTAGGGGAATACACAAACATACCCTTCAGCATATTGAACAATTCGCCCATTCTTAGACCAAGCCAGCCATTTAGGTCCAGGTGAGCCGTATTCAGACCTCTTCAAAGACCTAATGACGCGAGGCGTTTCGTTCGCCGGATGTTTCGATACACTCCACACAAGTAAATCTCCTTCAACCGTCTGGCTGGCAAGCATGTCCGACTTCTGTTTCGTTGATGAGGCATGCCATGCCAGTGAAACAATGGAGGAAGGGCCCCGGGAGGTAGTAAGTGTGTGCAATATCGTAAAAGGTTGAATGGTAGCGATTAAAATTGAGCCATTGTTATATCTGTAAAGATGATTGTCAGCGGCGCGTCTCAACGATTTCTCCCTGGAGGGCATACCCGATCGCATAAATCCGACAATCGTTTCCCGGTGCCAAAGCAGTGATGGGATCGAAAATCGTGCGGGCCGACACATGTTCAGAAGTTGCAGGCTCAAATAAGATTACTTCCCCTTTTACATTTCCTGAATGCCGGTCAGCCAAAAGAGTTTTTATGTCTAATCTTTTTGGAGAGGTTTCCTACCAAACGACACATTTCCGTTCCGCAACCAGGTTGCAACTCGGATGTGTTCGAAGGAAGCAAATCGCGATATCTCTTGACCAGTGAATATATCCCAAACAATCGCTGTCTGACTAACATCATAGCTAACTACCAGCCTACCTGCACCCCTTTCGCTAACGTTATCAACCGAAATAAATTGGATTTTCTCCTGGTGGCGGTCAAACCGTCGCTCGATTGCCAGAGTATCATGGTGTAGACAGAGGATAGAAGAGCCTTGAGCGTAGAGAAACAATGACGCAGTGGAGGCACATGGGTCGAAATCGTCGTGGGTGTTTATCTGGCTCACTGCCAGAGCACCCGAGGTGGATTTCGAACCTGTAGACATTGCCTTGCGACTGACGATCTGATCAAAGGATGTTCAAACCAACATGAGGACGCCAGCGTAGGTGTGTCTATACATGTGTCAGCGTCCTCGTCGCACAGGATCGGAATTTATTTCAGCTGGAGAAGAAAGAACAGGGAAGGGTTGAAACAGAAATGTAAAACGGTGAAGGCAGGGATTTGTATTTGTTACAGAATCAGGGGCCAAACGGCCAAATGCAGGTAGATTACAGGAGAGAACGGCCACGAAACCCTTTTGATAGGATTGTAGCCCTATTGCTGGTCGAATTCGGGGGTTGGGAAAAAGGATTCCACAGGTGGCCAGAGAAATAACCGCCGTGTGAGATGGTTGTGTGTAGGCTAATCTCAGAAGAGCGACCACCGGCGGGCGGCTGGGTGAGATAGTTAATTTGTCAAAGGTAGTAAAAAGAAAAGTGAAAACCGAGCTTAGGAGGCCGGTGGAATTCAACCAGGAGATATTGTATGAGGTCTGAAGGCAGGTGAGCAGCTGCAGACGGAAGAGGAGCAGTCCGAGATGTCTACAAAATACATACGAACGGATGAGGGATCAGTGACAGCCAGCAAAATTGTGGGAGAAAAACAAAAGGACCCATTCTCTACTGCAAGAGAAAAGTGCAAGAAAGAAAAGCCACTAATAACATGTGGTCAGTCCAAGTATCAATAATTGACACGATGTCTCCAGAAACTGCTATTCGCCCTCCTAGTCGTCAGTTGGTGGAAATATGGAGGAAAGGCTGGCAGCGAATGAAGGCTGATGAGGAATGGCGGGGGGAGACAGGGAGTTAGTGGCTCGTGTAGCTCTAGTACAGTACATCCATACACGGACTCCAGGATGAGCACTGGGGGGGCCGGGCGGCATCACATTTTTGGCTCTTTTGTCAGTTGAACTTAGCATAGCATCTCGACGCAGAAAAAGCAACCAAGGCGCAAACGACAGGGATAGGCTGGCTGGCGCTGACGGGCACTTCGAATTGCCGGCGCTCAATATGTTTGCTTTTTCCGGCCCATCGTTTCAATTTTATTTTTGGCTACAAATGATTCAGCTTTTAAGAGCTTATAAAGTCGGCCGATCCAACTCTCTCTTGAGCACTGACATGATGAGATCAAGATCCGAATCTGATCATATTTTCTGGCTCCCCGAAAAGACGGTATAAACGAGAGCATGTCTATCCTGAAATAGCAGGATTGGATTCACAAATCCTGCGTTCTATCTTAACAAGGTAGCCCTCCGTCTGCTGGGGCGTTGCGCACTGGGTGGCACAACTGGTGGAGACAGTACGGATCAGAGAAATAGAGGACACTCGAGTAAGACAGACGAACCATTGGAGATGCGAAGGCTAGATGGACTTGAGGCAGCGACCGTACGGAGTACAGATTACAGAGTACTCTGTCAGGTACACTCCTTGATTGCACAGAAGAAGCTGCAGCCAACCGATTGGCAGGCAATGGTTTCAGGCTTGATCGATCGTAATCTTGCTCAGGAATCAAAACCTTTTAGTCCATTCTTCTTGGCCTCATAGATTAGGATAACGGCGTTTTGATTGCTGGGGCGGAAAATTAAACATCATCGCCACGGCCATTGAGCTCCTTAAACCTGCAGGCTAGGCTATTTTTGCAGCGACGCAGCATGGTAATAATCCGCACGGATGGCTGGCAGCAACAAGCATGGCAAATCCCCCCCGCCCGCCTAGCCACTAGCGAAGAGGAAATGCCGCTCCACGCTGGGGGGTTGTCATGGTCGCTGTTGTTGTTGGAGTTGGAGTTGGAGTTGGTGGAATAATAAGGATGTCGATGGTGAAGAGTGTGGTCCAGGCAAATCAGCTTGGCCAGGAACGATGTTAGGGCTGGGGGCTAGGGCTAGGGTCCAGCCGCTAGGGCTTCCTCGTCACGCGATTGGACGCTGCCTCGCTCTCGTTCTGCCCCTTCTGCACGCTTCATCACCACCCCCGTTCGCCCTTCCACCTTCGCCCAATCGCGGTCTGCCTACACTACCCGTGACAAGAGTCAAGCCGTCGTGCTGTGTGTGAGCCTGTGATTGTTTGGCGGGACTCGAATGCCTGTGTTTTTCGCGGGTGGGGACCCCGTCACCCCCCCCCCAGACATGACTATCATACTGGGCGCGTAGAGGTTGCAAGACGCATTCTCCCACGTTACTACTTCCTTTGCTGGCCGATTTGAACCCGACGAAACAGTTTTTGTCGCCGCCCCTGAAGTTTACTTTGCTCTCTGAATTCTGCTTCTGACTGAATAACTACATCTCTGCTTTGCTGGCAGAGACAGGTGGCTTGGAGTGTGACGGTGGCCCCAACAATCGTTCCTGAGCGTCATATTGAGTCGCCAGTGCTTATGGTGCTAATGGGCAGAGAGACCGGTTGGTCGCAGCCTGCGAGGAGAAATGGCGCTCCTCCAAGAGGGGCCAAGCAAGGTTTATTTGCCAAGTTCATGCGGCCTTCCGGTCGCCATATTCTCAAAACGAAAGCGTACGCGCACGCATGGATCTGCTCCGTAGTACGGGCACCGATCTATGATCCATTTCGCCATACTATACTCCGTAGTCTGTACGTATGTATGTACGGAGTATCTTGCTCTTCACAGTGCTAGGTGGTGGCCCATGAGGACCCGGTGTACGGAGTACTGCGGATACCATCTGATAGGCATCCAGGATCAATCTTGCCCAATAAAATCAGTCACCCCCAAAGACAGAAGAACATACTAAAGATCGCCCCGTCCCGCCTGGTTGACAGGAGTTGGTTGACCGAAAAACTCCTTTTACTTAGTTTATTTTGATTATTCTTATTTTCTCTTTTTTTATGGAAAAAATAAAAAAAGATAAAATAAAAAAATAAGCACGCCTAAAAATAGGGATTGTGCAGAATAACCACGATCTCCTCGCTCATTTCTATGATACAAATGTGTCAACACTTTTGCACTCATTCCTTTGCTACTAGGAAGAGTTGTTTTTAACCCCGCCTCGATCGACCCGTCTATTTTGGTGATCACGCTTCAACAAGGCCAGGCTAGCCGCAAGCTAAGCGGCATCCTAACCAAAATTAAGTTATCACGACGCACAAAAGCACGGAGCTGGAAACCTCACAAGCATCATACATTCTGTTCCCATTTCAATCTACTCAGTGTATGAAAGATGAAGCTGCTTCCTCAACACAACACATTGTGGTTCACTGCCGCAGCTTTCTTTTGGGTCGAGATGATGAGAGTGATTACGAACGGCACTGAATAACGAAATGCCTTCACATGTAAACTCGACATCAACGGTTGGGGCCTGTTCACAAAATCCATAATCTGCGAATTTTTCTTGAAGCTCTCATTTCCATGATCGTCAGTTGCGAGATGGTCACCAGAGGGTTCCGCTTCAAGCGTGTTCCTTCAACGAGCTACACTCACAAGACGTCAGAATGCATATAGCTCAACACCTGGAAACCAATCGCGGGCTTGTTTTTTACTCGAACTTCAGCATATTTGCGCCACCAGGTTGTTCCAGGCGTCAGTCTTCTGCTCGCCTGGGAGGTTTACATACCCCTCCTCTCTTTGACGCGATTCTCAATGGGAACGCTGGTTACTACGGCTGTGTAATTTGAAACAAAGTGTCTTGTTGAGCTCTCTTCTCCCTCAACGGCTCAAATTCCCCTAAAATAATCCACGCTGGGGAGGAAAATCGTATCGCCCCCTATGTAACATGTTTTACTGCAACTGACAAAGGATACTGCTATATGGCTTTTGAGGTCTAGGGGAACCCACATACTTCTGAGGTTAAGAGCTGCCATTGCGGAGAAATTGTAGGTTCTCCGGTGTCCGGACTCAATTAGGAAAACTGCATGCTTGGAAAGGTTGCACCATTTTCGGCTTACCGTTGTTTCCATCGCCCAAATCTGCACCGCGCGCCGGAATTGACGATGTTATCTGCAGCAAGGAAATAAATTACCTGTTCATGCAAACATGTTTTTTACTCTTAACGGTGAATTATTGGCTTGCTTTTCGTGGGGTTCGGCCATTTCCCAATGGGTGATATAATTACCCTTTCTGACCGCTAACAAACCCCATTTTATCCAAAGTTGGAAATTCCGCACTTGGGTGAAAATAAAATAAACATCAAGATACATCGTAAAGCTCCATTGCTCGTTCTTTTTTCATCCGAAGGCGAATCGCTACTGGCTGGCCTGGCGAAGCAAACGAGAGCGCTCTGAACCCCTTTCGCGTCGCTGCGTTGAACATCGCTGATCTCCATAGAAAAAATATATGAAAATGCCCATCCCCCTACACACACGGTTCGGCTTTATTTTGCATCCCGCGCTTCCTTCTTAAGCAATTGCTCGCAGCGATCTTCGTCCACTGAAATCCAGCGTCTTATTCCACCACTTTGGTAAGAAAGGTAGGAAATGCCAGCCGCACGGTTGTCCAAAACCAAGCAGTTTGGACGCTCCATCCACAGCACGTCGAATTAGCTGAAGGGGCTGTTGGAAGATCCCGTGGCAGAAAATGGAATTGCTCCTCCGTTGTGCCATTACACAACTGCGACGAAGGGTTTGATGTCCCTGCACAACACGAGGGAAAGCTACTCTATCATCTATGTATACAGGACTTTTAAAGAATTTGCTCCTCCTATCCTCGACGCTTCTGGTGGCTGTAACTAATTCAAAAAAGCCCAAAAAAATCCGTACCTGATTATGGTACTTTTCTCCTAGAAGCTTTCTAAATCAGGGGAAGTATTTTTTTTTCTTTTGTCTTATGGTTTTCAAAGTCGATGGTTTGGCGCGGAGAGTACTCTACGGTATTGACTACTGTGATAAAGCACTATGGGAGCTCAGCTTGTAGTGATCATTACACTAACGTTCAGCTTCACTACGCCAGGAGATGGTTAACTATGTGCGTCAGATCATCTAGAACGGAAGAAACGGGGGTTATGAACGCTAACTATCTGCATGCATGTTTATTCGAATGCCACGGAGTTACACCCCCAACATGAGGGCCTACAGATATGAACAGCCAGCTGCCCATACCGAAGCCCTTCCAGGCGCAATATGATATTCTCCCTCGCACACCCACTTCCACCTAGTCGTTCCAGAAACGCTGTGCTGCGCTGGCGGTGTCTATGACTCCGGCCCTTTGTACATGCCCAGCGTCATGCAAGCGCGTCCACATGCCCAGGAGAGAGGGAAAATAGGAAAAAGGAACAGGCAAACAACATCTCCCCAGTTTACATTGCGCTTGGGGCGTGCGACGAGTGCAATCTATAATATTTGTTCACTCGTAAGAAGAGCTCTTCTTGAGATCTTTGGTTACTAAACGTCGCAGCATCGTTACGCATTGACCCATTGATTCGGCTTCACGTTTCTTGCTTGTAGCCCCATAGATGTTAACGAAACGTACCGTTATCTGGATGCCACAACAGCGTACTGGCCTATACTGCCATGCGCTGATACGTATGTGGTATGCCTTTGTTCTTGGGAGTTTATAATTCAATGGTGATGAGCAATTCCAGCTGGGCATTGCGCGGCACATCTTTCCTGGCTGAGCGATCTAGGCCGCCACGTTGGGTTGATTGAGAACTGGGGATGGGATTCGAACTTGAGTACTGTCTTTCTTGTCGCCGTATTCCCGTCTCTCTTCGTTTGCAAGGAAGATTCCTAAAACAGCGCCTCGGCTGGTTCGGCCCGCAATCCTTAAATCCCCTTACCCCTGACCCTGACCTATCCGAGTGAAACGGCATTCCCGCCCAGTTCCTGCAACGATACACCGCAGGAGTATAACATCAGCGGATTGGTAGCATTGTCGACCAAGCAGGCAATGGCCATTATCTGAACAACCAATCTCTTACAAAAATTTCTTTTGTCAATCATTTCAGTGCAACATTAGAATGATAGAAAGAAACGGACATAGGCCAGATTCTGTTTCTGCTGGGTGCACGATCGTTATTAAAGGGGGAGAAAATGCAACCACATGAAGCTGGAAAAGAAAACAAGAAGATTGCTTCTTCCTCGTTTCATCCTGTTCTTCACTCCATTTCAAGAACCTCATCAGCATACCATACAATGGCAACCAAGTTCGGCACCGCCTTGCTTGCACGGCACCTGTATCCCCCCAACCCCTCTCCCCCAATTCTCTCGAGGGACTATATCCACAATGGATAAAGGTATCCGTCGGTGCAACTCGAGACGCATACATGGAAACAGGGTGTCACAACTCGAGTACCCAATGCGGGTAAATCCCCTTTTGAATAGTCGATTGAGAATGTCTAACCCAGCTTAAATGTACTTGATAGATAGAATTATTACAGTTTGCCGTTCGTCCCCTCAAGACGAGAGACTGTGCTGTATAGATTGATTCAAGTTAACTGCCTGTCCGTATTGGAAAAGTTTTAAACAAAGGCAATCATGTCTCATTAGAGCTTTTTCCCTGATTGGTGACATGTCTTCGGGCCACGATGGATTGACTGACTTCAACAAGTCAGAGAAGAGTTAAGGGATCTGGAGATCTGTGGAGTGTCATTTTCATTTGATATAGCATCGCACTCTAAAATCATAATTTAGTCCCTCTCTTTCTCCTTAGAAACTCTCCCATCATCCTCCCTGGCTCCGTCTCTGACCCTTCCTCTCCGCCAACACCCTTCCCATCTGCTTCGAAGGCACGCCCAAAATGATCAATGCCAGCCTCGATAGCCTCATTCACTCCCATCCGCTCCCACTTCCCAATTAACTCCTTCTGATTCCTCACCGCTGCAATCCCACTCTTCTCCAGGCTGTCAACCCATACCGCCACTGCCTCATCCAACTCCTCCGGCTCCACCACCTTCTCCACCAACCCCCATTCCAGCGCCTCCCGTGCACCTATCGTCTCCCCAAGCAATAACATCCTCCTCGTCCGCCCCCATCCAATCAATCCGGGCAGCAACGCAGCTTCCACAACACTCGGCACGCCCATACGAGTTTCGGGCATGCCCAACAGCGCATTGCTACTCGCCACGCGAATGTCACAGGACGCAGCAATCTCCAAGCCGGCGCCCAGCGCAAGCCCATTAATGCGCCCGATGACGGGCACAGGGCAGTCGCGGATGCTCTTGCATGCCGCGTGGACTTTCTGAATAAATACCCTAGCAGCGGCCGGGCTTGGGGAGATGGCGGCCATCTCGGCGATATCGGCACCGCCTATGAAGGATTTAGGGCCTGCGCCGGTGAGGACTATGGCGAGCAGATTGGGGTGGGTGGAGGTGAGTGTTTGGATCATAGACGGGAGTGATGTCAGGAGGTGGCTGTTCAGGGCGTTGAGTTTGGCCGGCCGTGATATTGTGATAGTTGCAACGGGGTTTTTGGATGGGAGTATGGTTATAGATGTTGTGATAGTTCCTTCGGGATTTCCAGCACTCCTGTCGCTCTTACTGTTGCGGTTCGGCATAGTTGCAAAAGCCCGTGCCAGGCGATGCGATGTGTATCTGTGGGGTAGGTATGTTATTTTAATTTACTCTCGAAAATTTTCGTTTAAACGAGCAAATCAAAGATATCAAGAAATATAAATCAGGAGTTGACATTAAAATACCTTGAGTTCCCCAAAGTTGTGCTGTTCAATGATGCTGGGCTCTGCCGGCTGTAGGAGAAAATTTCAAGGTGTTTTGCCGACGAATAGCCGCGCTGTTGGGCTGCCACTCGGCTTCCCTGATATGGGCTCCGTGAAAGAGAAAACCTAGGTTGAAAATGAACACTAGCATTGGAAGCCCGAAGCAGAGAGGAGGACTTACGATGAAAAGTTTTTAACAAATTTCATAGCTTGGGTAGATGTTGGGTTAAACCACTTGGCTGCAACAACAGCTCTGAAGAAATGGGAGCGACTGATGATGCTTTATGATTAGGATAATAGCCGGAACTGACTCCACTGCGGAGAGAGAGGCCGAGTTAGAATAATGTAGCCATTCTCAGGCCCCAGAAAAAAGGCCATTCAAAAGTAGGACTCCTCTATCCGCTAAAAACTAGAATCACTTCGCCCTAGGAATCGAGATGGGCACTTGGTCTGCAAAAAAAAAAAAAAAAAAAAAAAAAAAAAAAAAAAAAAAAAAAAAAAAAAAATTTATAACATCAGAGGGTCTCTTCTAGCAAAACCGAATCAACCAAACAAAATGCATTCTACGGTGGCGAGTCATCTCATTTCCTAGGCAGCGTTGATGAAGTTTTATTGTCTGATGATATAAAAGTGCGGTTCCCTGCTGTCGCCTTGCAGATTTGTAAGGCAAGATTCGAAAATATAGAAAAATAAATAGGGCCTCACAGGGGGAACCCCACGCTGAAAACTGGGGATATTATATTCTAGAAACGAACCGTAGCAAACTCACAATCTTCAGTGAGGCAGCCAATCCAGACGTGTATAGATAACAAGCATGACAATTCTGTCGGGAGTGATAAATTGGGGGGATTCTCAATTTATGTTCCGTTCTGGCACAGCTAGCCTCAGCACAATCTGGCAAAATCGACCTCTGTCGTGGATGTTTAACTTTATTCCTTTTCAATCCACATGGAGATTTTCCAGTCATTAGGACGAAGGCCCTTGCAAACCGGTGAGCATCCGACATGAGAGAAAGAAAAATACGCGCAAGAACTGGGGGACTAGTCTTACTTACCTTGGGAGCGAGATGATTCCCTGGGAAGCGCATTTAAGGCTCAAGCGTGAAAAAGGCTGTGTATAAGAGAGGGCATGTAGAGATGCTCTCACCAGGGATCTGTGATGTAAACCGCAATGGCTACCTGGGAACCATGCTGCCAGAGGGTTTGTCTGCAATTCGCCCGTACCTAGATGCTAGAGTAGATATGTCGCAGTTGCGTGCAGAGTCACCCAGAATGCGTGTTCATTCATATATTGTTAAAGTATATCGCCGACAGTAAATCGTCATGTGCTTTATCCCTCGACTTTGTATAGATATACTGTTCAAACCTGGAACAAATCCAAAAGGATTCCAACAAGATAGAGACTGAAAAGTGGTGTTCACGATGGCCCAGTCCGGCTCCTGTCAATTCCCAGAGTCATCCGAGACTTCGAATTTCAGGCACCGATAAGCCATGCAAGCAGCTCTTCCAGACCGACACGGATGATATGTTAACTGCGAGGGAGGGAATAATCGATGCTGACAGAGTCATTTCTAGCACTTCGCTGCTGTTGAGGGCTTACTTTCACGCCATCATGTAAGGACCGTATAAAGTATCGGTATATATAAAATCAGCATTCTTTCCTACGGCCACGGCCAAAGCACCCGAATCAGGCATTCGGATCGCAGCCGGTGGTAACATTTCACGGCCGGTACGGAAATCATATTGATTATAGGGCATCTCAACATTCAACGCCGTACTACTAGCCTTGAGCTTAGGAAGCTTTATGAGGATCCATCCCGGGATGTGGTGTCTCGATTTTGAATCATCATCCATCAAGTACCCTGGTAATGATGGGGGGACCAAAGAAGTAACTTAGAGGTCAGCAGCAGGCGGTTCAACCTTCACGAAATAGCCCTTTCGCAACCGGCGACTAAGACACCGATATCTATACAACATGCTAACCTCGCTACCTCCTCTTATAATGGACATGTAGCTGAGGATAGCTTGAAGAAGCTAGATGTGTCAATAATCGTGAGAAATCAAAAACACAAATTTTTGGATTGATGAAAAGGAGAGAGACCGAAAAGCTCTCGACAGCTTCAGAAATATGATTTCATAAAAGCCTCCAGCAGTTCAAACAAAAGCAGCCGCCAAAGTTGACAGAAGAGCGACGATCCTCCTATGTTGAACCAGGTCAATAATTAGGAGAAGCCCGCAACGGCGGGCAATAATTCGTCGCAAAAATCAACTCAATATTCGCAATGAATGAATCGACTTTTTATTTAAAAAGAGTCTAGATCTTAGACAGATAAACTTTCACGCCAACTAACCGTCAAAGAAAACCCGCTTCATCCCCCATATTTTGCCCTACGCCTCTTGGGCACTTCGCATTCAATGAAAGCCAAATATCTACCTGATCAAAGAAAACGGCCTGTCGGTGTCCTTTGTCACTTTTCACCCGCCGCAGCCATCCGCCTCTCCCCGCCCACTTAGACTTTACCGCGCATCCACGGCCCATGGGTCGACGGGCGCCAACGACAAAGCAAACTCTAGGGGACTGATGATCTCTGGCTCAGGTACCCGACAGAGTGGAACGGGTTGTGTGATCCGGCGATTTAAGAGGCTCGTGCTTTGGCTGGCTATAGTACTCTTTACTACGGAGTACTCCGCAAGGCAAAACCCCAACCACCCCCCCCGGACCATGCAATGATGCGGGGGGGGGGGGACCCTGCTCTGGTCTCTCTTTCCAGGATAGGGGGGAGTCACCGTTCTGCTTGGTAGCCGCTTCCCTGCGCCGTGCCCACATACCTGTACATATATATATCTGACAGCACAATGTATGCAGAAGCTCAGATCAGACGTATTAATATTGACGTACGTACGTACGTACGTACGTATATATGGATCGCCGCAGTTAAAGGGGGGAAGGGGTGCCATTAGTAGGATAGATAGGATGGGATGGGCACCGCCATATCGCATTCATATCACAGAACGCCAGGGTTTTTGCAGGAGGGATGTGGCAGGGCTCTCTCGGATTTACAAGATGTGCCCCTTCCCCCTGTTTTCTCTCTGTGTTGCCCTGCGTTCGTCGATGCGGTTTCGGCGACCGGGCTTTTTATATGTGGCTGCATAGGGATCTAGGGCAGCGGAAGTTTGACGCCGTCCGCCTTTATTTTTGACTTTCGGGGACCAGCCGCCCGCATATGACGCGGCAAGGAAACAGAGTTATTGCACATAACACTATCAATGGGCAGTGGTTTATCTATCCAGGACAAAGACGAACGGGAAGGAGAAAATGAAAGGAAAGATGTTATTTCACTGTGAAATAACTTATGAAATTATATAAAAGCGATAAAAGAGAGAGAGGTATTTTGCAAAATATCTTCTTTGTTGCAGGCAAGCAAGCAGTCGCGCGAATTGTTTCCATACATGTATGTTACCCCAGGTTTCAATTACTGGACCCTGTGTTATGTTTCAACTCAAGGGAGCAACAGATAGCTAGCTTCATGGTAAAATTAATCGAATGGACAAGTCAGCTGTCTGGGGATAATAATGCTGTATTGTTTCATGGTAGGGAGGAGTTGGCGTTGGAAGAAACTTCTTTCTCTCGGCGACTGAAGACTGAAGCGTCGCATCTTTGAATTTGATTATCCAGCCACGATTCCAACAGTGTGTGCGTGTGTGTCAGTGTGTGTGTGTGTGTGTATGTAACTCCAATAATAATAAAGAAACGGAATTGGCAAACGCTGCTTGGAAACATCAATGTTACCTTCTAGCACGTTGGCATTCTGAAACGCTCTCACGTCCATTCCTTGACATCTACAACCCCAACCCCACGCCCAGCACTGTATGTCATCCATCCTCACGCATGAGCTGAAAAAATGATTTACATCTAAATTTTCAAAGGCTACTTTTCCTCTCGCGTTCAATTGTATCTGGCCTGTGACAAGCTCCACACGACTTGAAATCATTCAGGGGAAGTCAAAAATACATATTCTTTTCATATTGCCAGTGGAAAACATTCCCGAGTCCTCCACTCTACTCTGTAAGAGAAAAGCAGTTCAAAGAAGAGCGGCATAACTACAGAGTATGTGGAATCGATTATCCCAGTTCCGGAGTTACGAGATCTCGCACAACCGCTTCAAACCCACCGATACAACCCCATCCATATCGCACTGTCTTGTCTTGCGGTCAGGAAATAGAAAAGATCCATCCCTGTTGGAAAGTATACTCTCGAAAAATTTTCATAAATTTTTAGAAGTCAGCATCTGATCCTTTATATTCTTCATGCTTTCACAAAAAAAAAAAAAAAAAAAAAAAAAAAAAAGGTACTGTACAAACCTTTGTGAGCAGCATGTTGCAGATAGAATTTTGATCCTTTCAGGAAGAAGATTTCCATCAGAATGAAACCACCCCACGGAAGGAAAGGCGGTGACCTCACCGACTATGTTTTGTATTAAAAAAAATTAAAAAATTAAAAAAAATAAAAAATAAACACTGGCAGGGTTTATGCAGGCTAGATATGCACGTTCGCGGGAGGGCGAGAGCGGGGACGGCGGGGGGAAGAGCGGGACAGCATCGATCTCGATCTCTTTTTTTTTTTTCTCGCCTTGATCTTGCTTGAGTTTTCCTTGGTAGGATGGACCGTCAGATATCGCGACGTAAACACATATACATGTAAGTTACCTTACATGGACTGCACATTTTTGTTTGTTTAATAGCGGGGCGGTATGAGATAAGTGATGACAGATCTCGGGCGTCAAGCGAGGAAGAGAGAAACGACAAATATGACTATCACGCCGTAGCTAAAAGAAAAAAAAAAAAAAAAAAAAAAAATCACGGAGGCGGTCGGCGGCATATGATTTTCGAATTCTGTTTTGACTCTGTGGTTCAGTCAGCTGCGAGGGTTGTTTGTCGGCATGTGTGCGGCCGTCGCGTCGTTTGATCTAAGTTATACGGAGTACTGTGATTGATGTTTGTGCGTTGTGCCCATCCATCACACCCCTTCCACACCCAGGCTTCCTTAGGGGCTTCGGGGCCAAACAGACATGTTTCCTAGTGATGAAATACCGTGATAGTCACAGGCGCAGTTGAGACCGGAACCTGTGATTGAAAAATAAATAATAGAAAATAACCTGTCCTCGGAAAGGGAAAAAGGGGTGAATGAGGAGGCAGTTGAATGGAGTGTTGAGATTCCAACCATTGATAGACAATATCGGGCAAATCTAACAGCAATTGGACCGGACCAAGAGGCACAAATAGAATGACCAAGTCCCCCAGCCTTACTCCGTACTTTCGCGATATATCCATCGGCAACTGCGGAGTAAATGTCTGTCTGCCTTGGAACAAGAATGCCTGGCGACGTGAACTTGAAATGCCGTTTCTAGTTGAATCTTTGAAGCTTATAGCGCAACGCTATCTCGGAAATAACGTGTGATTATTGGCACGGTTCAGACGGAGACCGCCCCGGATACACTATAGTATTTTACTTAGTGGTTTGGGCAAGGGTAACTAATGGATAACTAAACTATCCAATTAAAAAATGAGTATTCCTCTTTGTTCTCGCTCGCGTCGAATCACATACGTTGTAACTATCCTAGGGGGGGGAGAGGGGGGAGTTGGATGGAACAAGCAATGCTGGAATGGAATAATAAAGGGACAGTTGATATCAAAACAAAAAACACAAACTGAGAGAACAACTCCTCATCCCGAAGCTGGTGATCAGTCGTTTCTTCCAAGTCACAAAAAAAAAAAGAGCACGAGAAGACCTCTCATTTTCCCTGTTTTTATCACAGGCTTCGCGTGCCCATTCCACTCATTCCACTCCCATCCCAGCCAGCCTTTCACGCGCTGATATGATAGATGATAGGGCATGGGCGCGATCACCAACTCCTCAGTGTAGTGTAGTGTGATGAGTTAGTGGTGGTGAGTGTGTGCCTTGGCTGGCAACTCCGGAGTTGTCGATTGGCCAAGTCAACCCCGGAGTTGATAACTAGTTACCAGCCTAAAACGCCGCCCGACTGCCGCGGTGCGTTTCCTTGACACACAAAAGTCCAGACCTGTGAACGGATTCTGGAGTCTGGATTCCGAGTGGTTTTGTCGCTGGCTGTCGTCAGCTGGCGTGGCGATCATTCTGTTTGGACCTTGAAACGTGGAGGTTTTGCTGGAGCCCACGACCGAAACCACCCGCTGAAACCTCCCTTCTCTCTGGTGGAGTCATCGGACTGTTTTTCGCCTGCCGTTGAAGGAAGACAGATACTCTATTTCTATTTCTCAATGGTAGCCAAACTACTCCGTACTCAAGACTCACTAATAATCGTGCCAAGCCCCCCAAAAGCCGCATCCCACCCACCACCTCTGCTCATCCGTGATACCACTCCTCCTTACATTATTTATGAAAAGGGCGAGTTATGGACAACCACCCCCCTTCATCTTCGCCCCCCCCACAAGTCCAGTCCTCCTGTACTCGTGGCCTCGACAAATAACCCTAATAGTTAAACCGATACCCAACCCCCACGCACGCTACCAAACTAAACTGCGAACCACCTTCAAGGATCCCAGAACTCCCGACTCAACCCAAGAGCCGGACAAGGGGGGGGAAGGGGGCCACTTTTCCTAGCATGTTACGTTAACTCGCTCCCAGCAGCCAGGGACAAGTTACATCCCCGGCACAACGACGACCCCACCCACCCTAGTAGGAGGAGATGGGATTTCTCCACTCCCAACCTCCCACCACCACCACCACCACCACCACCCAGGCCACACCCTGCGTAGGCTGGCGAATAATGGCGAATGGCTTCGCACCACTGGCGTCGGCGGAAATGCAGCACCCTGGCTTCCGGCGGGACGGCGCGTTCCAGGCGGGTGGTTAGTGGGATTGGGGATCTCGGGCTAGTCTAGTGTGGCCGCCGGGCGCATTTGTAGTTAACTTACTATTCTTCTTCTTCTGATTAAGGATTGTATTCTTATCGCCGAGAAAGGGGAACGGGGAATCCGCGCAAGTGGGGAACTGTTGGAAGAAACGGGACGTTGGGGAAATGGGGAAAAGGGGAAACGGGGATGTTTGCTTTTTTTTTTTTTTTTTTTCTTGGGCTGAGGTCGGTCGGGGGAAGGTCATTCTTTTCTTGAAGACAATTTGCGATGGAGATCTAACTGGTTATTGGACAATAGGGTGGTTCGGGCCTGAAACCCAGCTTGAATTTTGGGTTTAAAATAATACAGATTGGACAGATAGTTTTTCAGAGGTGAGACCTCTCACATCTGATATCCGATATATAACTACTCCGTACTCCGTACATATCTGATAGATACAGAAAATAGACTTGACCTTGGACGGACGCTCAACCTCCAAGGTTCCCAAGGGCCCAGACCAGACCGCATTTGGTCTAATAAACCGGGTTTTACAGAGGGAAGGCATGCCTGCCTCGCCGGTGCCAATCATTACCTAGGTATTATTCCGATTCCGATTCCTTACTGCTGACTGTTCCTGAAGTAATCTCTTATTTTAAGTACTAGTGGTAGTTAGTGCAAGCTGATCGATCTCTCTTTTTACTCTCTAGCTCTAGACTCTAGAGCCCGAGGGGTTTAGTTAGCTGAATCCCGAGCACGAGTCGTCCGCCTCCCAATAATAATAATAATAATAATAATAATAATAATAATAATAATAATGGCAATAACTCACTGCAGATCGGCGGCGTTTTGTCTGCGGATGTTACGCTGCGTAGGCTGCGTAGAGGTTCGAACTTCCCAACGCTTCCATAGTTATTTATATAAGTAAGAACCGATAGCTTGTGCAATGGTATATACAGTACATACGGCCACTCATCAGGTTTCCATTTAAGTTCTTCTATTTCTAACCTTCTGCGTAAGCTGTGTTAACTTCACGCCACCGCGCCATGAGGCTTGCCCTGGGGGGTTTCGACCTGTCGATACGGACGTAGGAAGACTTCTTGGCTGCGAGTATTTTGGCCAGAATAGTCCAGTGCATATGATCTCTATTTCTTTTCTTTTCTTTTCTTTCTTTCTTTCTTTTTCTTTTTTTTTTGTTTTCTTCTTCCCGCGCCGCTGGGATGGTTTGAAGCGGAGGAAAGGGATCCGGTTGGCTAGTCATGGTTGAAGCTTAGTCGCGACCATCACCAATTTGGTCAGTAGACAAAATGTTCTGTTTCTAGGGAGAAAAAAAGGTTTTATTTTTTAAGAAGACGATATGATATCAGAGGAGGAGCGAGGCTTCCTACTCTACTCCAAGCCCGGGAACCTGGATAGTAGCGGGTTTTAGGACGGGGGGATGTGCATGAAGGCTATTTATTATTAATTTGGTGTTGCTTGGATACGTTACCCATACGCAGCGTACATAGTTATCGATCTTTGGGTCCTATCTATCGATAAGACTAACTAACTATCGATATCTGTCCGGCCGCGATAGCATGCAGCAGCAGTCTGCGGAGATAGCATCGGGAGGGTAGTTATTAGTTATTATTTATTGTTTATTGTTTGACAACCCACGAGGAATACCATTCATTGCCCGGGCGAGGGATATACGCTGCGTATTATTTTTGTGTGCTGTGGTTGGGAAAGGGGAGGGGAGTTGCTTTATGTCTGTCTCCTTTCTCTTATTACTGTTCGGACTACGGAGTACAATAATAATAATAATAATAATCATCATCATGCTCACCCCCCGTAGCGTTAGTTAACAATCCCTGCTGGTTTGGTTGAACCCTCGTCCGCCAATTTCCTTCCAGAACTCGGCTAGAAAGAAACAATAATAAGCCCAGAATCCCCGCCGGCGAGATGTTGGCACTCAAGGACACAACGGTCCCATCCATCCCCCAGGATGACAGGGTTAACGTTACAGCTGCCAGGGGGGGACTAGAATTATCATCATAATACAATAATACTGTGTAATAATAATGTCAGACTGGGCTCCTGGGCTCCTGGGCAACGACGCGCGTGGAGCTATCCCGATTTCAACTCGTTCACCTCAACCTTCATACCTTCAGTATACGTAGTAACCGTGCCATGCTTACTCACTCTCTGTAGTGAGTGCGCCACAGCGTACGGAAAACCACACCATAAAGAAAATATTTTCAATATCTTCATTCTTCATCTTCAAATAATCATCATTAATTATAACCATGCCTAAATCTTCTAATTACACTGAGGAGCAGTTGCAAAGAGCTGTTGACGCGTACAAAAGCAATTCAAAATTAAAAATCACATCTCTGTCGCGAGAATTCAAAGTCCCATATGCCACCTTGTATGGGAGGATCAACGGGAAGAAATCAAGGACTATGAGGGTTCCACTGAATTGAGCATTGAATGACAGCCAGGAAGAGGCAATTAAGATATGAATTCATCAATTGAACATTAATTTTTGCCCACTCATCATCGAGCATATCGAAGCTGATTATAATGAAATCGAAGGTCCATCTAGAGGATTGGTATACACACTTCAACTTACCTGACAACTACACCATCACCGCATCTGAGTCTGGCTTTACAAATGATGAGATTGGATTTGAATGGATCAAGTGGTTCAATAAGATGACAAAAAAGTGTCAAATGAGCAGTCATCGACTGCTATTAATGAATAATCATGATTCTCATCTCACAGAAGAATTCATCCAATACTGCGACCTTCATAAGATTATTCTGTTCAGATTCCCATCTCATACAAGTCATATTCTACAACCTCTTGATAATGTACCTTTTCAGCAGTATAAGCATTATCATACAAAGGCAGTTAATGAGGCTGCCCACTACAGATATGAGCAGTATGAATTCCTTGCTAATCTGAAGAGCATCTGACTGCAAGCATTCAAACCTGGCACTGTGAGAGCTGGCTTTGCTGACTGTGAAATGTATCCAGTTAATCGCGATATAATTCTCAATTGATTGAGACCTCTTACCATTGATGATGCCCCGGATCTCAACATATACAATGGTGATGGTGATGTATGCGATCACTTTACCCTGCCACCTGCAGATCAACCGTCAACTGTCTTCTTGCAATTAATCTCCTCAGAGATGGTTGCAAAACTATGTCACCAAATCGATGCAGCAGTCAAGGCCTTAGAAGATGTGAAGAATACCCTTACACCTGGTTTGACAAGGCGGTTGAACAAGATCTTCAAGGGTAGCATGGTCCAGGTGGAATTGAATGTGCACTGTGAGGGTGAACTTGCAGGTCATTATCAAGCAAATAGATGTCAGGTCATCAAATCCTCCCGCAGGCAGGTGCAAGTAGGTGGAGTCCTCACTATTAAGAATGCCAATTGCAAGATCGCGACCTGTAGAGCAGATGAGATGAAAAAGACATTCAATAAGACTCTTTGATTGATTGGAATCAAACCTACAAAATCTACAGCCACTCAACCACAACAAGATAATTCTATAGAATCTCAACTTACAGTGGATTCTACACCTTCTAATGAGTATATAGATAATCTTTATGTTATAGATAGATATGGTGGTGGTTATTAATTAATTTTTGAAGATTACTATATTCAAAATATTTTCTTTACGGTGTGGTTTTCCGTACGCTGTGGCGCACTCACTACAGAGAGTGAGTAAGCATGGCACGGTTAGTACATTATTCCAATTGCTGACAGCACCCCCCCCTCCCGCCTCTCCCTAAAAACTCGCGTGGCGTTTTTTTCCCTCCACCCATCCATCCCGCGCTGTCGGGGAACTGGAATTACACGCTATAAGCTGCTGACCAGCCAGCCTATGCTATGGTAATAATAATAATAACAATGTACCTACCGGCTTACTGCGTATACGCGACGGCCCAGAAGGCTGGGTCAAATTTTTTTTTTTTTTTTTTTTTTTTTTTTTTTTCCATCTCCACCGCGGTGGTGGGCTTTCTTTTCTCTGCTTTGCTTTGCTTGCTCGCTCGGTTTGAAGTTTCTTGTCCCGTGGGGTTTGTTTGATCCAAGAACAGAACGCTTGATCGGCGAATAGAAACTACATAGCTATTTATTATTATTATTATTATTATTATTATTATTATTATTATTGTGGCCGCCTGTGGTAGGGTAGTTACCTTGAGGATATGGTCGTCTCGATCGCCGGTGGGGTGGGGGGGTTGGTAGTTACTACTTATTATTACTACTACTACTACTACAACAACTACTAACTACTACAACTGCTACTGAAGAGATGGATGGGGCCGGGTGGGGCCGAGTGGGGATTGTCAGCTCTGTCGGGTCCGTCCGGCCTCGACTAGGGAGGGTTAAGCATCCATGGAACCATGAGTTAGATGAGAGTGATAAGAGTGAGTGAGTGATTACCCGTCGTGTTGGTTGGTTTGAGGTGATGTTCTTGAGGTTAAGGGGCGTATCATTTTTTTGAGAATCTACTGCGTAGGGAGGGAGAGAAAGGAAAGGGAGAGAAATGGGGAGGGGGACTCGGTCAACACAGCAATTAATGAAACAGAAACCTCACACAGCAGGCCAAACAAACGTGCGCAAAAGACATCTCCATCTCCATCTCCATCTCCATCTCTCTCACCTGAAACCAGCTCCGGGTTGGTTGGTTGGGTTTGACGAGCAGCAGCGGCAAAACAGAAGCATCCCCCACGCCGTCTGAGGTTTAAGTTCCCCCCCACGGGGACATATAAAGTATAAGGAAGATCGGTTGCTTTTTCATCTGATTGCCTGATAACTAGTTACGGGTAGGGTAGAAGTTATAAAACTCTTGTTGTTTGAACATCCCAACTCCGCGCCTGTCCTGTCTGTCCTGTCCCTTTAGTTACCCCTTTACATAGTGTGGGATACAAACAAAAACAAGGGAGTAGTAAATCAAACCCCTCCTGGAATGAAAATGGCCTCGACCTTTGTTTGGCCACAATATCATTGCCATCCCCATTCCCTCATTCCCCCATTCCCTCATACCAGCTGAAATCCTCCATCTCTTCATCTCTCCATCCATACAGAGTACATACAATATCTAGAAAGACTGATTTATGATTTCTGCCACCAGCGCGGCCCAATCACAATCATAGGGCGACAGCCAGCCAATCAGCCAGAGACATGAGACAATAACTATGCCAAGGTTATTATTATTTATTATTTATTATTTATTATTCAGTCAATTGCCGCATCGACCATTTTTGTTTGATTGGTGCTCTTTTTTAGTTGTATTTTCTTTTTCTTTTTCCTTTTCCTTTCCCCCCCCAGGTTTCGTTTCCGCCACATGCACGGTTAATAAAAAAGAGTTGTCTGTTACATTATTAGTTAGTTACAGCGTACATACAGCGTACGTTCCAAGCAACCAGGCGAGACAACAATGCGTTGGAAGAATAAAACAACTCATCCTATCCCCTCCCCTCCCTGCCGCCTTCCTCTGATGCTGCTGGGGGAGGGAGGGAGGGAGTGATATTGGAATTGTTTCTTTGTTGTGTTTTGCAGCGAAAGAAAGAGAGAGAAAGAAAGAACATAAAAGTTAACTCCACAATATAACTATCAATATAACTATCAAGCCCTAACTAAACAAGAACACCGACCCAAGACCCCGAAATCTACAAAACTGGAAAAAAGACACACAAAGATACCTATCACAAACCACCAGATCACCCCTCTCTCTCTCTCTCTCTCTGACGACAAACGCGCGTTGGACTGGGCCTTGGTTTTTTTTTTTTTTTTTTTTTGCCCAACGATCGATCTCACGCTTCACCTTCACTTCCTGCTGCTGCCGGGACTCACTCAACCCCTCCTCCCTGCAGCTGGTGATTCTCCGCAGACCGCAAACCGCAAACCCAAACCCAAACCCAGACCCCAGATGAGGTGTACATCCAACACATCTTTTGTTGTATAAGGTAAAGCACCGAATCGCGGCTCTCCCTTTGTCACCGCAACATCCAACATCGCGACACCGCCCCGCTTGCAACCTTCTTCAACAAACGTGGCCCACTATAGATAAATAGATAGATATATATATATATATATATATATTATTTTTTTGCATCTGCACCCCACATACTCCCGTACACGGAGGAAGATAGTAGGGTGTGGTACCTGACTCACCTCAAACCTGAAAAATACAACAACACAACAGCAGGATAATCAAATCAGGTTATGGAGTTGTTGTCAACCCTGTTCTCAAAGCAGCCCATCTTCTGCCATCTGACCTGGCCAGCTTGCTTGGAAAACGCAGCCCTCAACTGCACTTCACTTCACTACAGGCGTTTCGATTTGGATTTGGATTTGGATTTGTGAGCAGCGCCCGTGACGACGCCGCCCGAGCTGGTCAAACGAACAAAGACACGAGCATCTTCATTTTTGTACGGGGCGGGGGGACTAAACGGGTGGAATAATAGGAATCTAATCTAGCAATCAACAACAAGAAATAATCATAATTCAAATAAAATCTGATTCGTAGGGTACGGTACGGTAGGTATGTAAGTTGTTATTTTGCAAAAGCACCAAAGTGCAAAAAGTAAAAAAGTGGGACTTCCGGCTCCCCGCGAGAGAAGAGAAGAAGAAAAGAGAGATAGACAGACAGAGAGACAGACAGATAGAGAAGATCAAACGCTAACCCAAGCATCGCCGCCTTCCCCCGGCGGACCGTTCCATGGGAGCGTGTAGCGGGTAGCGGGTAGCGGGTACCGGGGGGAGGGGGGAGGAGGGGGGGGGGAACCAAATACTCTTACTTTTACTATAATTATCAGTATTTTATTATTTGTAACTGTGGTAACTAAGTTACTGTAATAATAATAATAATGGACCAACCAACCTTACAAGGTTTCGTTGTCCAGCCCTCCCCAACAGCCCAGCCAACAGCCCAGCCAACAAAAAGCAAAAATTAAAAAAAGCAAAAGGCAAAAAATAAAAAAGGGAAAAAAAAGGGAAAAGCAAGAAAAAGCCAGGAAAAAGCAAAAAAGAAAAAAAAAAAAAAAGACCAACCAGGACAGAAAGAGCTGTCATCTTTTTATACTTGTTGGCCCAGTTCTCCTTCTTCTTTGATCCCGCCGCAACGGTTTTTTTTGTTTGCTCTTTGACCCCGAGATCTGGTTGTATTATTTTATTCGAACTATATATATCAATACCGCCGTCCCGCCCGTTTGGGTTGATTATTATTGTCTTCATTCGCACCCGGAATAATCCTGAATCATCCTGAATCATCCTGAATAAAACCTCCTTTCCGCGCTCCGCTTTATATAAACCTTGGTCCCCGGACTCTGATTATCTATCTCCTCCTTCCTTCCTTCCTTCCTTCCTTCCCTCCCTCCCTCTTTCACTCATATCAAACAACATACAACATACATACTACCATATCTTCCTACTACTACTACTACTACTACTACTACTACTACTACTACTACTACTCCTACTACTCCTACTCCTCCTCCATACAGTATTCATGGCAGAAGCTATCTTGTCAATACCTGACTGCTACTACAACAACCTCTACAATCGGCATCAGTCTCTCAATAAGAATAATAAACCTCGAAGCACATCCTCCTCCTCCTCCTCCTCCACTACCAGCAGAATGTGGTCCGGATTCAGCTTCAGCAACAGCACCTTCTCCTCGCCATCAGGCTCCCCGTCGTCCTCTCTTCCTCCGCCGCCTCCTCCCTCGCCCAACGACTCTCTGCTGGACATTGCTCCCCGCAAGAGTTCGTTCTCCATGACCTCGGGCAGAAATACCTCCTGTGCCTTTCCCTCCTGGCCCAACCGCTCCTCACTCTTCTCCGACTCAGACTCCTCCGCCAGCTCCTATCTCTCAGACGAGGATCTCTTCCCAACCTCGCCCTCGCCTAGCTCCGAATCCGCCTTTGAAGAAGATGCCGTTTCCTACCACCCAGTCTTTGCCGCCGGAGACCTGACCACAGAAGAGCAAATCTCCCTGATCAACGGGCGAGTAGATGAAGAGGAGCGACGCCAGAGATACCTTGCCAACGCCCACGCTCAGCTCCGCGCGCAACAAGCACAACGAGCAGCCCAGATACTTGCTGCTGAGCAATCAAGCGGCAAGAGGAGAAAGCGACGCGTTGTTGCGGACAAGAAGCGCAGGACAACATCATCATCATCATCATCGCCATCACCGTCTTCGGCTTCGGCTTCCTCCAAACCGTCTTCTAGCTGAGTTTTATTCTAAAAGTATGTGACGTGTGCTCATGCTCACATTGCATCACATGCATAACTCATCAAAATCCTCATTCCACACACCTCCCAAGTTTAGAACCTCCTAAACTCAACAAAACTCAACCTCCTCTACGAAGATAACAACCTCGACGGAGCATATGCCAACACGTGCATTGCCTCGCTTGTTTTACTTTACCCGGTGTGCCCAACATCCATCCTACATGGGTTAAATTCCGATGATGTGGAGACTCTAAGGAAACCCGAAGACGCGAAAACGACTTTTTATTTTTGTTGATTTTTCGTCGGAATTTTCCCTCCAGGGCCCCCCACCATGTGAAAGAGCGGTGTCGCGGATCCGGAAGGAATTAGTCGGGACAGAAAAAAGAGACGCGATGCCTTTTTTTTTTTTTTTTTTTGCGCGTTATTCTTGCAATGTGAAAGCATCACCCGATCTTAATGCTGAGCCAAACTCCCCGCGATCCCTCGGCTCTTTGACCGCGCATTCCACTTTGACAGAATCTTCCCTGTTTCTTCTTTACCGCCCTTTGGATTATTCGAACAACACCCTTTTTTTTTTTCAGCAACACCCATTCGGAACGCGAAAAAAAATTATTTAACTTTTTTAATTATTTTTTTCAATTTTATCGTTCTTGGTTATCCGAACGCCCCTTGTCCATGTCGGATTGGCAGGTGTGACTTGCATGTGGCAGATGTGACGTGACGTGACTGGAACGAAACCCAAAAATGTTTCAACCAGCAGGCAGAAAGGTTATTCTGATTGCCCCAAAGCCAGTCGTTTGGTTACAGTTTGTCAGCCGTTCAGTCTGGGGTTAAGTTTACGGGCGTCAGATACGACCCAATATTATTATTCTGATTATTATTGTTATTATTTCCATCGCCATCGCATCGCCTCCTTACACCTCTTATACACCGCCCACGCAGCCGACAAGGCCTGATGAGGAAATCGGCCCCGAGTTTAATTTTTTTTTTTTTTTTTTTTTTCGTTGGTGGTGACTCATTTTTGTCAGCGCGGGTGTCAACTGGACGATTTTGTGATTTTCCCAGCTCGGAAGCAAATACCGCAAGCATATTGGCTGGGCGGGGCAGCGGGTGTTTTCTTGCTGCCCGATGCGAGGAGATCGATTTGCTGTTGGGTTTTCGTGTGAAGATGTTTGTGTTTCACCCCACGCAGCATGGTTCTCTCCCCACCACCATCACCACCATCACCACCACCGCCGCGGCCGCCACCGCCTTGGCCCTATCTATCCAACCAATTCTTCAGCAGCCTATTACCGCGCACGCAAGATGTCATCCGCCTTGCCGGCTTCGCCCTGCTCGCCCCGTCGCTTTCTTCACCGCCTGTTGATCGCGCTGTGTTGTCATCACAAATCAGATCTGGCATAATTATCATCATCGTTTATTTTATTCTTGGGTTGTTCGTTCTCTGCCTATCCCTTGCCCACGCCTCGACTCCCCCTCGCACCCGCTCCGGCTTCTTATTTTTTATTTTTTTATTTTTTTATAATACTCTTCCTTGGCTTTTGGTTTCCGATATCCCTTTGTGTTTTGCGTGGTGTTACCTTCGGCATTCGGGTTTTGATCTTTTTTTCTTTTTTATTTCTCTCTTCTGTATTCCGTACCAGCGAAGCACAGCGCAGTGTTGGAGAACACCTTGAATTTTCCTTTTTTGTCCATATTCATTCAGCGCCTCTTTTTTTTTTTTTTTTTTTTTTTTTTTTTTTTTTTGGCATTATACCCTCCCGGACCAAATTGGTATCGACCTCGTTTTTTCATTTTTCTGTTGACTTTTCTTCATTATTATTGTTTGTCGATACGATCGCAGCTGTGCTGGTGAAACCGATTTTTTTTTTCCCTTTCTTTTTTTTAGCATGGCATTGCATCATACTGTATCACACACCTTGATTGATTGGGGTGTTTCTCGTTTTCCTCCACCTTGCATATATATATATATATATATATATACAAAGAGATAACCCGTACATACGGGATTAATCCAGCTAGAAATAGTTATTTATTATGGGTACGATGGGATTAACCTGTCCTATCACTCACCAGATGTTGACAAAAAGGGGGGGAAGAAATATAATATAATACAATATATAACTATGGATGATCCTATGCAGCCTTTTTCAAATATTCAAGTACATGTACATCTCGGTCCGGGTAGAAGCGGGACCGTGGAATGGATGGTCGTTGTCGGCGTTTGGGGGGATTCCGGCAGTTATCCAGCGCGTTCTTGGAGGTATGGATGCCCGGGTATGGGGATTTGGTTCTCTGTCGGCCTATGTATGTATGTATGTAAGTATGTATGGGCTGTGTCCGGGCAGAAGCGACGCGCAATGAGCGAACAGCGATGAATGATGGATGCTGGTGAGCGGTTACAGTTCCAGCGGGCGTTGGGGCCGGGGGGGGGGTAGGTATATCCATTGTTGGAATGGAAGTCCATGTCCATGTCCATGTCACCGTAGTTTTCGTTCGTATTGATATTGATTCTTCCTTCATTCTTTGGATTATGCGGGAGGAGTTACGGGAGATAACCTACGCAGTAACTAACTACTTACTAGTTAACTCCTCTCTGTACGGAAGTACGGAGTACGGAGTAACTATGCGATGCGGTGGGATGGGTTGTTGCTGGGGCTGATATGATATGGGGCTGATATGATATGGGGAAACGAGGGCGGCAACCAACTATTATTAACTCTATCTAACAACGACGTTTGACCCACGCACGACGATGACCAACGACCATCTATGTATATGTATGTAAGTAAGTATGTATGTACATGTACGTACGGGGCGGGGGATGATGTCGTGCTGCGGATTCGGGGCGGGTGATTGTGCCGCAATGGGTTGGGTTAAGTTACATATCATACATATATCCGCACATGGAAATCGCCGAATCGAATAGGTAGGCCGTCATTGTTTTGCATTCATTCCGTTGCATTTGATTGGGGGTTTGGTTTTACTTTTTGCAAAAACAAAAAAATATAAAATATAAAATATAAAATATAAATAATAATAAAGATATTTTACTTACTTCTTCGTCCGTTGGGCATGCATCTGCGGCTCTCTCTCCCCTTTACACGTATCACTGTATCACTGTATCCTTTTTTTTCTTTTTTGTTTCGGGACCCAGAGTATGCGCACCGATCTCTGTTATCTTGTCTGCACGTAGGTTAAATTTAGAGAGAGGGATGGAGGGATGGATGAGCAGAAAACAAAGTTCCGGCTTCATTTCCCCTTACTGCGTACATTCTCTTGAAAGAAAGCGGCGATTCCAAACCTCTCTCTTCTCTCCCACCTCTATCCCGAAAAGCAGGAGAAGAGGCTCGCTCCGGTTGGGTTGTCCCCTCATCTGGCAGTGATTCCTACCTAGTTCCTATACTTCTTTATAACTATCAGGATGCACCCAGCGCCATGGATGGCTTCGAAACTGCTGTACTGATGTAAAATAAAAACAGGGGGCGTCTGCCCTCGTAATCAGCATGAGATACGGTATCCCCATGGATGGAAACAGCCCGGTAAAATCTATAGCTATGTAGGTTGTTGTTGGTAGATAATATCCCAGCTTCGCGATCAACCGTAGTTCCATGGCTAGTCAGTCCCATGCGCTCTCTCATTCTATTTACTCCCGCTAGTTTCAATGGAATGAAAATGAACCCTGGGCCAAAATATCGGAGATCATACTCTGGAATGCTTACATACTTCCACAATCAACCCAGGTCAGATGCCGACAAAACCATAACATCTATCTAACTAACAGCCGAGGCTCGTGCACCGGTATGAGGAGCGTGTTGCTGGGTGGTATATTCGCTGTAATGGTTGGAGTGGGCAATGTGACAGTGTCAGTTCATTATTGTAATTAGCCTTCGGTTGTCACCACGTGCGGCTTCTTGACGGTTGAGATAATGGTACGTACGTAGTACTCCGTAGCTCTCGAAAGATCAAAAAGGTCCGATATGAAACCGGCAAAGGGGCGCGCCATATAATAATATATAAAATAGTGATTTGATTTTCCCAGGGAACAGGAGATGAAAAGAATAAATTTTAAATCACAACCTGGTTTGCTAATAAAAAAAAAAAAAAAAAAAACAGTACGGCCCGAACGAAACTCGGTACTCAACCCAGCCAAACCCAAAACCTAGACGCACGCAATCCATTCTATTCCATGAATCCCCCTCAATAGCTGAACTTCCCAAATGTATGACCGTCATGGAATCGATAATTGAGTGATACCTGCTATCAACGTCGGTTATCTTTGGTCCAGTAGGATCAGAATCAACACACAAAAGAAATAACTTAAAAAAGAAAACCCGGCTCCCCAACAGAAGAAAATAACTCCGTGCATAAATAACAAGCATAAGCACAGCCGCAGGATAAAATGGGACGAATTGCGAAGTGGGGATGTATGTAAGGCATGCTCATTTGATTGAACGAAGATTGTCCCGCGCACAGAACAGCGATTTTGATATGCTCGATCGAGAAAAGATCACAGTCCTGTCCCTGACAAATCATCGTCCAGTAGATGGCAGTAAGGAATTAAGACCGCGGCGAAAGTTAAAACTACAGAAAAAGGAAGAGTGTGCTTTTATTCCTTTTATTTCAAACGCTATGCGGTGCGGTGTGCTTATCATTGATCGGTTTACTGCCACATCATAAATTAGCCAAATGTGTCCCTGATTAACCCGACTAGGCGGATTCGCCAGTGTGGGAAACTATGTATTTCAACGTACAGAGATCTCATCCATTCCAAGATCTTCACCGCCAGTCGCAGCTGGTGGTGCGGCTCCGTTGGTCGCGGCAGGAGCAGCATTCGTTGTCGGGAAGTAATCTTCCATCTCAGCATCGAGCTCTGCGACTGACTTGGGCTTTGGGCGACCAGCGTTGCGTCCGCGGCGGGAACGGCCACGCTTTGAACCCGCGCTGGCCTTTGTGGCTGATACGGGTTTGGGTTGAGGCTTTGGTTGACTGATTTATGTTCATGTTAGAATGGTACGTGGGATGCGCGGTGCAAGTGGGATTGCGACTTCACAAAAACTTACGCGACACGTTCAGTCAGAGGTTTCACTGCAGGCAGAGTGGGAGCACGGGAGGCATCAAGAACCACCTCAATCTATCGACCCAATGTTAGCGTGCATAACCTCCATATTTAATATATATATTTCTGGGTATACCTCATCATACCTTGATGGGTCGCTTGTCGATGAGTAAACCATTTAGTTCCTTTGCGGCTTTGGCGGCAGTATCTGGACGAACGAAGGTAATGGCGGCAATGCCGCGGCTAGTACCGTTCTGGTTATAGGTGAGCATGACCTTCTTTACAGGTCCGGCGGACTTGTGGAAATATTCCTAAGGCAATGCCAAGATAAGACATCAGTATTTTAAAATGCGCATCGGTTTGATTTACGAGCTGCATCCACGGTCCAATCTCAAAAAACAGGGAATTTTCAACACAAAGCCCCGTCATCGACCTCTTGAATGCGGGTCAGCGAGCACAGAGTGACAGCACAGCGTTAGTAGTCAGTATCGAATCCCAAGTAGAACGGGGTAGGCGGTGCGCGGGGGGTATATCGCGAAACTCCGGTTTAATCCTTCCGTTTCCCTCTCCTTAAAGCAAGCAGTCCTGTCTCAGACGAGTCCGCGCCATGTACTACCAAGGCCAAGCGGTATCCACCCAGAATTACCCAATCCACGATAGAAAACCACAAATTTCCCCGCAGCCAGGTGCAAGAGCGTAGAAGGTAGGGCTCCGTAATACAAGATCTTGGGGCCACCTGCTGCTAGCTGTCGAGCAACGATTCCGCTGACTAGATGCAAACAAGGCAAAAATGAATCGCGGAGTGAGAATATGTCCTTTCTCAAATTTGCACATGTGACACGGTGTCAAGCAGATATTGTATGCAGGACATGGCTCAGCTCTAGAGACCATGACTTGCTCGAAAGCTGATGGCAATGATCGACTTCATCCCTTCCTTTTCTTGGAGGTCCTCAATCGATTTGTGTTTCGCCTTGTGATGTGTGGCTAAAGTCGCGTCGGAATCTCGAGGCGAGTGATAGCTAGGCTCTGTGTACTGTGTTGCTTCAATCACTTCTGCGCTCGCTGATACGCCTCACTCCAGGAAGAAAAATAGTGGTTTACATCCACGCGATCCATGGTTACATGTAGAGTTGGTCCCCACGCCAACTTATCTTTTCACACGGCCTGAGCCCCAGTTGGCTCAAGAGACATGTGAAGAGTAGCAGCCAGACGAGCATTGGGGCGCAGAGGAGTCGCGAGATGATGACAGGGCTCAACTTGCTATGCTTTGCATCAGGCCAATGACCGGCGAGCAAAAGCGGCGAGGATGCCAAACTGTCTCGTGTTGCGAAAGCAACAACGGCAATGAGAGTGTACACGCCACAGAATAGGCAAGATGCGACTTTGGGAAAAGGAAAAAGGAGCGACGATTTCGTTCGTGACATTTCGAAGGGGATATATCTCGAACGGAGACGGCGATGGAAACCCAGAAAGATACCCTCTATCAACATACCTTGATATTCGCTTCATTGACATCGGAGGGCTGAAAGAAGTTAGCGTCTGCATTATTCTAACAGCGGGTAGGAGAAAAAAAGGAAGAAAAGGGCTTACCAAGCCGCTCACGATGATCTTGCTTTCGCCCAGACCCATAGATGGGCCGGTGGGGGTAGCCTTGGAAGTAGATTTCGCATTCCTGACGGTCTTTTTGACGCCGCCTACTGGGGCAGCGTTTTGAGAGGCCCTCGAGGCCCTGGTATCGCGACGTCGCTGGGAGCCACGACGGGCGGCACGCCTGGTGCTGAGGATATCGTCAAGAGACTTGTCCAGCTTGTCGGCCATTGTTATGTAGTAATAGTGATGTCGCGAAACGAGATAATTTCACTGAAGCTAGGGAGGATGCGCGGGGAGAATAGAGCCGACTCTACGCCAATACCAGGCTGTCGTTCCTGATTGACGTGGCGATGGATGTTGGTGGGGAGAGCCTGATTATGACAAAGAGGAAAGATAGAAGCAGTCTGATAGCGACTTGGAGAGATAGTAGCAGAGAAGGGTTTCAGTCACCGGTTTCTGTGGATGGCGAAGAAGCAAACTCTGTGGATGACGAGTGAATCGAGATGTTGGGGATGTTCGAAAACGAAGAGAGTGCGAGAGTTGAGGACGTTGACTTTGCCGCCTGAAGGGAACAACAAAGGAATGTATGACTAAGCGTCTCACTAGATCAATATAGGCTTAGTAGATTTATCTACTAGATGGGTGTTGTCTTATTAAACTCCCGTATCTTGGGAGATTGCTCCACAGGGTTTAGCGCCGCATTAATCGGGTAAGGCTCCATATCACCGCTTTGATGAACTACCCAGGTATACCTTGCCTTGTATGGTTTAGCGCAACAATGCCGCTTTCTTGAACTATAACAGTCAAATACAGCTACTTTTTAGTGATCGCACTTATTAATCAATGAAATTGCTGTATTTAATACGCTAATGTACAGCCAAAAAAACCACGCTAAATAGTGCTCGCCGCCCCCAAACAAGGAGATAACCCGTAGACATTCATCTGTATTATTAGGCGGACAGGGTTTGGTGCCGCCCGATCGGGTAAAGCGCCATGTCGACCCTCTCCCGCCGCCTTGTTTACTCCCCACCATTCACCATTCATCATTCACCCGCAACTCACAGCGCAGTACGTACTGTACTCTGTACCGTACCCTCGACTTTGCTTTAATTCAGGCCTCTTGTTGGCTCAACTGGCACCATTCCCGCTCCTCCTCCAATTCTATCCATTTGGTTGGATGCCATTATCTTTTCCCCTTTCTTTTACTCTCCAACCACGTCTCTCTAGAATCTCTTGTTCCTCGCTTGGGATTCCACGGTAAAGGAAATCGACCTCCTCAAAGCGCCAGCAACGTCCGAAGGGCTATATGATTATGACGGTGGAGAAGGTTCGCCGGTTGCTACAGGCAAACGTAAGATGGATGGTCAGCCGGAATACGGAGCTCTCATTTCAGGGCAGGTTATCACTCTTACCACAGATGATGTCGCTAAACGTCCGCTTCCAAGCTGGCCCCTTCTCGAATTACAGTGGCATCTACAAAGGGTCGCAGGGATGAGCGGGGCTGCCGAAGCTCGAGATGAGGTGGGTAGAAATGATGACGGTGATGATGGAGAATTGGTTGTGCTTGATCGTGATGCTGCTGCAAACCGTGTTACAAGCATTTCTCAGTGGTTACAGCAACTAACCGACAATGGCAGATGGCACCCAAGTCGCGCCTGTCAATCCCTGTTTAGCGATCAGGTCAGTTTCATTGCATCCTTTTCTCATTGGCTGAACCACTCTTATTTTCTAGGCCGTTAGGACAGTTGATGGATTGAGTAGCTAACACCAGCAAGAGTCTCATGTGCCATTACCTTCACTGTGAGAACCTGGGTCTGTTATTTGAAATAAATGTACCAAAATGGCTTTGGCAGTTTCAAGAGTATTCCTTCATTGCAGCAAGGAAATTTCCTTAGTTAACTTACCTAATCAGTGTCCTGCTAAGATGGCAGAAGAGACCAGCGTGAAAACCACTGCTGCTTTTTGAAGAGAGGTTCACACACAGAACCACTCTTTTTCTGTTGGATGATATGCTTCCCCTATGTCACGTACCCTGGTATGTAGTCTCCCTCACTTTGTCCGCTACCAATCCAACCTCTAACTGTTTGCATCTATGTAGTGTATACCCTGTCTCCTTGCAATAGGGGAGAATCACTAGCGAGGATCTCACGTCGAAGTAGTAGTACTGGAATATGTCGATGAACTGTCGAGTAGCTTGCTACGAGAATAGAACTAACTTAGGCGAAGTGTATGTGCTCCGACTTAGCAGGTCTGAATATCATAGGATATACTATGGGTTGAATACAAGACGAATCGCTTGGTGCGCTTGGCTCGTCAGCCAGCCCCCAGCTCATCGCCAGATCTTCGCCAAGAGGAATTTGCTTTCCTAGATGAAGCGGGCACAAATCAGAAAGAAGGAAACCATTGAGATCCACCATTTCTCTGTTCTCCATGATCTTGACTGGCTATCATTGAGATAGCGCTTAGGTGACTAGTTGCCCTCAATGTGGCATTGTGGTTGGCATTGAGTGATCGTCAATAAGTAGCTTACCTAGCTTGCATCATGCTCTAGCATCATGTTGAGAATGTTTACTTAGCCATATTCCAATGTAGCCAATTGATAGAGGTAAATTCTCATCCACTATGCCAACTTAAGAGGCCGATACTCTTAGAAAGCGTATGGTTTTGGGGGCTCTAGGAGGATTAGCTACGCTCATACCTGAGCTGTTCAATCACAGACTGGTCAACATCTGATCTTGCGGCGAGAAAATGTCCAGCAATACCCAGGAGTTTACCCCGCCTCTCAAAGCAGAGGAAGGGCCACAAGTGTATCGTCCTAGTGGTTTCCACCCTGTTCATCTTGGAGAGGTGTACGATGGGAAACACAAAGTGCTGAGGAAACTAGGCTTCGGGAGATATTCAACGGTGTGGCTTGTTCAAAGTACAAGATCGGTTCCCTCCATCCAGCCAGCAAGCATACAGTAAATAACAGCCATATTCAGAGGAAATCTTAGGGGATTAAAAGTTTTGAGTGCGGAGTGTTATGGGGGTGAAAAGGACACATAGGTCCAAATGGATACCATATCTGACTTGTCTTCCCGGTTATGGGCGAGATGCTCCGGAGCTTTGAAACCTGGTTTGAAGACCAAATGATTCCCAACAACATTATGCGGCCTTTCACTATCCAGCTCCTCCTGGTGCTGGATTATGCTCATGATTGTGGTGTCATTCACACTGGTAAATCTTCCATTTGCCTTCTACTATTATTATCTACCCACCTGCTAACCACTTCACCCAGACATCAAACCTGATAACATTTTTCTTCCAGATCCAGGATTATTCGCTAATTTCAGAACTATACCTGCCAAATAACCCTGCTGATCTGGCAGACTTTGACACGTCAACTGATCCCTCAACCATCCGGTCTCAGCCTCTTAAGTGGGATTACTTCCGGAAGGGAGCAAATCTCATGAAGTTTAATATTGCATTGGGTGACTGGGGTGTCGCTAGTTGGACTGATTCTCACCTTTCCGAGCTAATTCAGCCTGTAGCTCTTTGAGCTCCAGAAGTACTCATCAGAGCTCCCTGGGGCCCAGCTGCCGATCTCTGGAATTTAGGAGCTGTTGTTTGGAAGTGTTCCGCGCTGTACACATGTTTAGTAGGAGAGGTCCACCATATGGTTATTACAAGGTTCGGTTCCACCTCCATGAAATTGTGGATTTATTTGGGCCATTTCCAAGATCATTTCTGCAAAAAGGTGACCAAGAGCTTGTCCAAGGATACTTTGACAGTGAGGAAAGGATAAAAAATTTGCCTCCACTCAACCGTCCGGGGCTGGAATCGGAGGCATTTCTCGGGGAATTGAATGGGGAAAACAAAAAGATATTTATTATGTTCTTAAGATCGCTCATGAAGATTGATCCGAAAGAGAGGAAGACAACGATGGATTTACTTGCTAAGCCTTGGCTCGATGCAGTGGCCTAGCCCCTGAATGGGTGATAGTTGAGGTCTGGTTGCAGGTCAAACCTACATTATTCCGGGGTGTCCTAAATGTGAACGAAAGTCAGAAACACAAAAAGGCAGAAAGAGATCAAAATGGGAATGTACAGTACTCTAGCTGCCAACCATGCCCTGCGCTATGACAATTTCATTGCTAATTTATTCAGTAAGTCTTTCGTCCGCCTTTCTTCGAGGTCACGCTTCCGCAGTTGCACGGGAGGTTAATCCGGGGTATCGATGAGAGTACAACTGGGGCGTTGGGCGCATCGTCTACGCCGCCTGCGCGTCCTCTATCAGTCAACGTCTAATCCTCTGGGATGCAGCCGGAGCGCTGACTGAAACCGTTGCCCTCCCAGTGAGATTTCAATGCTCCGACGACCGCCTCCATAGGTAAGTTATCTGCCTCGCTTTACGCTGTCTGATGACGCCTGTCATGCTTTCCTCGCGGTATGCATTTGGGCCTTTTTTTGCCCTTCCATTTCCTACCCAGAAGGACACTTTCAACAACTGGTGAAGGGGACCGGCAGTTATTGGTGGTGCTATTAGATCATGTGATGCAAATATGATTAATTGAGGGAAGGAGAAGTGCTTTTCATTATCATCAGCCTGAATTCCATGGCTTAAGGCCCCCAGTGAAATGTCACGAAAATCTCTCCAAGACGCCAAGGCTGGAAGAAAGCTGAAAGACAAGCGACTAGAATGAAAGACGGTAGACGGGCGACCCCTCGGGGACTCCATAACTCCACCATGGCTGGCCGACTTGGCTCTCTTGTTTTGCCGGTAGAAAGCTGCAGATTGGAAGGTCCTTTCTCAAGATGATGCCTGTAGAGCCTGGAACTAAATAGATGACAATTCTATGTAAAACTTTTCGGTTAGGCTTTCTAAGCATTCACTTTTGTAAGACTCAAAGAATGTAGATCTGTGGACTTGACAGCCATGAGATCAAACAGGCCATGCAGTTGAAGAACCTGGTGGACTTCACAGCCACAGGGACTAAGAGGCCGTATGGTTGAACCGGCCATGGTGAAGCATGTACGCACAGTATGTATGTATGTACATAATCTGCACCGCAGTGCGAGGATGTAGCGACTAGGGCTTAGGGCATCGGAACAACTCCTAATCCGAAGGTAGCGCGGACATAAAAATGAGTCTGCGATACGATACCCTTCAGCGTAGAATTCAAGCGGATGGGTGTAAAGTATGGATAAGGCGTATCAACATAAATATACCAGTGGGAATATCAACATTGAAACATCTGAGTCATAACTGTCATCTATGCCGTTATAATTATACCAGAGTAGTAAATAACCGCCAGCCAAAACGCCCAGGGGAAAGCTATAATCATACTCTCACTGCGACATGCTCAAATAAATAATCGGGAAACGATCAAGTCAAAGTATATAAGGTAATATCCGTCTCAACTCTTTAACGCCTCCAGTCGCCCTCTCATCTGAGCAAGCGTCTCTTCCTGGTCCTCGAATTCTTCCTCCACCGGCTCCTCTTCTACCTGGTTTTCCGGCTTGAGCCCTTCCACTTTCGCCAGTTTGCCCTGTAGAATTTCTTGAAGGACCTTGTCAACTTCAGAATCTGCCTCTTCCTCTTCGCCTTCTAATAACTGTTCTTGCGGGATCATGTCGTCGACGAGTTCTTCGATTATACCAGCCTTGACCAGTTCCATGCCTAATTGTATCGCCCCATTAGTGACCGAAAATCCACAGGAACTATCATAATCACCGAAATTTGGGAAGTATACATACTCAACTGTTGCATAGTGCCTGCAAGCTCCGGTAACCGCACGAGATGATTGACATTCTTCATGATCCCCGTCGAAGCCCTGAGACTCCCCTCAATCTTCCGCACAGAGAACGCTTCGTTGACCTGCATTTTCACGCTCTCTAGCTGTGCCTTACTCGTTGTCAGCCGGCTGCTCTGTTTCCGGATGCGGATCATCTCGCGGGCGAATATGCGGGACTCCTTGGCGGCCTGCGCGGCCTGGGATGGGTTGCGTTCTGCCCGTCGCGAGGCGGCGACAATATATTGTTTCGTTTTGATTTCGAGGGCTTTAAGTTGGGCAATGTCCCGATCCAGCTTGCGGGCGTTGGCGCGGATGAGACTGTTGCATTTTCTCATCTGTCAATTCGTTACATTAGCGCTAACTGCGGGCAAGCGATTGTTGGAGAAGGGAGAGATTGGATGTATATGGACAGTCGCATACCTGGGCGGCGGGGTCGGGGCCGAAAAACACTGCTTTGAGGGACTCCATTGAGAGGAAACTAGCCACAAGGCCTGGGGATTTGTGCGAATGGCTCACGAGCAACTATGGGTCTATATATATATGGAGAGCGCGATGGCGGTAGTGTTCATTGCCCCTCGTCGTTGGTTTGAAATTGTAAATGTTGGTTATTGGTGTATCGGAATAGCTGGTTAGGGAAGAGAAAGTAGTAGGAGATAAGTTGAGCCCTTCTGTACTAGAGGATGCTTCTGCCAATACCGATATTTACCTGTTCGTCTTGTTCGTCTTGTTCGTCTTGTTCCTCTCCTGCCGACATCATCGCCCGCCAGGCTAGGCAAGTCACATGGGCTGCTGAGTCAGGATGCCGTCTTGCCACGTGACTGTTGTCTACGCGGTTCCAGTACTTTCCAAACGGCGGCATCAGTGGCACAATTTTGAACGATCAACATTTGAACTACTACTACTACTATTACTACACCAACAACAACAACAACTCCCAGCTTCACCTACTGTTGTAACCCCCTTCCTACTCCCTTCTCATACATCTTGAGCTCCTTGTGTTCCGATTCTCTCTTACGCATACTTTCCACAATGGCTGATACGCAAACCCCGGAAGGTATGGCCCTTGGCTAGAACGCTCAGATAACCCCTCAATATGGAGCTGTCCTTTTTATACCTACCTATGTCTCCCTACAGAATTATGAATTGCCATAGACCACCATTCTAACAGTATATCCTTGATACAGTCCTCTGGGCCCAGCGCTCGTCGAGCACTGAACCCGAAAAAAATATCCTTTTCGTCCACCTCGGTGTGCCCGATGTCTCCCCCACCTCCGCAAAACTCTCCCTCACTCCAACCTCCATTTCCTTCTCGGGCCACTCAGACACCAAGAAGGTTGACTACAAGGTCGACCTAGAGTTGTACGATGAGATCGACGTCGATAACTCCAAATCGAGTCACACCCCGCGCGGCGTCGACCTCGTGCTAAGAAAGAAGGAAGCCAAGGAGGAATACTGGCCCCGCTTCTTGAAGGAATCGAAGAAGGTCCATTTCCTCAAGACAGACTTCGATAAGGTTAGAACAATTGCTTGGATTTAATATATATATATACATTGTAAGATGCTCTACTGACAACGGTGGTGTAGTGGGTCGATGAGGACGAACAAAACGCCGCAGATGCTGATGACTTCGGCAACTTGGACGACATGGGTGGCATGGGTGGCGGAATGGGTGGCATTGACTTCTCGAAACTAGGCGCAGGTTTGGGCGGGATGCCTGATATGGGTGACATGGGTGCAATGGGTGAAGGTGGTGAGGATGATGGATCGGTATGTGACAAACAACCCGCCGAAGTCTTGTTGATAAAACATAGAGGAAAATAGAGGTAAATTGCTAACGAAATCTGATCTTTAGGACGACGAAATGCCGCCATTGGAAGAGGAGGGAACGGACGCCAGCCCCACGGATTCAAAGCCTAAGATCGAGGAGGTGGCCTAAACATGTTTCCTAATCTCTCTCTCTTTTTTTTTTAATGGCTTGTGTGTGGTTTACGGTTTTTTGTCCTTTCCAGTCAGCTCTGTATCGCCAGTTTTTCTAATATTACGTTGACTGCCCGGTGACCTTCCAACTTCCTATTCTTTTTCTTGTGTGCATGTTTCACCGGCGAATGTCGACATGTCATCATGTCCTTGCAACGGTCAACAATCAACGGCCAACTCAATTTCTTAGTTCTTTTCGAGGCTTTAGGAGTTTTTTACGGTGCATGGCCCGGGCCAGGGGGTGGGCCGAAGCCCTTTCACTTCTTCACACTGTTTTGTTTGGCAACCTTTTACCTCAATCCAAATCTGTCATGCCACCCCCACCCCCCGAGTTTGGCTTGAAGGGACCTTAGCGCCACAAGCAAATAGTTTACTTTACGAAGACAAAAAATATAAAATATAAAAAATAAAAAGGAAAAAGGGAAAAAGGGGAAAAAGGAAAAAAATAAAAAAATAAAACAAAACGCATTTTTTGTAAATTAGTTAGGAGATACCAGAGGCTCCATTCAGATAGTTGATGTATGAAATCGACCCGAATTTTCGAACTATTGTTGTTTTCATGATCATCTATCTTTTTCCTGGGCAATGGGTATATGCTTGTAATAGGGCGCCCCGAAAACTGCTGACATAAATATTAAATTAACAGTAACTAATTGAAGAGGAAGAAGAAGAAGAAGAATAGCAGTAAAGAAATTGATAGTGAGAAAGTAGATGTGTGTCACTGATTGTTGACTACTGCACTCACATGTCCCACATTCTATATATGAAAACCTCACTATGGAGTAGATAGATTATAATGACAACAATGTTGATTCTCCTACAGAGAGAACCTTGGAACCATTGACCACCTCACCTTCAGAAGGCTAGTGCTGTTCATTTTTTGTTAAATCAATTGGCAGATAATAAATAATACTAGTGTTAATTCACCCCATCTCCTACTGCTACGACTATCTCATGCCGATGCCTCGGACCGACTGCCGGGCCGAAGATATACAAGTCCAGAAATCCATAGCTGCTCCAACTATCAAGTCAGAATGAAGAATGGAGAGCGATGTACGGAGTAGATAACATAATGCGGCCGCAATGGCCACCCTGAAACATGCTAAACTTATTCTTTAAAAAAATAAATTAACAACATCCGTCACATATGTAAACAGTTGCTTGGTTCAAACCCACAAAAAAAAAACAAAGCACATGAATCTTCTCCTATACAGCGCATGTGCATGTTACACCCAAAGCGACAAACCATGTCCACCAGAAACCGCCCCATTCGTATCGCCGGTATGCTACCCCCCAACAATATCTATCTATTCGTATATGTACACTGACAAAATAAATCCCCAACCCAGGCGCTTCCGGCTCCGCCTCTGACCGGCGCCACGCCCTCGCCAGCTTCGTCCGCAACCATCCCAACGACCCCATCGACGTGATCATCTCCGACTACATGAGCGAGTACAACATGGCGACCGCCGCTGCTAAGCGCGTGGGCGATGACGACGACGTGGCCGCGTATGAGATGTCGTTTCTGGAGTCGCTGCTGCCGGCCCTGGGGGATCTGGCGCGCCATGGGATTCGCGTTGCGGTGAATGCCGGCGTGGCGGATGTTCAAGGGCTATATACGGTTGTCGAGAGAGTAGTGAGGGAGAGGGGATTGGGGTTGAAGGTATCTTTTTATTTTTATATTTTTTTATATTTTTTTATGTCGTCCCGCAAAATTTCTAACATAACTATCGGTGGATTTAAATAGGTGGCTTGGATCTCCGGCGACGAGGTCCTCCCCGCCGTAACTCAGGCACTCGCCTCGGGGAAATCCCCGCTCAAGAACATTTACACCGGCCAGAACCTGGCGGACTGGTCATTCGAGCCCATATACGCCCAGGCCTACCTGGGAGGGCTGGGTATCGCAGCAGCGTTCGCCAACGGCGCCGACATCGTCCTCTGCGGCCGTGTATCCGACGCGAGCCCTGTCATCGGCGCGGCATACTGGTGGCATAACTGGGGCCGGCACGAGTTGAACAAACTAGCCAACGCCCTTGTTGCAGGCCACCTGATCGAGTGCAGTAATTATGTCTGCGGCGGGAACTTCACGGGCTTCAAGGCACTCGAGAGTAGTGAGGGTGGATGGGCAGACATTGGGTACCCTATTGCTGAGATCTCCGCGGCCGGGGAGGTGGTTATCACGAAACAATCGGGGATTACTACCGGAGGAGTTGTGACGGTAGATACATGCACGTCCCAACTGTTGTATGAGATTCAGGGGCCATGGTATTTCAACTCAGATGTCACGGCGATTCTTGACGGGATATATTTCGAGCAGCTGTCCACAAACCGCGTCGCAGTGTGCGGCGTCAAGGCGGGCTTGCCCCCTCCAACTACAAAAGTGGGCATAACAGCACGAGGCGGGTATCAGGCGCAAGCGAGCTATTTCATGGTAGGGCTGGACATCCCCGCCAAAGTGCGCATGTTGGAAACGCAGATCCGCCGACTACTGGCACCGCATTCGAAGAATTACACAGTGCTCGATTTTTCTTTGCTGGGCAGCATGCCCGATGATCCCAGGGACCAGAACAGCGCGACGACGACGTTTCGCATACTAGCCCAAGCACCAAAGGAGGAACATTTGGCTCCGACCAAATTCATGAAACTCATCTTCGATAATATCATGCAAGGCTATCCCGGCGCCACGTTCGATCTGGATATGCGCCAGGGTGTACCCAAACCCGTGTTTGAGTACTACGTCACTCTCATCCCGCAGACGGACGTGAAACATCAAGCGCACCTCCCCTGGCTCAACGACATTAACGATAATAAAACGATCGACATCGCCCCACCGGCCACCACGAAGATCTGGCCGTCTCCACAACCCTCGCAGCCTGTAACCGCCCGCCCAGCCAATCTGGAGACGGACTTTGGCCCGATGACGCGAGGGCCTCTGGGCTGGATCGTGCACGCACGCTCGGGCGATAAGGGTTCCGACGCCAACTGCGGCTTCTGGGTGCGGCACGATGATGAGTACGAATGGCTGCGGACGCTGTTGTCGACTGAAAAGGCGCAGGAGTTGTTGGGTGGGGAGTGGCGAGAAGATGGGACGATGAGCATTGAGCTGTTTGAGCTACCTAAGTTACGCGGGGTGCATTTCCTTTTCTGCAACTTGTTGGATCGTGGGGTTGGCGTGACGCGGAAGGTGGACTTCTTGGGGAAGAATGTGGCGGAGTATTTGCGGGCGAGATGGGTGGAAATTCCGGTCAAGTTTTTGGGGAGAGGGAAGTTGTAGATATATTTAGTTTCTTCTTAATTAGATTATATGCATGTATGTTTCATGGGGTAGAATCGTTTCTTCACATTTTGTGTAGTATCCTACAGAATGTCTCGCAGTTCTGCATATTACGTGTGAAGTATTGGTGTGAGTGGCTATCTCCTTCGCGAACTCCGCAGGCTACTCACAGGCGGCGCAGGGTCAAATGCGTCGTCATCATCTTCAATATCATCGCTCATGACGCTGACGCTTCTCGTCGCCCGAGCCGCGGCAGCTCGACTAGGCCGCTTACCAACCATGGAACCTGTGTCTGTGCCACCTAGTGTTTGACTTTCATTTATCTGTGACCTGGTGGATTTCGGCGGCGGCTTAAACCTGGTAGTTGCGGAGCTCCGAGTGGGAGCCTTTCCAGCTGCCGCAGTCGCGGTCGCACTGGCCGTTGACGTTGTAGTGGTTTGCTTCCGTGCGCGGCTTGTAGTGGATGATGTTGATCTAGCCTGGCGCGGAACAGGAGTTTGTCTGACGAATAGAGAGTCAGAGTTCTCCTCGCCATCCTCGCTGATGTCGTCCAGCATGATTGCATCCTCTTGCTCGTCCTCGTCCTCGTCATCGGACACTGCTTGACGACGACGGGTGCGGCTGCTGGAGCTGGTAGTGGGAGTGGCTGCTTTACGTGTACTTGTAGCTCGCGGGGCAGATCCTCTTGCAGTTCTACCCCCTCGACCTCTGCCTCGTCCCGTGGTGGTTGTGGCTCCTCTCCGGGGAGGAGGGTTCTCGTCCACGACTTCATCGGCTTCATCATCGGAGATGATGAGTGCACCAGGCTGATCTTCCCAAGGGCCATCAAACTCGCTGTCCCAGCCATCAGGCTTTGGTTTAAACCTTCTCTGTCCGCGGGTACGCCGCTGACTGCCTTTAGCGAACATATCTTCCAGCTGCGCTCGATATTTATCCATGGCAGCCTGAATAATGCTCCGCCCTTCCCCATCTCCATAGTCTATTTCATCATCATCCTGTTCCTGGTCGAGAGCAAGGAGATGCTTTATTTGGCTCTCCAGCGACTCGTTCACAAACATTTCCATCGCGTGTTTGTCGTCCTTATCAACAAATTGGGAAACGGCATCTCCAAACGAGTTTTGGGGTAGAATAGTAAGTGACTGTGCAGTTAGGAACTCCCGCACCAGCTTTTCTACTTTAACTGTATCCAGTGAAGAGAGATGCGAGATAGCCGCTTCATCTGGTGCATCTGTCTCACCGCGACGGAGCGCTGTGCCGGCTTTCTTCTTGCGGTAAAATTGGATAACGTCGTTGACATTAGCAACTTTGCCAACGAACCTATTCGAAAACCGTTGGGGATTTTCGCAATCAAAGCTCCCCCCACCAGGCGTTGAAACCTCGACTCTCAGTCGAACTAAAGGTAGTGGGATTTCAAGTTCCTCGTCATCCACATCCTCCTGTGCCTCAATCCAATCATTCTTCGCTTGCTCGATTAGTTCCTCGACAACGCCGATAAGAAAACGGGTCAGTTCCGTGCGGTTATTCTCCTTCTTTGCGAGTCTCTGTGCTTCTTTCTCTTCATGGAGAACAATCTCCCTCGTGACGAAGGGTCGGACGCTTTTGAGTCGAATCGGTTCAGTCTTGAATTCACGCCCGGTAATGCTGAGGATCGCCACTTGTTTGGGGACCGCTTCTCCGGGGACCAGTGAGGTGGCCACGGATGAACCTGGCTGCATAACATGGAAATTTGTTTCTGGGTTTAAACGAGGTTCGATGATACACTCGTGCTCATGGCCCCAAATAACAAGGTCGAGAAAATCGGGCAGGAAGTTTTCGGGTAGGTAGCCGGTTTCTGTATGGGCATGATGATTTTGGTGCACGCTCATTAAATTGAACCAGTCGGATTTTTGAAGTGATGGTTGGAAGAATTTGACTTTCCCGTCTCGGAAAGTTCTAAAAAGCCGCTCGTCTCGCACGTTACTCATACCGTACAAGGCCAGCTTCGTTCGACCCTTCTGAAGTAGAACTGGTTTCACTTGGATATTGTCTGACTCTGGAGTACGACCGTAGTAATTCACTAGACCGGAGACTTGTAGGATATCGAGGGCAGCTAGATGGCCTTCACCGGAGGGATCATCATGGTTGCCATGTATTGAAAAAACTGGGATGGCAACATTGATATCCATATCCTCGTAGTTGACGTGGTTAAATGCCCCCTGGAAATTCTCGCTTGCGTCGCTCAGCATTTCCAGTTCGCAAGGCTTGTCGCCGTAACAGTTCATCCGTAGCGACCGCATGACCTGATACATGGACTTTCGGGATGGTTTGTTCTCATGGAACAAATCGCCAGCCAGGAGAACCATATCAACGTCCCGCTCCTTGGCTAGACACATCACTTCATGAAAGCTTTTCCAGCTATCATCCCCGCGAACTGGGTCACGCTCATTGTACCCGACATGGTTGTCTGTTGAGACTAGAATACGAATAGTATCCGCGGCTAGTTTTGGGGATTCTGTTAGCTCTCTGGTCGTGACAGGCCCAATACTCAACGCTGATTGTCTTACCTGTGAGGGAGGGCATTGTAGAGAAGGTAATCTGGACAAAATTAGTGGTCTATTGGATCCCTCCAAAGAATAAATCTTATGGATGTGTGTTGGAACAAACTGTTATCAGCCTCTCTATAGTTGTATGTGTTGCATTTATTCCGGAAGGCAACAGGGCACTTGGGACAAAATCTAGCTGGGGGGGTGGGTGGTGGTTCAGTTCATTCAGCCATATCGAGCATGGGGCTCAAGATACGCAACGATGATGCATCCCCTACCTAGGTAACAAACTTGATACCGAATTAGGTGCTATTTATTATGTTCCAAGGTTTCTAGAGAGAACTTCCACTCTTCTGATTGTCACGTCTTTGCATCGCGTGGCCGACGTGTAGTCATGTGACATAGTTACGGCTCTTAGCTTACTCATCACCAACCCGCGGAGCCGCACACCGATCGCTCTTTTTTCCCCTTGATATTCCATCCCTTCAACTTCAAACATCAAGCCTGATTAGCAGCAGCATTTAAGCACACCATCAAGGTCTATTTCCTCGCGCGCATTGCTCTAGACTGACCCGGAATCTCTCTGGCTCAGTCCTTCACTTTCTCCTTTTCCCTTTCCAACTTTTTATGCACCCAGAGCCCTCCCAAGCTTCTCATCCAGAAACTCGCGATACACGGTTTTCCCCCTACCCGATCACTTCTACCCAACATGGACTCCAGCAGCAGCATGATGAGCACCTTCCGTGCTATTTCTCTCCGGAGAATAGTAGGGATGGAGTGCGCGAATGCTCTGTAAACGCGGCTGATGAGGTCTCACCACCTCCATCACCACTTGACCCTGTACTGAACACCACGTTCCCTGTGGATCGCATCAGTAACAATGAAAACTCTTTAACTCCTTCCCCAAAGGAAGCTAAGGATTCCGGGTTCGAAATCGCCGCTTCAAATGTCAATAGACTCTCTCACCAACCACTCGAGGACTTCCCTAATGGTACACATAATACACTGAAACAATGTGTGAAACTAACATTGCGTGATGCTAATTTATTTATATACAGAGGTTTTGACACATATCCTGTCTCACTTGCCCCCTTCGTCGCTCTCATCAATGAGCCTTGTTAGTCGCCGCTTTTATAGCCTCGTGACCACTCCTCATGCCTGGAGAATCGCATTTTCTCGCTATTTTCGGGGTCCCGCAAGCCTGAGGGAAGACACGCATACAGAAGACTACGAACTTATCCTTGCGCAGAGGCGTACCTTTTCCAGATTGACGGCACTGGCATCCTGGCGAAATGAATACATTCTGCGAACCAGACTGCTACGGGCACTGTCCCGGGGTAAGCCTGCAGAACCCGAGCCCCCTTCGCCGCGCGGCTCCACCAGACATCAATCTGCGCATACTGCAAGGGCTGTGGTCACATACAGCTCGATGTGTGTCTACCCAATTACTCATATTGACGGAACTTTTGGTTCGCCATTGGGCAACAAACCACCTCTGTTTATTCATGGCGCTGCCGAACAGGGAGTTGCTTCGATGAGCGACCCTACCTCTGGCAAAACTGGCACCGGCACTTGGGGTCTCTCCTTCCCACAGATGTTTAAACATTTTTCCGATATTTTCCCCGGTGAGGCTGAATGGGGTCTAGGTCCGGGCAATATGGTGGGTATGCCCAATGTTATGGATGTGAGCCAGCCCTACGGCATGGTTTATGGAGAAGCTTGTCCTCAAGGGAGAACCTATTATTTGTCCTCGAGTGAAAAGCATGGTCGTTTTTTGCCTGGGGCGGACACCACCTCTCGGCCTCATCTTGGTATCCCTAGCATAAGCAGCATCGGAACTGCAATCTGTTCTGTCTGGATAGCCAAATCTCCTCAGATACTCAAGATGACGAATGGTCTATGTGGTATTCTCTGCGGCTCATCCTTGGGCATACTTACTGCATATGCATTGGGACCTAACCCTTCATACGACCAACGCTTTGAACGTGGCCAGGTAACCGCAAAATGGGCCCTGTGTCCAGGGATTCCTATAATTGCGATTAGGGTCGACGAAAATTACTCTGCTAAACGTCGCTCGCACCAACGCGTTTGGGCTGTCGTTTTGAACTCAGTAGGTGAAGTGTTCTACCTGACAGATATTCCTCATCAAGTGGAGTTGACACCCAAACCAAGCGTTGAGGAGCTCGACAGGGTTGCTTGGGAGACTGGAAGAACCGTGCGCTGGGAACTTATAGAAGCCACTCGGCGGGTTGCTCGACCTGACCCTTTTAATAGACTTTTGGTGGATGGGAGCTACAGTCCAAGGTCCTCGTCAAACTCTATGGGCCTTACCAAAGACCAGATTTCTGCGGAAACCGTAGAGATAGAGAAATTTCTTGCTTTTAAACCAAAACATTTTAGAAATGTCTGTGATGGTTGGGACATGAGACGAAAGTTGGAGGTTGATTTCGCTGGGGACAATTATCATAACGCCGGAGAGTCCGTTATCGTCTTTAACTGCGGCTTCGGCGAGCACCAGACTAGCTCGATCCGAAGATTCATGCGGCAGAAGGTGCATGTTCCTATTCCTCAGTCTTCTGACGAGGCCTACCCTTCAATATTAGCGACTGCAAGCCGGTCGATTTTCAGGGGCACCCTTGGCTCCGGCTCAGCATCGTCGACCACTCCGCCCTCCCTAAGTTCCGAGCGGCAAGCAGAAACGGACTCTTCCCTTGCGATTGAATGGCGAGTATCTGATTTTGTTTTCGAAGAACAAAAGCCGCCTCGAATCACTGCCAGCGCTTTAGACGCGTCGACGTTTGCACAGTTGACTACATGGGAAGACCCATTAATTGGAATGAGTGGAGGATCCACCACATCCTCTCAATTGTCTTCTCCCTTATCTTCGATGAGCCAAAATCTATCGTCCCCCGCGGATATTCCGGGAAAACGGGCTGCTTACATGGCCGTTGGTACCGCCGCAGGCTCAGTTTATGTTTGGGATATAAGAGCAGCCGCTTCTCAGACGCCGGATATCACAAATAAGGTCTCGCCGCTTCGAATTATTCACACAGATTCCCCACAGGTGTCCTGTGTCGCCTTGACTTCTCTCTACCTCGTTCATGGTGGAAGTGATGGACTAGTTCAGGCATGGGACCCACTCGCATCGTCCACGCAGCCTATTCGAACGCTACACTCTCGCTGCTCAACGAGAGCTCGCCGTCGTCTGCTGCAAGCAGAGACTTCCGCCGCAGGGGTAGGGCACAACTATATTGCAGCTGGTGCTATTTGCCTAGACCCTGATCCAACAGTACTAAGAGGCATTGTATCCCTTGGTAGTCATCTTCGGTACTGGTCGTATAGTTCATCCGCAGCCGACCAATACAAAAACAACAAGCGTCGACTACGTCGTTCTCACCGAGTATGTAATAGCTCTCCAGGTACCCAGCGATTCAGTAACAGTGGCCGAGGTGCACTGCAGGACTATATTGAGAACGAAAGATACGAACTAGAGCGACAAAAGAAAGCTGATCAAAAGGAAAGAGAACTTCTAAGCGGTCGGTTCGGAATAGATCTTCTTGGGCCTGATGCTAGCGAAGAGGAACTATTTGCCTACGCGCAGATGCTAAGCGAGGAATCGTATACAAGTGACGAACGCAAAAGACGGGGTAGTGAAAGTAGTGCTGGAGGTAGTTCTTCGAGCGAAACTATATCCCCCAACGATATTTCTATTACACACGAGTTAGCATCTACAACCTGCTCGTCCTCGACTCTCGACACTGTTACCGAGGAGTTAGATCCAGATATCGCGGAAGCCATCCGCCTTAGCCTTCTAGACGGGTCTTCATCTTCATCGGCAACAGACCGTCCGTTCAAGTTGGAAGACGTATCCAGAGGGAGTTTGTCGAATGGTGTAGAACGCAATATGAAGCAAGAAATCGATGACCTGGAATATGCGTTACAAATTAGTCTGGTGGAGGAAGTGAGCCGGAGAGCAGAGGATGTTAAACCTCCTACAGGGGGTATGGAGGATGGGGATGAGTATCCGGCGCTTGGTGGAGCGTCTTTACTTAGCATTCGGAAGGGGAAGGGAAAAGCAGCTTAGTAGAGTGCGGTCGTGGTTAGATTTGTGTTTCTTGTTTAAGTTTTGTCCATTCGAGTTGTGTGCTGTGTTTGTTGTTTTGTGATATTGTATCCCAGCTGATTCCTTGGCTTTTATGTTTTTCTCTTTCATTCGATACCAAAGAAAACGCTACGCTTGTTTTCTGATTCAATAATCTTAGAAACCTCACTTTCTTGTAGCTGAATTACACTTTTCACTTCCTCTCTATTGGCTCAAATCTCGTCTGTATCTTCCAACCTCCTAAGCTGCAGGACAGGCGTTATTGATCTCTGCTCTATGTATTGCAAGTTCAGGGGGTAAGTGCGAGGCAGTGGCAACATCAAACAAACAGTGAAACATTAATCTGTGAGAACATCCTTGCGTTCATTTGATCTGTATTTATGTTTCGCCACGAGGGGTTTACAGGGGAACGTCAGCCCATATTCCACAGACGAGAGCAAACGACGGGGGCGCTAACTGCGATGCGGGCTATATCTCACGAGGAGGAGGTGGCGGTGATAAGAGATTAAAATTGATATCTCATACTGACACAGGCGCCCAAAGAAAACATTTCAGGGTACGTTGTGCAATAGGAGGGGTTAAACATGACGTGATTGGTTTTTTGGGGGCGGTTTGTTCTACCTTGAAACAATCCATTTCGCCAATCACAACCACCGTACCGGGGGTTCAACAAGATAATACAAGGAAAGAAATAAATTGCGGGTATACGCGATGAGAAGAGTAAAGTTTTTCAAAGAAAGATGCGCTGAATTAACTAATATAGCAGCTGGAAATCGCGTGGGAAATAGTAAGAGAGAACTTTAACAGATACATTCTGAGTTTCTCTACACCATCAGCAGAGTCAACCCAGCCAGAACAGCGGCGAGGGAGAGAGCATTAGAGCTGGACACGGTGTTGGCAGCAGCCTTCTTGTTATTTGTCGAGGCACCGGGCACACCAGAGGTATTCTCACCGGGAAGGTTGGACTGAAAATCTTCGAGCTTCTTAATCTCTAGACCGTCCAGCACACGGCCTTCCTTGTCATAGACCTCATATTTCGGCTTGGTGTCTGTGACCTCGACAAGCTTGCCCTTAGTCGGATTGCGGATGCCGTTCTTAATCATCTCAGGGACGCTCTCAGGTGCCTCTGGGATTTTGAAGTCGTCCTCGAAGTATTTGGTGTCCTTGATGAGACCGGAGGAGCACTTGGGGGGCTTGGCGCTAGTGGCGGCCGGGTCGAGGGATTCGAGGAGAGTGATGTCGATTTGGCTGTATTGTTCCATCAGGTTGCCGTAGTCGACGCGGAGGGTAGCGGTCTTGTTGTCGTTCAACTCAACGAGGCCGTAGTTGTTCTTCTCCTGGGAGTATTCATAAACTAGACCACCGCCCAAAGCCTTGGTCATTTCCGGTCCGTAGAGAGCGCCGACCTCGGTGAAAATGCGGGGACGGACTTCGTTGCAGCCATACTCGGAGAAGAAAACGGGGAGGGAAGTCTCAGAGAACCTTTCGACGAGCTTGTCATAGCCACTGCTGGTGTACGTAGCGTTGCCGCACCAGGAATAGGAGTTGAGGCCGAAGAAGTCGGAGCGGGATTCAGGTGAGTCTTCGATCTCACAGGCCATGTAAGCCCAGGTGTCCTCTAAAATCTCGCGAATATCGGCGGCAGAGTAGCCAACGGGGATTTGACGAGGAGAATGGTTGGCAATGTACTGTTTCATATCACGTTGGACGGCCTGGAAAATCGCGCGAGTGTGAGAAAACAACGGCACAGATAAACTTTCGCATGCAACTGTGGTAACGGCGGGAGCTATACAAACTTACCCGAATGTAGGCAGGAACCTCCTTCACGGCTTCTTCGTTGATGACTTCATTCCCGCCGAAGAAAGCTAGAGTGTTTGGATAGTCCTTGAAAGCCTCGATGATACCAAAGACACGTTCCATGTATCCCTTGTGGTAGGTGGATCTGGGATCGGCGCGGTTCAAGCTCTGGTGGGCAATGGGCGAGTTGACATCGAGGATCAAGTAGATACCGGCAGCATTGAAGATGGAGACGCAAAGATCATGGTTGGATTTGGGGTTGAGGTTGTAGATACGAATAGTGTTGGCCTGTGCTGCGTTAGTGAAGCTATATGCATGAAGAGAAATGCGACTCCAATATTAACATACACCCAACCGTTGGAGGAGAGCAGCATCACGCAAGCAGATATCGGCATCAGTGAGGGGATCTTCTCCGCTCTCCTCGTCGTAACCAGCGGACCCGCCTGGCTGGTAACTGTGGGAGTGTCGTCAGCGGCTGTCCACGAAGAGGTAGATAGTGGTAACTTGACGGGGTATATAGATTGCAAGCGACGTACTCGACCCCGATGATCTGGAAGCGCTTGTTCGATTTGGAGTTGACAAACTGCGAACCCTCGACTTCGATGGGCGTGACAGCAACGACAGTGGAGGCCAGCAGGGCAAAGAGCGCCGTAAAGACGCGGATCTACAAGGATGAAAACTTGGTTAGCCGATGATAGGGAGAAAAGCGGGTTTTTTATTTTCTATGACAATCACTCAATCAAATCAATCACATACGAGAGTCATGCTGGGAGCAGGGGAAAATCGACAATTGTTGCTGTCGTGGGCAATGTAGAGGGGTATTTGGTAAGGGAATTAAACCAATCAAAAAAAAAAAAAAGAAAAAAAGAAAAAAAAGGGGGGATAGAGAGCGAGTGAGGTTGAAAAGAAGAAGAAGAAGAGAAAGAGACGAAACGGGAAAAAATGAGGTTGAAAGAAAGTTGTGCTCCGATATAAAATAGTTACAACCCAAGCAAACAAAGCAACCCCTTCCCCTTCCCCTTCCTGTCCCTCCCTTTTAATATTATATATTATACAGAAGACGGAGTACAAGTGGTAAGACACCTGTTTGAGCGATCAAATCAGACGCAGCCACTAATGGCCATCAATTGGCCCATCAATCATCTGCCCGGCTTGGACCTTGGCTTATTTCGACGCTATCACAATAGGACATGTTTCAGGTTGAGAGTGAGATGCCGCTCTTCTCTTATTATTATTATTTAAGTTCTTCGCCCTCCATCCTGAGTATTTACAATTCATCATATCCGGATTACACCTATGGTGGGTTGTTGTTGGACTTGTTTTTAAGCTAATTCCTACCGTTCAATAGGAGTAGAAGAAAACTGTCGACTGTTCCGTGATCGAAACTTGCCGGTCGGTTCCATTCCATCACCTAGCAAACTGATTAGCGAATGTTTCACGCTACTAAAGCCTGTACAATGATGCTTTTTTATTAGGGCATCCAGTATAAAAGAAAACAGACTTGCCCTCCTCATATCCATGCGTCTAAAAATAAATGGATACTATCATAATAAAAGTACATGTACATGCATCCAAACAACCTTTCCATAGTTCGAGAGCGATGGAACTAGAAGAGAACGAAGCAAGACGAAAAAAATGATAAATGAGGGAAAAAAAAGAAAAGAAAAGAAAACGTGACCATGGCGATCCAGCAAGAGATAGGATAGTAGTGGTGGTACCCCGCCCGATAAATTAAACGGAGAACACCTCAGCTCGCGCTCCAATAACCGCTGCCAGATGCAAAAGTACCATGTTGACTGAGCAAGTTGATGTGGGGAGGAAGTTGTACGGTGAATAGAGCAATTCAAGGGGAAATAAATATACAATATATAGGGGGGAGAGAGAGGAATCATGGGGGAGTGACAAAAGAAACAACACCAAGGAAAAAAGGTCATGAGTTCCAATTAAAAGCCCATCATCAATGCGGAAAATGCGGACCAAAGGACAAAACACGGTGAGGACGGAGACAACCGTTTTGGTTCGGCACATATAATTGTTTATCCAAGGTTATCAATTATTCCATTTGTTGATTTTTGTCGATTATCGATTTGTTTGTTGAAATTTGTCGACTTTTTATTCTACCCCGTGCTGGTCCGCTCCTCCGCTGCTGCTCCCGGCTGTGCTTCCACCTGTAAACGAGCCCAGTTGAAGTGTGGTATCCTGGCCCACCATCTCAGCCAGGATCTCCAGTACGTCCTTGGGAACCGTGGTGTCATAGATGGCGATCAGGTCCTTCGGTTGTGGGTAGACTTTGAGAGCCTTGTAGAATGCAAGGGCTGCTTCAAAGTTACTTGATCCTAAATTGTAACAAGATACCGTTAGTGAGAAACAATAGCAACAGGCTTAAAAGGCTAGTTAGAGCACGTAGAAAAGGCATACCATCCGCAGCTAATTGCTCGCCCCTTGAAATCTGGCCCATGAAGAATCTCTCCTTGTCATCAGGGTCGGTAGGGAAGCCCTCCGCCTTCGCTTCCGCGACGGCTTGTTTAATCTCGGCTATTTGACGCGCGCCTTGAGCCGCTGATTCTTCGCGGACTGCCCTGGCTAGTCGTCGGTTGTCTCTTTTCAGATTCCTTCGGAATTCAGCGTCGGAATGTCGCTTGTAGTCGAAGTAGATAGCATATGCTGTAGCAGGGAAATATGAGTGGCTTGCTTATACTAAGGAAAATCATTTGAACGGAACAAGACTGAGATGCATAGTTCACGTACCCAGAAGACCGGTCACAATGGTGCCTGCAGAGGCAGCAACTATAGTCGTCGTCTTCATATTCGAATTCGAAATGGTATGTGTTCTCCTTTAAATATACCCAGTCTGCTTAGACTGGATGGCCGAGATGGAAAGGGCTGCGTGGGACAAGGAAGAAGTTGGAATGGCACTGGTCGCAACCTCTAATTGTTCGCAAGAATTGACAGTCTAGTAGCTGGATAAGTTAAATAGCAGTACAAAGAGAGTTGTTCGTTCTCAGGTGTTCCAATCTGGGTCCCGGAGCGGTGGTTTGCTGTTTCTTGATCTTTTTCTTGTAAATAGTATCCGCGTTGAATCTTGGATCGGGCAAATTTTTTGGGAGCTTGAGCCGTGCATGACTAAGCCAAGCTTGGTCCACCGCTTATTAAGGAGTCAAATGCAAGGACTTCGTCAGAAGGACTCGACAGCCAAAACCTGCGCCATACAGAACTGCGACACCTGCGTATAGCAGGCATTGACATATAGCCTGTCTGATTGCAGCCGTTGTCGCCATTCCTGACACGAAAATATGGACGGAAGGGGTTTGACTCTCCGGAGCAAGGGATCCAGAAGGCCTCAGATTAGCGCTCCCCAGCCCATCTCCGACCCTCGCTCGACCGCAAGTAGCAGCAATAGGCCTCCTCCCGCTGCGATCGCTGCTGTTTCTATTCCCTCTACTGCGTCTGGTAAATCTGGCGTTGCAGATTCCTCCCCTCCTCGAAAAACACAACCAAGCGGTGCCACCTCGGACCTCGTCAAGCGGCGATATTCCTCTCGATACAACCAGCAACTCAATTTCGATATCCCGAATGTTCCCAGTCTGCCATCTGGTGTCGATGCGTTCAGATCGCAGAAAGCATCCGCAGCTGGCATTGGGCCGGAAGCCTCTGGCCAACCCCTCCGCGTTGAGCTTAGTGCGTTGAAAAACCCTAGTCTGCCAGTAGAAAAATGTACGTCTCCCTGGAAAGTGCCTACACATATCTCTATATATATATTTGTTGTTCATCATTTCAAACTCTAAAACCTCTTGAATCAGATGTCACGACTCTGTTGGCAAATGCTTCTGAAGAAGACATTCGCGCGTATCAGGCTCAGCTACGGAAACTCAAGAACAGAACTTCCACAGATCTACAACAAAATGTCTACAGGAACCGCACCCAGTTCATCAAGATCAGCAAGGAAGCTGAAAAACTTAAGGCAGAGATGATCACGCTTCGTGGTCTCATGTCGGAACTCACTACGGCCCTAGGCCAGGCGAGCGCAACAAATGGCTCCAGTGCCATGGCCACAGGCTTCGATGAGCCTTCGACCGTCAAACGGCATCCAAATCGTAGCTCCGTTGCTAATCTCGAAAGCATGTGGAATGTTCAGCTCCAAACACTGTGGAAGACCGTCGAGCGATCTCAGAAATTCTTACCCGCTATCCCCGGTCGCCATATCGTACTTGAAAGCGGCCAATGGGTTGAGCTTGATTCTGCAACGTGGAAACCTAAACGGCCCGTTCATATTTTCCTCCTCAACGACCATCTCCTCGTGGCTGCGAAGAAACGGAAAAGAGTAGATCCGAATAGTCAGAATATGAAGGGCCCTGCCCCCACAAAATTAGTTGCAGAGGAGTGCTGGCCGTTGCAGGATATCGATATGATAGACCTCGCTACTAATCTAGACGCAAATGGAATGAACCAACATGTCGAGGAGCGAGGAGTTCCAAATGCTATTAATATCCGATATAGCCAGAAGTCGTTCACCTATCGAAGCGACAAACGGGAGGGCAATGCCAAAGTTGATCTCTTAATGACATTTCGCAAAACGCTCGAGGATTTACGGAAGCTCATGCGGACAGAAACTGAATCCAGTTCTAAGACTCCCGACCCTTCAACCAACCGCTTATCATTATCAAGAGGCTCTCAAATTTTCGATAGTAGGACCGCGTCCCGCGATAAACTCGATGTACTCATCGATGTCGACGGGAAGCAGCAAAATATGAGATGGGTAGAAGGTCAATTGGACGAGCTTGATATTGATGCCGCCCTGCAACGCTTCGACAATGCAGTGTCGCGGGTTGAACAGCTGCGAAAACTCGCAAAGAGTATCAAGGGGAACGTAACAGCCCAGGATATCATCCTGTCAAAGATCGATGAACGTGCCACAAAACTGGCGGAGACCATCCTCCGTACCTTGGTGGACACTCATTCATTCCTTGCAGCGACCAAGACAAACATTTCCTGGCTTTCCCGCCTAGGCTTCGACGATAGAGCACGCGAAGCCTTCTTACACACCAGGACGGAAGTAATCACAAAGCGCGCACGGTATTTTGCCCACACCTCCTCTACTCTCCTATCCTCTCCCTCAAACAAAAACCCCCCAAAAAGGCCCTTGGAACTAATTTATATAACCAGTCAATGCGTTTTCGAAGGCGACCTACGACTGTACATCTTCCAAGTATCCTACGTCTATTTCACACTGATAAAAAACACCATTGCCATCTACCAGCAGTGCTTCCCGGCGCCCATGACTAGCGCATGCATAAAATGGGCCAAAGAGCACTTAGACGGCTTCAACGCAATTCTTGTCCGACAATTGAGCAGTGTGGAGCCTGAGAACTCAGTATGGCAAGGATGTATGGAGACAGTACATGAGCACGCCGCGTTGCTACTGGAGGTTGGGGTTGATTTTAAGGATTTAGTTGGGAAGGGGTTACCCACCAGCACAGCCGTGAACACTGCCCCGAGCACAGTAGGCGAGAGGCCATCGACTCCTTGACCAGTTGGTGTTGGTTGAGTCAGCCAGTGTTGAAGATGGATATCAACTGGGGTTCTACCAGCCTTATTTGAAAACAATTCCCCTCTTTTCTCATGGTAGGATGGGACTATTTTCCTTGATGATTTTAGTTTTTACGACCCACTTGCTACGCTTTTTAGCTCCAAATTCTTTTTGATATTTTCTTGTTTTTAGGTATAGCAACACAAGATGAGGAGGAAAGCTGGCATTTCTTCAACGGACGCAGAGTCCATTTTGAATTAAGGATTTATCCTATATTACATCTGCACCATACCCCTATTTCATTCCGTATTCCTTTGATATCCGCTATATATTGTCCTGTTGTCTATTGTGTCTAGCTTGTTAGTCTCCACAGGGTAGACCTATCAAAAGGATTCCAGTAGTTGCCGCCAAAGTTATGTTCTAAATGTGATCTATGGATTATCTATATTTAATCTAAGTTCTGTAGCAATCAAACTACACCTACTATATGTAATGTACATGTACATGTACAAAATATATCCTATCCATCGCTAACCCACTCATAGCGGATATAAAACATCTATAAAATTGAAATCATAGAAATGAATCAAAAAGGTCAACAGAAACCAACGTTAAACCACATCACGCACAACACCTCACTTCTCTTTCATCTCCCTCAACGAACCCGCCCTTTCCCTCAGCCGTAAGGTTCCAAATCATCTCCCACGCATCCACCGCCACGGATTCTTGAGCAGCCAACTGACCAATCTGAAAATCCATCACCAACCCCGGCTCGTCCGTCGTCCTAGCGGGAGTCGGCAGGCGCATCCACTGACCCACGATATCGGGCACCTCCTCTTTGACATGACTGATGACGATCAGGGCTTGGTGGTCAGCGATGCCGGTGTGGCATATTTTCGGGCCCGACGAGGACGGTGGCGGGGGCAAATGCCACACTTTCGTGTAGTTAGGTGTTCTCCTGGTGCCGCTGCTGGGCATGTGCTGCTGCTCGCCGACTTCCAGAAAGTGGAGACATTTGTCACGTAGGGAGGACTGCATGCTGGAGAAGGCTTCGTCGAGGATTATCAGGTCTGGTTTGTGGATGAGGGCACGTAGGAAGAGAGTGAGGCGCTGTTGAGCGGGGGTGAGGGAAGAGAAGGGGAGGGAATCAGCCCAGGAGGTGGTTGTTTGTATTTGATCGCTCCTGGGGGCGAAGTCGGGGTTAAGATCTGCTTCGAAAAATCGCAAGGCCGAGTCTACATCCATGGCGCGTTCCGGGGTAAGATTTGGCTTCGAGAGGAAAGTCTCCGCCCAGGCTGATACGATAGAAGAGCGGATGGAAAGGTGTCGAGGGAAGAAGGCGTGGATTTCCGGCGACGAATGGCCTATGCGAGACTGTAAATTAAAAATTGATATCCCTGGCTTTCCGGGTTCGGGTAAACGAGAGCGGCCAAATAGTTTGATAGGTTGCGAGTATGTTTGCGGGTGGTCCGAGGTGATGAGGGATATGAGGGTCGTTTTCCCCGAGCCGTTCGAGCCAAACACACCCCACCGCTGCCCGCGATGAACCTTCCAGGATAGCCCTTCCTTTGTCGTGCGACCGTCTGCTGCTTGAGTCCAGCCGCCCAATACCACTTTATCGCCATATTTGACATGAACACCATCCATCTCCACGATTGGCTCCCCTAACGGTGTTATTTTTTTGTCCACTCTTTCAGCCTGTTTATGCAGCAATCCCATTTCATGTAGAATGTTGGCAAAGTCATCAAATTGGCCACTTTCACGTAGCTGCTCTAACCTATCATATTCCCTTCGCTGCGAAAGCGACAGGAGGCGGTAACTTTGTTCCTCATCAGTGTTGCGGGGTATCAATTCAAGCCGCCCTGGACACGCCAGGCTACTTCTAGAAATTCCAGAATTATCATCGCCGCTTCCTTTCACGAGAGTAGATTTACCTCCTCGAGAGGCCACAGCCTGCCACAATTCGAGAGTGCGGAATACCTCATCACGAGGGCCTTGAAGGGCAATGGTATTATCCGGCCCCAAGAGGACTATCTGAGAAACCCATTCCGGAATTGGATCCTGTGGCCTTAAAGCTAGAACAATACAGGGAGTTCCACTTAAGGTAGTCTGACGGAGCAGGTGGGATAAAATCGGGACAGTTGATCGATCCAGGCCCACTGTAAATGATGAGCATTGGCTTAAAGTTTCCGATAGGATTTCCCAAGTAGCAGTCTGGGGAAATAATTGTAAAGAACTCACTGAAAGGCTCATCCAGAAGAAGAACTTCTGGCTTCATAAGAAGGGCTCTTGCAATCCTAGCCCGCCTTGTTTGCCCATTACTTAAGTTGGCCACTGGCATATCAAGAAGATCCTGCAACTGGAAATCTCGTATGATCTTATTTAGATGCTCATCACTTTCCGAAGGGTTAATGCTTCCATCGCCTAGTAGTTCCTGCACTAGTGGGTTCAGGGACATCTGATCCTTCAGATACTGTAGAAGCGTGAAATCCGTCTCCTCCCTTCTACTTTCATATCTCGCGCTCATGTATGTACCA